TTTATTATCTTGCTAAAGAAAGCTACTAGTCTCTAGATACTATCTTCTTAAAGCTATAAAAGAACTTTAGCTACTACGCTATCTAATACGTCTATTTCTACTCTTATATAGTAATAGAGAGAGTAATAAGCTAGTATAGTATTAGATAGTATAAGATTCTTAACCTACTAAAATACCACAAGCTTAATTTCTCTAAAGATATACTATACTCTCTATTTTAGTAGCTTAGTAAGAGGGCGGACAATCTAGCTATAATTCTTTAAGAAGGCTTAGTAGAAATTACAGAAACCTAGAAATAATTAAAGGCTCTTAAGAGTTATAGGTATAGGCTAATTCTAGATAGTAGTAACCTTCTTAAAGTTCTTCTAGATTCTATTAGTACTTACAATTAATTCTAGAAACTTAGTACTTTTAATAGTAAATTTAGATTTCTTAATATCTACTTACAACCTAGCTTTATATAACTAATTAAGTATCTAGATAATATAGGCTTTATACTTAAGCGAATTCTCTAAATAAATAAGAATATTATTAATATATACTATATAGAAATTGTCTAGTAAGCTATATAACACCTTGTTAATATATTACTAAAAGGTAGTAGAGCTATTATAGAGACTAAAAAGTAGAACTTAATACTTATAGTTACTATACTACGTATAAAAAGACGTTAGGTTCTCTACTAACTTATTAAGCTAGATTTAGTAAAAAGCTTATCTTATATTTAACTTAGTAAAGACCTTAGCGCGTAACAGGCGTATAAGTATTTTCTAGATAAAAGAGATAGAGTAGACGTCTTTTTTTATAATAGCGTTAAGCTTTTAATAGTTAACGTAGAACTTTTATTCTCTCTCTAGCTTCTTAGTAAATAAAACTAGTAACGCGTATAACGTATTACTATAGACGATAAAGCTATAATAAAGGTAGTCTTCTAGATAATTCTATACTAACTATAGGTGCTCTAGCAACATGCTATAAAGAGAACTATTTATTAAGGTATTTTCTACTATAAGCTTAATATTGTAATCTACACTCTCTCTATATAGTAGTAGAGTATTAGAATTCTTTTTTAAGAAATAGGCTATAGTTACGCTAGTATATTTTAGAAATAGAAGCTTTTAGGTAACTAGTTAGTAGAGTTTCTTCTCTAGATTAGTAGTAAAGGTTTTCTCTCTATTAGTAATAAGCTAATTAACCTTATAGACACTAAGGTATCTAATTATAGTATCTTTTTAACGCGTATTAATTATAAAGGTAGCTATGCTAATTGTGTTAACGTTAAGCCTAGCCTTTAAGCATGTTTTCTATAAAATAGGTAGCTTTTTTAGCTTACAGGGCAACCTAGTAGGTAGGTTAAGATTCTTAAGCTACCTATCTATCTTACGTAGGTTTTCTTAAAGCTTCTAGCGTTGTAATTCTTCTTTCTCTTATTATATTACTTTTAGCTTTTCTACTACTAATATTAGAGCGTTACGGTAATTAGCATTAGCTTAGTAAGCTACTTAAGCTTTAGTAGTAGATTAAGGGGATTATATAAAGATAAGCGCGTCGCGTTTATAATTAATTAATTAATTAGTACCTAGCTATATTAGTACGCGCTGCTTGTAGTTAACCTAAACGTTAACTTCTTTAAGTAACTTGCGACTAATTATTATATTATAGTAGCTAGTATTATAATATATAAAGTAAGTATAGATTTAGTAGCTTTCTAGTACTAGATTAGCTTTAAAATACTTATCTACTTAGCTATTAGGTTACCTATTATACCTAGTAAGAGGGATTAGTTCTATACGTAATAGCTTAACATAGAGGTTTTTTCTAAGAGTTTAAAAGTACTTTAGGTGTACTAAGACGTAGCTACTCGCTTCTATATTAATTAAGCCTCTAAGCTTAATTATAAGGCTATTTATAGAGATTTAGTAGAGTAGAGTAAACGTAGAACTACTAAATAGCTTTTTACGTAGGTTAATTACTCTAGTAGATAGCTCTAGAGAGAAGACTTCTTCTAGAGCTAGGCTTTTTCTAAATTGTTAGATTTACATTCTAACGTGTTATTCTTAGATGCTTATAGCTCTATAGGCTCTAAGAGCTCTAAGAGCTTCTCTAGAGCGACGTTCTTAATAGCTTTCTACGCGGTAGAAGCTCTAGAGTAATTATAGCTTAGGTAGCTAGGTTAGTAGTATTAAAAATAGGTAACTAGCTTCTAGATTACTAGAGCTTTATTAGGTGCTAAAAAACCTAGAAGAGCTAAAGGCGCGCGTTATAGTATTAACATAATTACGTTACGCTTTTTAGTTTTTCTAGTAGTAACGCGTACTTCTCTAGAGATAAGCTCTTAGGTAAGGTTTTAAGTAAGGTCTATATAGTAATTATAGTTATTAACGTATTAATATTAGTATATACCTAACTACGTACGTATAGTTTCTAGTAGCTTCTTATAAAATTTCTTTACCTATTAATCTACTAGAAGCTAACGCTTCTATATAAGGTAGAAGAAATTATTCTAGAAGTAGGTAAAGTTAGTAGCGCTTTAGTAATAAAGCTTTTAGAAATTATAGTAGGCGTTTAGCCTTTTATATAGGTCTCTATAGCTTCTTTCTAGCTAGTTAAGAATATAACTATAGAAAACTACTACGCTACTATTCTTAATTATTTATAGTATTACTAATAGAGTCTAGTACGCGTCTCTCTTAGTTTACGTATAGATATAGGTAATAACAGTTTTCTTAGTATTCTCTAGTGTATCTCTAGTATACTAATTCTAGTTTACTTAAAGTTTATTATATAAGCTATCTCTCTACTACTTAAAGGTAATACTTTTACTATCTAATAATAAGAGTAGATCTAGAAACTTAGTAGAGCGCGTTAATTAGCTCTTCTACGCTTATAACGCTAGAAGTGTAGCTAGCTAGTATATAGAAGAGTAAGAACCTAGAATTAAATTCTCTAGTAGTAACGCGCTTAAATTACGTATAATTAGTGTTATAGAGAAACGCGTCGCGCGTTAAACTAGTATAGTAGGCTAGTCTCTAGAGTAGGTTAATTACGCTTATAGTTACTAGATTTTAGCGTTCTTTTTAGCTAGAATAGTAGCCTGTGTTAGATTTTTCGTATATACGTTATCCCTCTTAGCTAGAGCGTTAGTAGTAATCTAGTAATATATATAGATTTGTTATTTATGTACTTATTATATATATAATTAGCTAACTAATTTATTAATAATTTTAGCTAGCGTTTCTAGAAAGAGCTCTTAAAGCTCTTTAGTAGAGGTAGAGAGTGTAAACAAACCTAAGACTAATAATAGCTCTAGTATTACTAAGCTCTAGTAGAGCCTTATAAGCTTCTAGTTAAAGTTGTTATTCTAATTCTTATTAGTTATTACGTTGTGTTACTAAATAGAGTTTTTATAATAGAAATATTAATTAGTATATTCTACTAGTAGGTTTACTACTCTAGATTTAAGAACTATTAGAGTAAAGAGGTATTATAGGGCTAAGGTTCTATCTCTAGATTAGCTGCGCGAGGGTTCTTCTATAGTATTTAGATTTATTTAGCTTTCTAATTAAGAATAGAGCGTAGAGGGGAGGTATTTAGCTACTAGCAGAGTAGCGAGTTGTTAGTTCTACTAGTAGGGCAGAGAGATTGTTAGCTCTGCTAGTAGAGTAGAGAATTGTTAATTTTTTGTAATTTATAAAGAGGGGGGGGAGAGTTTCTGCACGTAGAAGTTCTATAGAAGTTCTCTTATATATAGAGCTCTTAATAGCTCTCTTTAGCTTAGTACTAGTATCTTTCTACTACTAACTAGATCTACTAGTAGTCTTATATAGTACTAAAGAGATAAGTAATTAGAGCTCTTGCAGCTATAATTCTCTAGGTAAGCAACTAGGCTCTTATAGCTCTAATTCTTAGTATTAGCTATTAGTAAACGCTTCTTAATAAGGCTACTTAGTTTAGCTAGATATTATACCGCCGTCTCTAGCTAAAGAGGTATTAACCTTTAGATAATGTAAGAGCTAGGTTCGCGGTCTCTACTACTATAAGCGCCTCTAGAACACCTAGCTAGGTAAGTTAGCTGTAGGCAGCACTGTCTCTACGAGCTGTAAGAATAAAAGGTGCTAGTAGAGTAGGTTAGGTTAAATTTAGCTATCTAAAGGTAAGAAGTAGAAGAATACTCTAAGAGCTCTCTATATACAGAGGTGCTAAGCGCTAAGGCGCTAGGCTAGGTTACGTAACCTAAGGTAAATTCTAAACTAGACTATTATAGAGCCTCTATTATAACTAGATACTTAGATTAAGACGTATAAGAGAGAGAAGACGCTATAGAAGATAGCGAAGAATTTAATTTCTATATAGATAGAAGATAAGAAAGCTGCGTAAAGACGCTACTAAGTAGAGTAAAGAGTAATTTAGTAATAGAGTTAATAGCTAGAATAATCTTAGAAGCGTACTATAGAGCTTAAGAACAAGCCCTCCCTATAAGAAGAAGTAATGTAATAGTCTAGCTTAGTATTGCCAGAGTTACATAACCTCGCCTAGCGCCTTAGCACTAGGCACCCTGTATATAGAGAGCCCTTGGAGCCTCCTTTTGCTCCTCACCTTTGGATAGCTGAATTTGACCCAACCTACCCTGCTCGTCGCCCTTATCCTTACAGCTCGTGGAGACCGTACTGCCTGCAGTCGACTTACCTAGCTAGGTGTTCCAGAGCGCACGTACAGCAGTGGAGACCGGGAGCCAGCCCTCACACTTCGCCGCTTAGACTAAATCTCCATTTTGCTTTTATTTCTCGTCTTCCAGGGTCTTACAGCCACGAAGCCCACAGCAGGTATCACAAACATGCCTGAAGAAAATTGGCAGTCACATGGCGGAATTCCTGCGGTCGGTGTACCCTCGCGAAGAGAAGATTTTTTTTGTACTGACTATACTATAGTGCGATTTGTGCCACTCGAGAAAGGTATCCTCGACCTTCCACCTACCCATTCTAGATCTGATGCAAGATTGCAGGTGAAGTGTGACCGGAAGGTACCTTGTGGTAACTGCGTGACCGCGAAAGCTGAGTGCCTTCGAACGCGGCACAAGCGTACACCTCGTCCGAAACCCAGAACGTAAGGCGGTTTCCACGGTGGCTTATGGTTTACTGATTGCGTTCATGCAGGGACGACAAAATCCGAGCGCTTCTCCAGAGGCTGAATAGCCTTGAGGATTCAGTCCTCGCAAGCCAAAGAGAACCCCATGATGCGCCCACCGTCCAAGATCTTGCGGGTCGTCGAATGTCTTCGAGACATGTAGAATCCTCACCTAGAGCACCAAAGCGGAAGCGAAGTGCAGAGTCCATTACCACGCCAGGAGTGCCGTCGCCACCCGGCTCAACGACATCGCACACCTATGAAGGACGCGACTTTATCCGAAAAGAACTTTCACACAATGATCTGCTCTCCGCAAACCAGCGCCTTGTACTAGAAACCGCAAATGCCTTGGTTGACCAGCTTTCCCGAGTTTCTCCAGTCGCAAGTGCAGACAACAGGGTCTCGACGAAGGTCTCAACCGACCTTGCCCCAGGCGAATTAGTGCACATCATTCTAGCTAGTATGCATCCTCATTCTTATCACGTTGCGTTGGATGCTAACGTAAGAAGCCCAGAGAAACGAGCTTGAGCCGCCGCACATCCAACTTCATACGCTCGATCACATCCCACCAACAGCATTAGAAAGGATGGCCGTCGCCCTGCTGGACCACACCGCCGACGAACTGACTCTAAACATGTACAAGGTCGTTGTGCATTTCAAAGCCGCCTTGAGCTTATACGCCAGCCAGTTGCAAGCGCCTAAGAGCGTCGAAGTTCGAGACCATATCAAGCAGCTACAGTTGCGCCATTTAAACGCAGCGCTTACAGCTCTCGATGCCGTGAGTTTCTTGACTGCGCCATCATTGCTACTGTTACAGGTTTTGTTAACTGGGGTAAGTACTTACTCGATATGCAATCACAGTTGAAAGACGCAACTAACGCGTTTGAGGCTATTCTAATGCATATCGTGGGAAATCCGACTTCATGTTGGAGTCTCACAGCTCACGCTTCTCGCACTCTGGTTGCGCTCAGCTACCACACGATCCGCGATCCCATCCCTGAGACCGACTACGACAAGGAAGTTCATGCCGCCGTCGCGTGGTGTTATCATTTTGATAGATGCATGAGCTTATTACTACTCCGGCCTCCCTCATTGCCGCCTCTGGGGGTCCCTGTCTCCTCTCTGGTCGAGCATGATCCGGCAAATCCGATGTCGATATTCGCACGCGTTATGCTAGAAATGGTGCCCATACACGAGAAGATTTTAGAGCTATCTCTTGATAATTCACAACGAAGGTCTCCCGAGCTGCGTGTTTCGGTAAGAGAGGAAGTCGCGCGACTACGGAAGCAGATGACAGATATCTACGTACTCATGGAAAATGTTTGTGAAAAAGCAGCTTGGAATGGACTGGATCAACCACAACTGACCGAGATCAGGCACGCTCATTACACCACGGCGAATCTACCACGGATTATCTACTCCACTGGCAGAGTCTAGAGTTCAAGTATTTCTCCACCTTGACCGCAGTCCATCGGCTTAGCCCCACTGTCACCTCCGACGTACTGGAAAGAGAGGAGTGCCTTCAGTGCGCCCGGAGGGCGCTTAGACACGTCAAACTCGTGGAATACAACGGAAAGCAGCAGGGGCACTTCGTCGAAGAATATAGCCCATACCTGTCATGGTGAGCGAGCTTCCATGCTCTAATCTATCGCGCTTTCGCAGCTAAAACAAATAAGGACCATCCTATCATATCCATTATGCCCTTTCTTCGTCGTCTTCTGCAACGTTGTCGGTACGTCGGACCCACGCGATTTCCGCCTTCTCCAGGAAGTAGTCGACAGCATTTCTTCCCTTGTCATCAAAAACAAATACGTCGAAAGACTGTGCCGGCTAGGCGAGACACTGCTTAGTCTATGCAAGCCTCTGATGCAGAGTGCATTGCCCGTGGAGGAAGCACACCTTGCCAGTCCAAAAATTACTCTGCCGGATCTAGCGTCAACGACATCAACACCAGTGGACACCGGAAATGATGCTTCTAGCGTTGGATTCCAGATGTCGTCTTGGGACGATGCCATGATGTGGCAGCTTTGGCAGTCCCAACCATCACTAGACTGGTTCAACTCAAACCTCCTAGATCCAGCATCATGGGACCTTAGCTTGCCAACATGATCATTACGAATTACCAGCTACTCGGTTCTTGACCATTTCGTTTATCAGGCTTCTGCTGCTCAGCCGGATGGAATCGAGGTGTCGAGCTTGCCTTTACGTTACCCTCCGATAAATCGTACTCTCGAAGCCGCCGTGTAACACAACAACCATCCTATCTCGTGTCGCCGTGGGGTGTTCCTATCTTGCGCTGCATTCACGTCACGACAGCTCGCTTGTTCGGGAAGGTCGCGACGTCAGCTGCTCGCCAGACACCTCCAGCGTGCCACGTCGGATGCTTGTCTTCAGCTGCCAGGCACGTGGTTCGGCTCATGAAGCAGACTGGCCCCGAGCAGCTGGAAGCCTTTTAAAAGCAATTGCGAATGAGGTAGCGTGGGCGTGGATACACAAATTGTCCCGGTATCACAAGAAAAAGGTCTGTGAGCAAAGAAATCGTACGATGATGACAGAAGGAGCGTGGAATTGGCTGAGCTGAATTCGCTTGCTGCCGTTGACGGTTGGCCTAGCTGCTGCATGTTTGCTTTTGCTCGCGATCGGGGGACCGGGAGCAGGCGTAGACTAGTGTCGCCAATCTTTGGTGGTATTTGCATGTGTAGGGAGGTGCAGTGGGGTGATGAGTGCTTTGGGCGTATGGGATGTGCGTTGGGGATGTCCAGCGTCTCTAAGAGGGAAGCTTTCGTCCTTGGGGTACGGCATACCCCCGTCGGCCCACAGCCGTGTCGTGAATGATGATTATCTACAAAGTAAGAGTCACCAAGTTGATCTTAGTTGATGTAGAGAACGTTACTTGCGAAGATGACCGATAGCTGTTGAGGGGCGGCCTAGAAGCATACTATCTTAATTGGGTCTAGCCTGACTTTCGCGACGTCGACCGCTCGATCTCCAATGCTCTCCTGTCCTCCTTAGTCGCAAACCTCTTCTTGTCTCTGTTCATCTCATTCGGCACTTTACAACGGCAATAGTGGGCATGCGCAATCCTTCGCCCTATAAAAGCCTCGATTACCATCCCCTAGGCAGCTATGACTCTTTCCCCGCGGAGCATGAGTCAACGACTCCTTCGCCTACCTACCTTGCCAGTTGGAACTTACTACCTCCGTACACGAAATGGCAGCCGAGGCTTTTGTGGTTTATTGTTTGATTCACAGGAGCAGAGCAGACTCAAATCTCGCTCAGAAATGTAATTCTATGGCACGGTGCATCTCCGCTCCTAGCCTTACGCCGCGAGCCTGAGCCGCATTGGCGTAGCGGAGACGACATTGTAGGAGTCCGGTGAACAGACGCTCCTTTACCCCGCTGGCGATCCCAGCTTCCGAATCTTAGTCCTTTAGGCGTCCTGTCTTTCATGACTCAACTAGGCAACAATGGGCGCTACACGATGTGTCAGTCATCATCCGCTGGCATGAGGAGTATGACGCCCCAAATACTTCCTCCCATTTAATCGCCTTGAAATCCTTCTTCTATTCCTGCTTCAACCAGTGGTAGAGAAAGACTCTATCGCGAAATCAAGGCTTCCGTTCCAAGTACATCTGAGCCTATTGGCATCACGCCGATGGAGCGACCTGCTGCGCCAGGCACCCTTTTCTCAATTCACTCCGTTTACGAAGACCCCTTCCTCCCCAACAAGTGGACCACGAAGTATCCGGTCCAAGCGGGCGCTCCAGTCGAAGATGCCGAGTCGGCACAGCATGCTCTTGTTGCGCGGTACAGAATCTCGAAAGACCCGAGCAAGACGCTGGACCTACATTCAGTTGTTGTGCAGAGTCCGCTGCTGAAGGGGATCCTAGCACGTGTTCTGGAGGGTTATCCGAGCATCACGACGGAGCTGGAGCGTCTCGAGTTCAAAGCCCCATTTGAATGTTTTGTGCACAGGTGGGACGCGCTGCGCGTGGAGCGCGAAGAACTCGTTACGCAATTGGCAGAGGACGGCCCATTCGAAGGGAGAGGATACAAACAGGCTCTGAGAAGCTATTTGGATTTGCTCTACGTTACTCTGGAGCGCGAGCTGGGTTCTTTGCTTCGACAAAAGAAGGATCTCATCACCCATGGGGTCATGCAGTTCAAGCACATCTGGACGCTATTCGAACCGGGCTGCCTCATTTACTACAAGGCAGCCGAGCAAGACCGCATTTACAAGCTCAAATCGTCGAAGCTCGCAAGCGTCGGCTCTAGGAAAGTCTTCCAGTTAGAGTGCCAATACGTTGACTACGATGGCACACAGTTCGGGTATGGCCTGGAAACGCTCAATATCAACGACTTCCCAGGGACGAAGAAGATCACCAAGTTCGAGGCCTACCCGCTGTGTTTCCATGAGAATGTGGAGGAGCTGATGGAGAGGCTGGCGGAGCGCGGTCGACAATTCGAATTGTACAAAGGAAATCATTTCGTTGCCTACGACGGGATCGCTTTCGGAAAAGCGCATCGTGGCGAACAGAAGTTCAGCGTCAAGAGCCGCATTGTCATTGATGCGCACGCGTACGCTCGCTACAATCAAAGAGCCTCAATTGAGTATTTCGAGACTCCCGAAGTCACCCAAGAGACTGCAAGCTCCGGCAACGGCGAAGAGACGGACGAGGACTGCGTTATGGTCGATGAGAATGCGACGCAGAAGAGGGCGCCCGCCGAAGTCGGCAAGAGGCCCGCTGTCATTCCAGAGTCGAAATTTGCCCTCACAACGGAGCAGCATCTGATGGCAGATGCAAAAGTCAGGGGATACTCGCTTCGAGACAAGAAGTGGTTCAGTTTCTTTATCGACAACGTGAAGGACATCGAGTGGAATGGGGACGCATTCAAGTCCCTCGTGGCTCCTCAAGAGCAAAAAGACCTCATCTTGTCCTTCGCCGAATCGCAAATCAAGAACCGCGAGCATTTCGATGACTTCATCCAAGGTAAAGGGAAAGGCATCATCATGTTGCTCTCGGGTCCGCCTGGCGTGGGTAAGACGCTCACTGCTGAGAGTGTGGCAGAGACTATGAAGGCGCCTTTGTACAGCATTGGTGCTGCTGATCTGGGTTCCAAACCTGCGCCACTGGAGAAGTCCCTTCACGATATCCTGGAAATGTGCACGAAGTGGGGTGCCGGTAAGAGGTTTCCCTCCTGTTTGCTCCTTCAATGGAGTAGCTAATATCTGCGTAGTGCTCTTGCTTGACGAAGCAGACGTCTTTATGGAAGCGCGCAGTACCGCCGACCTCGACCGCAACAAGCTCGTCGCGATCTTCCTCCGCTTGCTTGAATATTTCGAGGGTATTATGTTCCTGACCACAAACCGCCTCGAGAACATGGACGCAGCATTCGAATCACGCATTCATTTGACCCTCAACTACGCCGAGCTCGACAAGACATCGCGTCGCCATGTCTGGGCAACCTTCTTGGAGCGATCATCCCAGACGAAGCATTCGAATGTCGGGCACTTTGCGGACGCGGAACTGGAGAAGCTGTCTAAGGTGCCGCTGAATGGACGCCAGATCAAGAATGTGCTTAAGACGGCACAGTTGCTGGCGAGCAAGTATGACGAGTGCCTGGGCATGGGGCATCTGGAGACGGTGTTGAAGTTGAGGAAGGCGAATGAGAGGCGCACGGCGAGCTTCTTTAGTGGAGAGTAAAGTGTCACCTCCCGGCAGGCAGCACTTGCCTCAGACAGCAATTCGAAAATAGCTAGGCCTCGTCATAGTGAGGATGCGAGCACATACGGGGACTCAAGCACATAGGTCGCCGTAACTTACTACTCCACCCGTTCAATATATAGAATGCGCACTTCTTCCCTATGAACGGCGTTGGGCGAGCGCGCATCCGTGGCTCACTCCACCAAAGTTCTCCGGCCCCATCCGAATCTGGTCACGATTCTCAACAAGTCAATCCTTTCCACAAGCTTGACACTGTGATGAGTAGGTTCAGTGTCCCTTGTCGCCCGCGAGATCAAACAGCAGTGCCTTAGCCGCTATGCTGTATTCGCTCACCCAAGGCTCGAAGAGTACGTAGCCAGTATCCGAAAGCCATGGAACGACTTCACATCACCCTTTAACGCCCCGAAGTCTGAGTTCGCACGCACACCTGAAGAAAATAAAAGCCCAGCCCTCGCCGCACCGTCTTCTTTCCCAACATACCTCCCAATTCCACTTCCACGTTAGCATCCCATAACCTCCAACTCCAACTTCAACTCCACATCACCCACCATGAAGACCATCACCATCCTCACTGCTCTCGTCGCCGCTATGCTCGCCCGTCCGGGCCACACCCGGACAACCACCATCACACTGTACGTCCTTCCCCTCTCACGCACACGCACACGAACCCGTCCGATCTCATCCCATCACTCTCCCACCCTACAACCCCCCTTCCTCCGCCCTCTAGCAAAATAACCACATCATCTAATCCTGCCAGCCCCACCGTGACCCTCAAGGCCACTGCAATCCAAGCCCGCGCCTCGCTCCCCGTGCGCGGCGAGTCGGACCCGTGCAAGGACGACCCGAACCCGCACTGCGACAGGTCGCAGATCGTGCACGACCGGAACGAGGACGAGCGCAGCCGCTGCTGGAACTGCAAGTACATTTGCGAGAACCATGCCGAGTTGTGCTACCAGACGGAGTGCTACAAGCATATGGATGATGAGGTGAGTTTTTGGGTTTTGCTTGCTGCTTTGGGTGCAGTGGAGTGGAGTAGATGCTGATATGTGTGGTGTAGTGCGAGCATTATTGAGCGGAGTAAACAAGGACTCCCGGGGGCGCTGGTAAAGGGGATATTGCATGACAGTCGGATGGGTGCAGTCAAGATAGCATCGTCATCGCTGGGAAGACGTGTGATGGAAGTCCTGTGCAGTAGCTAGATGTTCGTGTTCGTCTAGCCTTGAACAGGACACGTTACTGTGCACCGCGTCTTTAGTGACTTCGTGAAGCTTTCAAGTATCTCGGTGGTTTTCCAGCCTCCAGGAGTTTTGTGAGGGGGGGTGTTCGCTGCGGTGTGACTGCCCCGTGATACAGCCTCGAGGCCTCTTTTGGCCTGTACATACAGCTCGTAAATGGATGAGAAAGCCAACAAAGAAATTGCACCTAGGAAGATGGAGAAAATCAGATCGGGATGGAGGACGCAGGGTTGGGAAAGTGGTGCGGGCCATCAGGAGACCCCATCTCCGTTGGACCAATCAGGAGGGGCCGTGGCCCGAGCATCATGGCTCCTTCCGCAACCCCAGACCAAACGCGACATCCAAACCTAAACATAAACACTCCAACATCACGCTGCTCAATTGCCTGCTCTCGCGTCGATTAGAGAGCAGAGGCCCCGAGCATTCTTCCTCTCCATTCTTACCGCTCCCGAGCAACCTGCCGTCCCGCAATTTGCTTTCAATCCTATTCGTCCCGTCCCAACGCGTGTCTCTGAAGTGCAGCTACCCCAGCAGGAATGAGCGCCACCACACCCCGCAGAGCAAACATGACGCCTTCGCACAGTCCAGCGAAGACTACACCCCGACGCGTGCTTGGAGAAGTCGCTCCAAGGGCGTTGAATACGCCGTCGAAACACACAGCGGCGTTCGAGCCATCCGAAGCTATGAGAGCCCACAGCCCGCTGAAGCACATCACCACGCTCTCGCCGCAGCTGTTCGTGGAGAAGGAGAATATCACGAGTGCGGGGACGTATCCGCACGGCAGGAAACGGAGCATCTACGAGGTCGACGGCGCGGAAAACATCGAGAAGACGAAGGCCATGTTTGGGGCACGCCACGAGGGCGCGTTAGGAGCAGCAGCAGGCTTGACTACTGCCGCGGTCCAGAGACACACGGTAGCTTCCATCTCAAGCACGACGCGCAAATCACGTCACTAACACAGGCCAGGAGGACACGGCCGTCGACCTGCCCGTGCCAGGCTCGCCCACCGAACGTAACACGCCTACGCCAGAGCCGGACGGGCTGCTAGAGGTTGCGAACTCGCAAGATACGCAAGCGAGCAAAGAGTCGTTTTCCATGTTCGTCAACTACGGCGCCTGCGAGAGCCAGAACAGCGACCAACCACAGCCACCGGCCGTGGAAGAGAAGAAGTCAAGAGTGGATTTACTACGAACAAGGCTGGGCTTTGGCATGTACAAAGTCAAAACCAAGCAGATAGCCACGAGCGGTTCCGAAATCATTGCGAATTACGAAGCCTTGTCCTCGTCAACCGCGACGGACGTGTCCGCCTCGACCGCCATCACGTCCTCTGCCGAATCAACAACCGAGCATACAGTCCCGAGCATAGCCCTCTCCCCAGCGCGCCGCGATCCTCAGCCCGTCTTCATCGAAGCGAATCTAGACCCCTTCCGGCCGATAGGCAAGTTGACGCCCGCGCCTGTGCTTCTGCCGACCGCTGTCTCGTCGCGCCTGATACAAGACTACTATATGCCGTCATCCCCTCCGCAAGTTGTGTCTCCCGAGCAACTGAATTCGCCCGTTAGGCAAAAATCTAGCTACAGGACTCCGGTACCGAAGCGTGTGAGGACAGATGAGGTGCTCGAGGAAGAGGAAGAGGAGGACCGGGAAGAAACAGTCGAGGAGAGACTGCTGAGACTGCAGGAGAAGAGATTCCAGCAGGGAGATTTGACGAGCTCTGTGGTAAAAGGAAATGCTGCAAAGGGCCTGCTTGAGCTGATGGCTGGGAAGCGATAGCGGCGGAACCCTAACAGGCGGAAGGAGTCGGGATTACGGGATTCAAGAAGCGTGTATCTTGAGTCCCGGTTTTATTTCTGTCTTAGGCGTTTGGTGTGTCGCTCTAAAGAGTGGTATGTGGTGGACTGTGGTATTTACGAGAGACGACTCTTGAGTGCATTTGGGGAGCATAATCGGAAATCCAGCATCATTTCATCTATTCGGCTTGCGATCTTTACTCCTACGTTTACCTTTTCCGTAGCTAAACAAGGTGGGGTTTCAGCAGTTTCACTCTGGTGATAGTTGGCGCGTGTCGAGCGCCACTACCTTTCGAAGACTTCACCCATCCTGCACAGGGCCACTTTTTCGATATTAATGCGCTGGTCGCTGCAACATTACAGCCATCCTCGCCTTCTGGCGTCCGAAACACGTTCACGGAATTTCTTCGAGCGCCTTCCCCGGCTCAAACAAATTATGAGCTTCATTTCAATACACAGACTGTCGCTATGCAACCCTCAAATACTGGCCTCTTTGCGACCGTTGAGACTGCGCCGTCGTCACGAGCACCGACTCCAGTATCATACTACCGACTCGATTCGCAAACGAAAGGCGACACCCTGTCGTTCCTAGCCCGAGAATCCGTGTATAGGAGGGACAGCGGCCTGTTACCAGCGTACCAAAGAGCGATATCAGTCGACATTAGCCAACCTCCGTCCAATAAAGCAAGAGTGTACCACGAGCAGATACCGCGAGTGGAATATCTCAATGTGCCACCAGCCGCTACACCAAGATATTCAGCACAAACATTCAGCAAGCAGGAGTACGACGAGACAACACGGCGGGCTCAACACGTCGACCCTCCTGACGTCCGCCGCCTTGGAATCCTGCGGAAACCGCTACTAGGACGAACCGAGGCTGTAGATATGTCGGCGCATCCTCTTCCTTCACTTCCAGTAGAAAATAGGGCACCGAAGCATATCCTTCAAGAGTCGGACGTGGCTGTCGTGGAAGAGCAGTGGTATGATCAGAATCGAGAACGAAGAGCAGAGCAAACGTGGGATGACTACGAGATCATTGCAGTCGAAAGCGAAGGATGGCCTTCAGAACCAATACCGACGGACTCGAGTGTCCAAACCCGCTCGAGGCCGAAAGATTGCGGTCTAAGTGCACTTCAACAGCAAAACTTTAGGCACAACGACTTACTGGACCCCCTCTCTGCGACACCGCGAAATAGTTGCGTCCAAGAGTATACCAACGTTCCGCGAAGAAGCGACACCTTCGACGATCACGCGCAGCTCCCTTCTTCGGCGGAGCTTTACACATATCGAAATACCCTCGATGAAGCAAAGGAGAAGCAATGGGCGACCAGAAAGACGCAACCGAAAGAGCAAAGTATGAGATATTGCTTCGGCGAACGAGCGTTAACAAATACCGAGCACCAACGAGCCGCGTCGGAAGAGCCTACACTCAGGACCCCCGAGCCACGCTCTCCTCATGTCCGCTTCGCAGAACCCACTTCGTGTCCTCCAACCCCACGTTCTTCCCCATCCCTCTCACCACGTGCCTTATACGACACCACGCGTCTCAAGCCTTACGGTCCGCGGCAGCCACCGTGGGGCTCGTCTGAAGATCTGGAATTGCAGCGAAGAAGCAGGACGGACGTTCGTGCTCGCGACGATGACATAAGGGAGAGAATATCCGCTAAGAGTTTGCGGTTACTACAAGCAAGGCAAGGCACGTCCGGAAAGAAGAGAATGACGGAAGTCGAGGAGCTGAGAGAGCAGATTTATGAGGTGTATCCGGATATGACGTTTGAGGGGGATGGGGACGAGGAGGGATGTTGTTGCTGTTGCGTGGTTATGTAACTGCTACCGTGAAGAGGGATCTTACGAAGATGGAAGCGAATACCATGGGGGAAGATCACATACTTACCATGGACGTTTTGGTGTGAATCAACCAAACGAGTCAAGTCGGGCTACAAAGCAAGCCTCCACGCCTCCTGTGTCCTCTTCCTACTATGTATAGCATACCCTAGAGTTCCTATTCCTTAACGTCCACCTCGACTAGGCCCTCTAGGCGGTTTAACTTGAAAGCGTCTCCTGCCTTCCAAAGCCACCGTCCACGGCAATTTTTTCATACACACAACCCTCGACGAGCCCCTGTAACCCCATACTATCCCTAGGCCATTCTTGATACCCAGCTCAAAGCACATACACAATGGGCGATTTCCAGGGGCCCTTTAAGATGACACAGGCGCAATTCGATAACTGGGACAGGATATTTGAACCTCTGTTCGATGAGGAGACTAGACGAGAGGTGGAGCAGAGGAAGGCGGAGGCGGAACGGGCGGAGATGCTGAGGCAAGAGGAGGTGAGGAGGAGGTTGCTGGCTGAGCAGCAGGCTGCACAGGCGAGGGAGGCGGAGAGGGTGATGCAGGGAACTGGAACTGGGAGTGCGAAGAAGGCGGAGGAGATGCGGTGCGGGTGTTGTGTGATTCTTTGATGCGGGTAGAGGGCGGCGTTGTTGCTAGAATTGCTTGACTAGTTCGAAGGGGAAGGTCCGGTGTGAGTACTGCGTGGCCATATGACTCTAGAGCTGTCGTATGGTATCCTTCGACTCACTCACCATTTAAATAATCCTACAGCGCAGTTCCACTGAGTCCCTCATACATTCCACAACCCCCTACCGCAACACGAACGAGCCCACACTTCCGAAAGACTTTTCTAAATCTCAGTACCGCGCTCTAGGTCAGTGCAAACAGCCTACGCCGCGAACATCACTAAACGTCAGAATCAGCAACGCTACGACCGAGCTTATCCACCTTAGCTCCACGTTGAAGCGAATTGTATACTCAACAAAGCATCATCCGCCACCGAATATCGCTAGCACCAAACGAAGCGATCCATTGGATTTCAAAACAATGCCGTATGACAATGTGCTGGCGATTAACGAAATGCACGAATTCGATTGGAGAATGATAGCGAAGGAGTACGACAGGAACTGTGGAAACGAGGACATGTGTGGACCGCAGCAACAGCAGCAGCAGCCTCCAGAGGAGCAGGCTGCGCCTGCGAATGCGTTGATCGAGTCGCTTAAGCCCGTGAAGCCGGACCCGACGCTGGCAGAGACTGGGCGGGAGGACAGCGAGTCGAAGGGATGTGGCATGTGTGTGATTCTGTGAGTATTGACGTGGGGCGGGATCTTCTATTTCATACGGAATGTCTGAAGGCGTTCGGAGTTGGTTTTCCTGTCAGTTAGTGCTTGGTTTATTGAAGAGTGGTGATGCGATGGACATCTGTTTGCAGTCTTCACCTTTTGAGTCATGGCCTCTACTGTGTCACCAGCACTGACCTTGAAGTCCGGCACCGTGCGGAGTCTCGACACCAGAACACGACAAACCAAGGACTGGCCCTAGATACCCCGCATTCTTTATCTGCGCAAATGGTCTACTATATTTCTTTCTTCACATACCGGCCTCAGACTCGTACCCAAAGTCGAATCAAAAATACCACCACCGAGAACTCGTACGACCTGCTGAGACTAGAACATGCGATACTACACAAAACAAGAAAAGAAGCAGATGAAGGGGGAGAACAAAACCTGAAAGAGGCCGTCGAGCAGCTGGCTCGGCAATGACCGGGGGAGACAGGGCTTGATCCACCGACACAGGAGGACAGAGGTTATGCTGGAGGGTGCTTTGAGAGTCAGGTGCGGAGTAGAGACAAGGCGTATCGGAAGAAGGAGTTTAGGGGTGGAAACTCTGTGATATTGTACGCCCAAGGACGCGGTGATCAGCTTGGATACGTAGCTTTGGTCTCTGGAAAGGAGAGTTGAGCGGAGGGAATGTGAGGTTGTTGAAAGAGACAATCCCTTTGTTCTCCTTCCTTCAGCACCTAGGACAAAGAGCCGCATCAGACAGACTTGAAACACCCTCCTTTTGTCGTTGAACACCTTTAAAAGCCTCAGTGGGAACGCCCCTACTCATCTAAACACTTCTTAGAAACTTGGACCAGAATGCAAACCAAACGGCCGATTTATTCACTTTACCCAGCACCGGATCGCCGGCCCCGAGGTCCTACGGTCCCGCCCGGAGGTAAGAGGCCGATGATGGCACAGGCAGGAAAGATGACGGTCTCCGCAAGCGGGGTGACTCAGACGAGGACGTCCCAGGGGGTTGGAGGCGGAGAAGGGAAGAAGGGTGGAAGCGCGTCCGATGGTTGCTGTGTTGTTTCGTAGTAATGGAACCATGTGCGAGGGGCGTGAGAGCGTAGAGAAAGACAGTATAGTGGAGGGTAAGGTAGGAGCTTAGCTATAACAATGTGACTGAGGTTGGCATCGCCTGCGGGCTTGGTCTTAAGAGCCTACTGTAGCGGAGTGTCGTACCTGCATTCGGGTGACGTCTTAGCGTGCTTACTACCCAGAACTTCCACCAACCCCCAGCGAACCGTATGCCGTTCGAGCCGGGAAAGAGCATTTGAAGCACGACGCCCTTACGCACAGGATTAGTCATGGTCTCAACAGATTTCCAGCCCCTTCATCGTCAGCTTCTGTTCACCGCAGAGCCAGGTAATGGCTGATCGCGCGCACACGTCCCCATCGGGCCCCTCCCAGCAGCACCAGTCTTTCCCAGCCAACACCGAGCTACAGCTCATTTCGAGGGGTGAACGGCGACCGCTGCCTTGCCTGAATCCCCACTGGAAGCGATACGATGTTAGGCAGATAGAAGGGCTCTCGAGCGGGGCGCAATGGGAATGGAGGAGCCGCGACAATCGAAAAGGTACGTGTTTCGATAGGAACTTTCTCATTACATATTTAATTCAACTCAATTCATACTGTCACTCCCCTTTTGACTCTCCACTAGCAGCCTGGTTATGCTAAGAAGAGCCCGTAGGTCGTCACGTCCTCGTCCTCCCCCGCGATCAAGCCCCTTCCCGCCGCGACCGGTCGACACAATTCCTCCTGGCCCTCGTTCGCATGTGCACCGTGTTCGCCTGGTGGGATGTCTCTTGGTGGATTGGAGTTCTCTTTACCGTAGGCTCTGCCATTTTCGTTGCCTCAGGCGTCGTGTATTGGCTACCCGTAGCCCACCCGTCGAGAATCTATCCATACAACGAGGAAGTAATCGGCGGAATCATGTCGTTCATCGGGGCCACATTGTTTGAAGTGGGCGGTATTTTGCTCGTCGTCGAGGCCGTCAATGCGAACCAGACCGGTTGTTTTGGCTGGGCGCTCGAGCAGGCATGGGAAGATTCTAGGGACAAACTCCCTGGCGATGATCAGGGGAAAGGCACACAGCGGACACATGGCACTGGCTTCCGACCTGATCGCAGAAACTGCACGCACATCCACAACCACGAACGCGCGAACTACACCTCTCTAAAGACGAAGGGTCACCGAGCAGCAGTCCAACCTGTGCCTTCCCAAGACTGGAAATGGTGGCCTACATGGTCCGAGCTCCAGACACACTACCTACGTGAAATCGGTTTCGTGGCCAACTTCATCTTGTTCATCGGTGCTAGTATCTTCTGGGTTACAGGCCTGCTCTCTTTACCAGGCATATACGGCAACCTGCCACAAGGTGTCCTGTGGGGCATCTACTGGCTCACCTTCCTCGTGGGCGGCGTCTGCTTCGTAGTTCCTTCGCTGCTGTACATTCTCGAAGTGCAGGAGAGACGGTATAAGCCGGCGCCTGACGTGGTGGGCTGGTGGGTCGGCGTGTGGAACATGATCGGAAGCGTGGGCTGGACGTGGGCAGCTGCACTGGGGTATTGCAATGCACACTGGTGTGAGTATCAGAGCGAGTTGGCGCTCGTGTGGGCTGCGTCCGCGTTCTTGATCGCGAGCGTGCTATTGATATATGAGGCGGTGGAGAAGTGGCCCGTTCGGGTGGAGGGAAAGAAGAAGGGGAATGGGGCGTAGGTAAGGCGTGAGGATGAGAGTTTTTGTCGAAGCATTCTATGAGTGCTACTTCACTATTCCGTCGCCTCTGAGTCCAAATCAAGGTATAGTAAATCCACCTGTCGACGCAGCGCGCTGACACAGTCATTCATGATTAACAATTTGGACAAGAGATATGATATCGGACACCCGCTTCTAATGACGAGTGCGCTACAGTAGCGATCCCGATACGTTGCGTCAATTACTTTGGGGATTTGAGATGATGACGGCGATACTCTCTCCGGTCATAGGACCTATAATGCCCATGTAAGCGCCGAAGATGCTGCTGGTCAAGGATGATTACATGAAGATGGAAAAGGAAGCTGGAGAACGCCGCCCCATGCGCATGCGGCACAGAGGCAGCATGTACCCCAGCGCACCGCGCCATAAGCCCGCACCTAAATCATGCGTTAGCATGCGGCGATCGCCGAAAGGACCGAATGGAAGTGCTTCTGAGCGGTTCCATGCCCTGCTAACCTCCAACTCACAATTCTCCGCCCCAGAGCTGCATCAGCATCGTGATTGAACTGGGGTCGAGGCAGTGGCCCCCAAACCATAGTCCGTTGAGCGATACCGCGAGCTTGGTGTCTCTTCATATCGGGTCTGCGGGTCCCGGCCGGCTAAATCCATGTGGCGTAGTTGAAATGTGGACTTGGCTATGGGGAGGAGACATTTTATGGGTGTACCAGAAATGATGGATGTAGGTGATGGAGGAGAAGTTACGTGGGTGTGCAACAATTAGGTAGGAGCAAGGCTACCTAGGTAGTAGGCGGGGGAAGGTTTGTCACGTGCAGGCATTCAAACCCACATCCAGCTCGACATCGTCACAAGGAGAACAACAAATGCAGCCGCTCTCTGACAACAGGATGGAACACCGCTCCTATTAGACTCGGTCGAGCAGATGTCTATCGGATCGACGTCTGACTCCAACAGCCCTCCACATCCAATACGACCAACATAGTAAGAGCGCTTATATGCATCACCGACTGTGCCGCAGTCTGCGCGTAACGCCAGGTTTCGGGCTCCAAAATGTCCGACTTGATGATGGGTTGATACCACGAAACCTACGACTAACATCCTGCGCCAGGGCACGTAGCTGCATGGGATCTAGTGGGTCGCCGACCCTTTTAAGGCTGGTTCCGCGCGGCTTCCTCCCGTAGCGACTCGCATGTGTCGGTCCAGTTCTTGGATACGCAGGCTGGCGAGTACTCAGGGCATCTTTTCAATATGGATCATGCTCCCTTTGACCTCCCAATCGCGCCACCACCGCCGGGGCAGAAGTCCGATTTCGATGCGCCTGCCCACGATGCGAAAGCTTTATGGGTACTCGCTCTTCTCACCGTCACCCTTGCTTTTCTTGCGGTAGGCGTGCGGATGTATGTTAAGGGCTGGATAACAAAACAACGCGTGTCATGGGACGACGGTAAGGCATTCCATTCATGCTTTCGGCTTAGTCTTACATGTTATAGCAGCTTGCATAGTGGCGTTGGTGAGCATTGAATGTCTCATTACAGATGTTTGAATTCTAGCCAAACTTAATGATTCCTAGCTTCTGGCTATCACGCACACCTACATCATATTGAAAGGTGCGTTATCGGAGAGATACCGTCTCATTCTGAACAGCAATCACGCTAATGATGACTAGAACTCGATTACGGCTTAGGGAAGCACATGTGGGATGTGCGCGCTGTATCGCTCACACATTTCGGGCTCTTGGTATTCGCAGACAGTTACGATCCAGCCCAGCACGATCAGCTAACTAGTATAGATCATGCTTGTGTCCAACCTCATCATCGCACTCAATATGCTGTTTGTGCGGATATCTATCCTCGCCCTCTACCACCGACTCTTCGCTATCTACAAGACCTCAAAAAGACTCATATACCTTGGCTACGGCATCTCCCTGCTCATTGCGCTTCCAGAATTTGGGGTAGCGATTATCCGGATTGTCAGGTGTTCCACAGCGCTTGGGGCTCTCACAGACTCGTATTGCAAGCAACGGCCTAACAGCATTATGATCACTACCTTCACAGCGGTGGGCGTACTTACGGATATCTTCATTTACTCGATTGCCATTTCTCGGATTCGACTAGTACAAGTAAAACGCAATAAGAAAGTGCAACTCATAGTGGTATTCGCGATGGGACTTGCGTAAGACCTGCCACTTTGGCCGTCAGAATAGTCAGAGCTAACACCCTTCGACAGTGCATTGGTTTTCGCTGTAGCCAACTTAACCTTCGTTTCTATCCACTTTCATACCACGGACCAGCTTTGGTATGCCTTTTGGGTAGCGCTCTTCAAGTATGGAACCCTTCGGCCGCAATGAAAACAAAGGTTCTAATCTTCGCAGATTACTCGAGACGAACATCGGATTGGCTTGTGCCTGCGCAACTTTTCTGCCTCCTTTTTGGAAAGCGTGGAGGACTACGCTTCCTTCGATAGGCTCTGGTCTCCGCGTGAGATCACAAGACACTTCGAACGATGACGGGAGTGGCTGGACGAAATCTGGTGTTTCAAACAGACACCGCTCAGATGACGCTCTAGTAGATACATTTGACTTACACCTTGACGAAATAAATGCCTCGAAATAAGCGCATTTACACGATACGATCTGGTGGCGCGTCTTGAGCTAGGGGGAATGTTGGTGGTCAGTGCACGGGTTTGCGGTTTACACTCTCGTACGGGTTACGATTAAGCGCGCTCGGTCAGCAACGAATAATATAAAAGGGGTTGAAAGACTCCCACTGTATTGTACTCGTACATCGCTTATTCTAACCCCTTTTCCGTACCAACAGTCTACCCACAGGCAATGGACAGTCGAGGCCCCTCCTCTCAGGATCTCGGAGCCGTCCTTGTCATCGGCGGCTGCGGTCTTCTCGGCTACCATATCGTCAAATACCTTCTGGGGCACGGTACACCCCAAGACAAAATCACCGTCTTCGATATCTCCACCAAAAGCAACCGCTGTCCGGGTGTTGGATACGTTGCCGGCGACTTGGCTTCCAAAACAGATGTTTCCTCTGCATTTGAGATTGCAAAGCCCGACATAGTCATTAACACAGCCTCTCCAGACGCAATGACCCCAGGAGCAGAAATCTTTTGGCAGTGCAATGTCACCGGCGTCCAAAACATCATCTCTTGCGCCCAAGAGCGCGGCATCCGTATCCTAGTCTATTCCTCCAGCTCTGAAGTCGTCCAGGACGGCTACCACGACATTCATTTCGCGACAGAAGACTGGCCTGTTCTTGATAGCCCCGTCAATGGAAGCGTCTACGCGAAGACAAAGGCAATCGGCGAGGGCATCGTCCTTAGCGCGAATCAACAAAAGGGACTCCTAACCACTGCAATTCGCCTAACGACGCTTTTCGGCGAGGCAGATATGGTGCTTACAAGGCATTTCATGCAATTAGGAAGATCGGGGAAAATCAAGTTTCAAGTCGGTGCTGGGAGAAACTTGTATGACTTTATATACGCCGGAAATGCAGCAGAAGGACATATTCTTGCAGCGCGGGTACGTTTTCAATCCAGGACTTTCTCCATTGCTGCGGCCTATACTCAGCTAACTCATCTCTAGGCTTTGCTACGAGCTGCTCAATCTCCAGACCCCATATCCGCTGACAAGCGTGTAGATGGAGAAGCCTTCAATATGAGCAACGGGGATCCGCGGCTCTTCTGGGACGTAGCCCGCTTCGTCTCCACTTGTGCGGGCTACCCAATTGACGAGAAGGACGTCTGGAAGATCTCAATGGGACTTGTGTGCTTCTTCATGGCGATCTGGGAGTGGATTTATTGGTTTGCGACGTTGGGAGGTATGCCCGAGGTGACGAGGAGAATGTTGAAGTATACGGCGCAGGTCCGCACTTTCGACATTACTAAGGCGAGGGAGAGATTAGGATACGTACCAAGGCTGGGGATAGAGGAAGGATTGAGAAGGAGGGTGGAGTGGCATTTGTCGCGCGAGAAGGAGGGGCAGAGGAAGGAGGCGTAGGCGGCGGGGTTGGGTTGGGTTGGGGGCCGTAGACGTGCTTGAGTGGCACGCACATCAGCTGAGGCTGTAACCTAATGCCCTGCACGCATGTCACCATATCTCTTACTCTCAGCTTCAAGCATCCCACCTCGGTGACGCTTTGTGCTTCTTCATATCTATTAGTTGCCATTTCCTCCTGATATCACCTCCATGAATTTATCTTTTTCCCAGCCGTAATTCCAGATAACGTCAATCGCGCATTCTCATCCACTCCAAAATGGCTCTTCCCGAAGTCCCTAATTGGCTCCTCGTGTCCGTCCCATCCCCCATCATCTACTCTCTGCTAACATGGCGTAGCGTCTTGCTCATCCTAACCCTCTTTCCATTCCTGCCCCAACTCTATCGCATCTTCTCGCGAAAGGACAGCTCCGGTATCTCAGCCTACTACGTGTTCTTCAACCTCATCAGCGCCACGGAGCAATTCACCATCGCCTTCTTCCTCAACATGAACACTCACAAGCGCTGTGACTTCTTCGTCCACGATCCAGCTACTGCAGGCGACTGGATCAATCTTGCGCAGTTGGGCCTGGTGTGGATTCTTTGGCTGATGCTGTAAGACGATCTCCAGACCCATTAAGACCATCACCCAGATAGAACCGAGAGACTCATCCTCGATGTCTAGATTCATCGTGTACTTATATTTCCCCTCCGACTGCCGCTCCGGCTCAAAGCCGTTCATCGTAGTCGCGTATGCCGTCTTCTCGCTCGTATCCATCGTCCCGATCTTCTACGACTACCTCGCACCGCCCACGGACGATAGCTGCGGTGATTGGGGACCCGAATTCTGCCGCAACATGATCGAAGGAATGTTCTACTACCTGCACTTAGTCATCATAAACAAGGGTATTCCGGTGTTGTTAATCGTGGCACTGTTTCTTCAAGCGCGGCAGATGCTTTTAAGGCCAGAGGCCCGAGCATTGAGTCGGATTGGTCTGGCTGCCCAGGCTGTGGTTTTTGCAATCGTGGCTGTTTCGTGGACGATGAGGGTCAAGGTCCCAAATGATTCGACGGGGAAAAGGTCGTGGTATGACGAGATTGGCTGGGTTGTTGTTGATAATGTAATTTTTGCGGTTGCTCAGGGGTTGCTGCTGTGCATTTCGTGGCGTCGTACGGCTACGAGGATTAGCAAGGTAGAGGAGGGAGAGAGAGAGCCTCTAGTGCGTGGATAGGCTAGAGATTCAGAAGCCTGGTAACTGATGACATAGCGGTGCAGAAAGAAAGAAGATTCGAATACACCCTCTTGCATCGGTGCGGCGTCGTCGGCATGAATATTGTTGGACTCATAATACTTGGTTGGCGGAAAAGATGTGCGAGTGACGATTGGTAACTCCGAACAACGGCTCACTGATGCAGTATGCCTAGATTAAACTCCGTGACTGGCACGCCAGCTAGGTTCAGGGAAGGCTGAGTAAACTATCAGTATCCAGTATTAGTCGTGAGTTGGAGAAGTTACGATACGAGTATTACGAAGATGATGGCTCACATAGTGATGAGGCAAGTTGGAGTCAAGGGGAGATGTCCTCATCACGCCCCCATGACTCTGCCATCGTCCCAGTCAGAGCCCCTATCTCCGTATGAGAGTCAAAACTCTTGATGCATGCATGACTGTCTCAAAAAAGCATATAAATTGGACCATTCTGTTTTTCCCTTCTTCCCTTTCTTCTTCTCCCTCCCACAAGCATCATTGCCAACAAACGGATCCCACAGTATAATTCATTTTCGAAAGCACCTTTTGAAGACGATCAAATCCTCCAGCACAAGCGAACCCCCCAGCGCAGCTGCCAAACTCGTCCTGATATATCAACAAGACTTTTGGAGAACCTCGGGTTCCGGACATACCTATAGCCCAGTCAATTCAGGAATTCACTCTCAAAGTCGAAAACATGGCAGATCGGAGGGATCGCCAAACCGCTCAACGCGGCAAAGGCAAGGACCGAAACACTTCCCGGACCTCGAGAACCACAGCCGAGCCCGGAGGAAGGACCGGATCCGGATCTTGGAGCGTTATAGCGAATTCGGGCCGGAAAGCGGAAGGCCAACCTGCTGAAACCGGAGATACTAGAGTATCTAGTACAGCCGCTGAAGCAGGAAGCCTGACGGATGCAAGAGATATGAGCGCGGAGAGCCGCGAAGCTCAGTATCGGGCAGGATCGCCTTCGAGGACGTCGGAGTCAGAAGGTACTGTAGCGGACCCGGGAAGCACCCGAACCCGGCTAATTGTTCGAGTAGAAGAAGGTTATTCCATCAGACCGACGAGGCCTCGAGTTCAAACTCCTAGAACGCCGATGTCCCGCAAGCGGATAACGACATCGCCGACCAAGACGCCAAAGTCTCCCACAAGCCCTCGAAAGCAGGGACAAGAGTCTGTGCAAAGCTCCCCTACCAAAGCTCCGAGCTCACCGAAGGTTCGATTCGGGGACAGCGGGCAAGGCGAGGGAGGGACGAGCAGACAGCAAGGCCCAAGGCATCCGGGAGAATCAATGGAAATGCAGCCTGGTGCTGCTGGTGCTGGTCGGGGTGCGCAGCGACGGGGCGAACCGCAAGGAAGTTGCTGCGGGACTGGTAAATGTACTTGTATGTGAAGGCCGAGAAGGCTGCCAATTCCAAACTGCGAGTGTAACCTTTCTTCGTGACTCTTTTGCGTGGCTCGAGCGTTCTGAATGCGTGATATCTGTGTAGGCTTCAGATGTATGAATGCGACAGGACAGAAGGCTGCGGGACGCAAGTGGAAACTCCGAATTTATAACTCCTCGAATCGCTTCATGTTCGAATGTTTAGGCCGGTTGGTACAGGCAGCAAGTAGCCATCGCCATCATAGAACCAATTAGCATATGTTACAGCGACATAACGGAAAGGGAACACACCTTTCCGCCAACTTTTCGACAGCGCGGTGAAAGCACCCGCTCTCACCCGTAGCTCCACCCCGCCAGTCCATGCCACACTTTTCGCAACCGACCTCTATCTCATCTTCTGTCTCAGCCTCAACCTATCTCACCTTCTCATCTCGCATCTCGCACCTCTGACACCCAAGGTAAATTCCCCTTCTCCCCATCCCCCAACGCTCAGTACATCTATCGAAATGGCGACCCTCATCCGCCCGCACACAGCATCCTCCATCCCCTCGCCGAACCGGCCGCAAACCAGCCACAGCACACGCTCCACCATCCGGCGCGTCACACCCTCCCCAGACTCCCTCTCTGAAGCCCTGCATCGCGGATTCGCCTCTGCTTCCACGCCCCGCCTGCGAAGCCGCTCCCGCTCTCCTCCTCTGTCCAATCCTCCCGACGCCGAGTCCGTGAGGCCGCGGACAGCTGGTGAGTCGACTCTACTACTCCTTTACCTCGGACGAGGCGGGGAGAAGGACTAGGGCTGACCAAAAGTAGGTTCACAGGCGCCTCATCGCCGCGACTTTGTTTCGCAAATCCCAAAACCTGCAGCGGGTCTACGACGCAGCGGCGCCGGTCGTATATCACCCACGAAGCGCGGCGTTTCACTGCGCAAATACCGGCCATTGTCAACGCCTTCTCCGCTGCCTTCGCACCGCGAAGTGTCCCACCAGATCGCCCCAGCGATGACCGCGCCGCTGGGCTCCGCACCGCTCCCACCTTCACCTACGCCCTCGCGCCCCGAGACACCCACGCCGATGACGGCAGACCAGCGCCGTGCGCAGTACGCATCGCTCGGCGGCTCTCCCACCCTGCATGCCGCTCCGGACGAGGCCGCTGAAGCCTCTGACAGCATCTCTCCTGCTCCCCTCGCAAGCACCAAACAAGCGACCTCAAATTCGGGCTCTTTCAACCCCACCCGGCAGGCTCGTAACGCTTCTGTCAGCACAGGCGCAGCGTCATACCAAACGACGTTCTCGACACCAGGAAGAGATGAGCTTGAGAGGAAGAAGGTGGAAAGTCACATGGGACCATTTGCGAGGGACGAGGGGCCGTTCGGGACCGCGAAGAGCGTTAAGGACTTGGAGGAAAGGAGGCGGAGGGTATCTGAGGGTTCGAGGAGAGGCGAGGAGAGAAAGAAGGGGCTATGTGGGTGCGGACTGCGGTGCGTCGTTATGTAGTGCGCTAGAGTGTCCTGGTTGGAGATGGCTATCTTGACATGATCCCGCGATGCGTAACGCCAATGGCCCAGAAGGAGAACAGATGAGCTGCTTCGGGTTGACTCGTGATTGCGGATACGTTAAACAAGCTTGCAGCCAGCCACTCTGGTCGGTGGAGGATGCGGATGCCGATTCCGGATTAAGTTCGAGCAACTGCTTGTTAGATTACACAAATACAAACATCTTTAACGGTAAAGAAGCATTAGGGCAATAACGTGAAATATGCCGAACAGATATGTGAATGCAGAGAAATATGTTTTCACTAAGGTATTCGTAGATGTGACTTGAGTGAAACGCACGAGAGTAAACGAAATTACCTAGTCTCTATGCGCTTTAAACCGGTCGAGCTCCCCAAGCAAACGCAATTCAAGCCGTAAACACCCGATCTCCACACACAAACAACGCTCGTCCCAGAGGATGGCCTGCCAATCGCGAGGCTGCACACAACCCATGGCTTCGCCACCCTCCAGTCCACTCGAGCATCCGTTAATGCTTGATGACCTCACGGAGAACTTTCAGCGACTCTCGGTAAACCTGCCGCCGGACGGTTGGGACCTGGACGCGCCCACTGTCCGCGTTCAGCGACAGGCGAGCGGTGTCCTGGACTTACGCCCAATCGATGGGACTGCGAACGAACCGAACGATGCAAGCCGAAGTGACGATAACCTAGCGCGCGGTGGCCGAGATGAAGAAGATGGGTTGCTGGAATCGGTGGATCAGCGAGGCCTCAATGGCGAAGGCAACGACGACCGGGGACAGCGAAAAAGTATGCTCAGTTTTCTGAAGCGATGCGTCTGTCACAGGCATCGCCGGTCGCGCTCAATCAGCTCCGTCGCTTCATCAATGTCCGCCTCCATCTACGAGAGCTTCAAAACTAGCCTCAAGAGTATGTGGCCCTTCAGCAAGCGAAATTCAGACAACCGCAGAAGGCGAAAACGGCGCAAGATATCCGGAACCGAGCTGCTGCTTTGAGAAAGTAAGAATCTTTTGTGTGGCTCCTATATAGGCCGCCGCAGCGAGTGTAGGAAGGTACTAAGAATATGAAGGGACACTAATTCTTCTTCTTGGACGAAGATTCCGTGGCGGCGTCAAGACCGTTTAGGAGGTCGGAACCGAAGGTGAACGTCATGTATGCCGGGAAGACGAGCCAACATCCGCTGCATCATGTCAGTAAAGCTGTGAAGCGTAAGAGGTTTGCGGTGTAGGTATTTCGAGATTTTGCTGCAAGCTTCGTCTCTAAAAAGAGGGAGAGAAACATACTTCATGACGCCATAGAAAAGGACGAGGGTAATCCAATCGTTGTGCTTGGTATTCTCGAAACCAGAGTAGTACTCAGTCAGATCTGCGATGATTAGGTTGGTTCAACGGTTTCCCCAGTCGACATTAGGTCCTGATATGACTCACAGTACAGAAGCGTCTTGCTGAACGTCATAAGCGCCGCCGAAAATCCGATCACCAGCGCCCTGTTCCCCGTCTTCCCCTCAACCTTCATACCGCCCGCGATCCACCCTCTCAGACCTCGGCCAACCTGCAAGCCGGTACCCCCGGGGGCCGCAACTCCATGGTTAAAGATAATCATTATATACAAACCATAAAGCACGCACTCAATCGCATTGAGTACCCCCTGCGCCGCGGCAAACCCATTATTATCGTTCCACCCGGGCCAACCATACACGTAGTCGATGCTCGCGTAGATCTCGTACGGCTTCCATAGGGGCCACTGAATAGCTCCTCCTGCCATTGTGTGCGGACGCGCCAGGATGTAAATGGCGTCCCAGATTACCAGGGGGAGGCTGAAGGTGACCCAGAGGATGGTGATGTTAGACGCCGTGTGCGCCCAAGCTCCAGGAGCAGAGGACGACGAAGAAGAAGCTGCGATTGAGTTCGAGACAGCGCGCCTGGTGAGCGACTTGGACGTGGGCGAGGAGGTGAGGTCGGGCGAGCCGGGTGCAGGCGACGCAGTCGAGTTGCGCGAGCTCTTGCGCGGAGAACCCTTCGTGGGGGATGCCTCCGGGGGAGGGAACTCTCTTGGGTGCTGGCGCGTGGATACCATGGCTGCGACGTGGAGTAGCGGGTAGCAGAGGCTGCTGAAGGGCTTTAGGAAGGGTGATGGCAAGCTGGCCTCGACGGGTGGTGTTGTTGTTATGATGTCGCAATGTGCGCGGGAAGAGCAGGTGGGGACTGCTCGGTTCCTGCTTTTGCCGGCGCGGCTAGCTGAGAGGGGAAGGAATCGGTTCATTGCTTGGCCAATCAGAGAACTAGGGATCCTATGTATGGTCTGATTGGTGCGGACCGAGGAAATAGTAAAAATATCATTCCGTCATTCGAAACACCCACTTCCTATACATATTCCTACTACTCGCGGAGCCGTCGCATGCTATTGCATCGCGGGTATTCAGGTGATAGAGCCCACGCTTTACCATTTATTACAGCTCTGTTGGATGCTGAAATCCTACACTTTCTTCTCCGGCACCTCATGAACCTCCGTCACAGCAGGATCGCTCAGGACCTTCTGAGCCGAAGCAGCGACCTGCCTCTGCGCTTCTTGTTCATCGTCAAACACTAGCCCCAATGTCAGTCTCTGCAGACGCGGCTGGATCCGGGGAAGAAACTCACGGAAGGTCAGCTCCTCTAACGTCTTTCCGTACGTCTCGGGGAAGAAGAAGTAAATAAAGACAACCTATCGAACTGTTAGCAACAAACACGGGCTTAAGCGGAGCGAACGCCTTACCTCAAAGCAGAGCCAGCAGACATATACCAGCAAATACTTCCAATCCGCATTCTCAAGTCCGATCGGGTTGACGAAGCTCCCTACTCGCTATTAGCCTACTTAGACCCCCAGCCCGCACTCCGCATCAAAACTTACCAAACATCACGGCCGACCTCCCCCAGAACTGAAACCACGAGAGTCCCTTCGTCCTCACGTAATACGGGAAAATCTCCACCATATACACATACGTCAACGCATTATACGCGATGCAATACGCCGGGCTGTACATGAAGATGAACACCAGGACTGCGTATCCAGAAGCCGCCGACCCCGTAATACGATTTCGTGCCTGGGCAATCGTCCAGGCGGTGTAGACGCCAACTAGGCAGCAGGCGCAGAGCAAGTACATCCTGCGTCGCGGGAAACGGGGCGTGACGCTAGCCATGACGAGACTAATAAGGAAACCCCAAGCCTGGGTGCCGACATTATATCGGACCTGCGTATGCGAGTCCTTAATCCCGATTTTGGTTAGAATCGGCACGAGGTACTGGCTGATCAGGTTGTTGCCCGAGAACTGGACGAAAAGGCCCAGCGCTGCTGCGACAAGCGACCTGCGCCGCATGCCGGTGGTCTGGAAGAGTTCAATCCATCCGCGTCTTCGGGACTCGTTCTCGATCTCGAGAGCCTTTCTGATTTCAGCGAGCTCTACGTGAGGCAGTTCTTGTGACGCGTCGCCTTCGGCGTGGTACTTGATGAGGATAGCGAGCGCTTCTTCGTTGCGATCTTTACTGACGAGCCAACGGGGACTTTCAGGAACCGTAAATGCGAACGCGATCTGGATGACGGACGGTAGTGCCTGGAGAAGACTGGGGAGGCGCCAGCTCCAGTCACTCGGGATGAGGATGGTTCGCACCACGATGCCTGCGCCGAGCACGGCTCCGACTCCGTAGAATGCGTTAAACATCGACCCTAGGAACGCCCGTTCTTTGGGGTGGCCAAGTTCACCAAGGAGGGCGGCTCCACCGATGATGGCATAGACGATGCCGTGTCCGAGAAAGATACGTGAGAACACAAACATTGCCACTGACACTTTTCAGCATGTCATCCCAATACATAGAGTGAAGAACTTACAATTCCGAGACAATCCCTGCATAATTGAGCCGATAATCATAATTATAGACCCGAATATGATACTCCATCTTCGCCCAACATGATCCGAAACTATCGATACGAAAGGGATCGAGCTGACGGCACCCACATTATAGCAAGCGACGAGTAAGCCCAGCTGCCCTCCCTTAGGATTGTTGAAGTATTCCTTCCAATAGACCAAAGCCTGCATGCCGTTCATCATCGATGAGTCGAAGCCGGAGGTTGATTCAATGAAGAGACAGAAAGGGATGAGGAGAAGGTAAAGACGACGCAGGTTGGGCTTGCTCCACCAGCGTACATTGTCATTCTTGACCAGCTGCTCGATAATTCCCTCGGTCGCTCCTCCTCCTGGAGCCATGATGTCTTAGTTAGGGGAGACTTGATTTTGTAATTAATGTCGGCCTAGCGTGCGTTGAAAGGAGTGAGCGTGCTCTCTCTGAAGGGTTCAGGTTGCGGTTTATATTCACACTTACCCTCGTAAGGCCATCCACATTGTCGGCACAGCTCGCTGCGAGTAATACCACGGACCGTCTCTCCCATGCTGCCCAGCCTTGGCTGGAGGGGTCGGTGGTATTCCGGCGGTAGATCATCTAGCGTCCATGAGTTTTTCCACAAATGCTACATATCATCTCCAGGATTCGAATGTCTGGGCGCTGGATACAATATGTTCGCAGAGCAGGTGATGCATGGAACCGAGCAGGCGCGAATCGAAGAGGGTGGCTCCATGGTTTTGGTGCTCGTTGCCCAGCGCACACATCGTTGACTAATTTCCTAGAATACCGCATGCCGTGAAAATAAAAATTCCAAAGCATGTTGCTTTGCAGTTTTGTCCCATACTCCGGTTGAAAGTCTTCGTGTTGTCGAAAGTCGTTACCGGTAGTTCACCCACACGCGTCGCGCTAGCCTCTTTAGCCACGGTCCGTGTCGAAAACGTAGACTGTCACAACTCCATCTGGGGTGGCCTCGCTTCCAACGTTTTCCAGATCTTTTAACGAATCATTACGGGCAGGTTGTACGTCGAGAGACTGTACAAGGCTGAGCGGTGAGCTGGCCAACTGCGCAAGCCGAAGGACGAGGGGTAGAGAACCTTGGAAGTAGAGGGTGCGACTTTGAAGATTAAGCCAAATCTAGTATAGCTTTGAGCTCCACAAACCTGAGGTACCACCTTCGCACCGTGCACAGTGAGACCCATATGCGCATATGTACAATCTCTGAGGCCATTATACAGTCCATATCCTGCAACTTGATCATCATATCCAACGCCTGCGCGATAACGGCGGTGCTATCCCTCGATGGTCTCATTCCTCACTACTCCAAAAAGTGGTACCGCGCTATCACTGACCCCTTGCACCCTTTCCATCATGCCTCCGTTCAAGCCTCCGTCTCCTGCAACTCGCGGGCTGCCGAGAGCAGGAGTATTGCTGGGCCACGCCCATAGAGCATCGAAATCGATCTGCTCATCCGCGCCGCTCTCTTCAGAATACAGGCTTGGTACCCTCGTTGCATCGAGACCAGAAAGGTCGAGCACATTTGAGAGGCTGGGAGGTTTGGAAGGTAGCTCAATATTGAAGGTCTCTGTACCAGTGGTGGCTGCTGGAGTGTGCTGGATGGGCGAGAGGTGGACGGATAAGTTCGGTGGAACTAGAGTTTGTGCTAGAGGCTGCGGTTGGAAGGAGGATGAGGGGTCGCCGACGGGAGCAGTCTGCATTCCAGGGTAGATGTGGATTGGTACTTGATGAAGGCGTGGTGTTACGTTGTTCGGATCGGATCTTGGCATTGCCGCTGCGTTCTGCTGCTGATTCGGTATGGATACGCCGTACAGCTGGGAGGATATGCTGGGTAGATTCAGATTATCTGACTGGCTTTGCTTCCTCCGCATTCTTTGCTGTGCCACAACATCTCGAAATGAGTTCAAGATGTAGACTAACCGGCTTGCTTGCTGGTCGCTTTCGGCGCAGTAGTTCATGATCGTGATAGCGTTGAGGATGCAAGAATCTGCAGAGTCGACTTTGTAGAGTCCAGCAAATTCGTTGGCTAGGATCACGAGCGCAGCGGCAAATAGGAAGTAGATGACGGCAGGATTGCGGCGTGAAAGGTATCCAGCATCAAAGGCGTTTTGGACGAGAAGAATTGTATGCGTCGATGCGATGACGCAAGCTTCGCTGAACTTCTCCATACGAAGATACGGTCTCGGTGCTCGGTTTCCGGTAGATGCTTGACTAATTTGCCGTTGGGATTCCATATTCAAAATGTACAGGAAGAAAGGTCGCGTAAGCAGAATGATGGAGTGACAGTAGAAGAGGTTGACATGGAGAATGGCAACACCCTGACTTGGACTAGCGCTCGCCGCCTGACGCCAATGGAGCATAGGGGGTAGAGCACGCGGCCACGATTTGCAAATGTCCGCGATCTCTTGGGCCAGGCGTGTGCTTATTTTGCGGCGTTGGTAGACTTTGTTGAGAATGAGCCCAATGGCAGAACAGCTTCTTACGGCTGCTTCGAGACCATATGCACCGGTCTCACTAAAGTCCGCGTTCATGTTGGAAGTTGTGCTGAAAGCTGGGTCCGGTGGTGGCTCCGGTGGGTGAAGAGCGTCTCCAGAGCAGTCGGTTTCCGATATCGCGGTAGGACGGCCTAAGGAGCACGAGAGAAGGCGGTCCATGACGAATATAGAGCGCCACAAGTTCTTCCGTGCTTTTTGATCTTCTTGGCTGAATATCACCATAGTCTCTTCTCTGTGGAGGCCTAGCGCCTGAGCGGAGCGAGCAGCCATGCCCAGCAGTGCAAAAGCGTTGTTACGTTTCGACTTGGCGAGCATGTAAACGGACATGAGGAGCAATGCCTGTATCGACCAGAAGTCTTGGTCCTCTAATCCAGTCATAGGATCGTTAAGATGTTTAGCGTTCAAGTAGAAAACTTCCGCTCGGTCCAAATGCTCGCTTCTAAGTTTGTCAACGATGAGGGCTTCCGGACTACCAGAAAGAGGCGTCGCCATAGTCAAGCCAATGGCGAAGACCAAGTTCAACAAGCAGAGCCACGAAGGCTCTGTGGAGAGTGGATCGGAATAGCATCGGTCAAGCTCTTCCAAGAATTGATGGCGCTCGAATACCTGTAAAAGACCGTGCGTGTTGATGAAGAAGGCGTCGACAAGCACACGAGCCGTTCTTTGGTCAGGTAGGAGATGAGTATGCGGGGCTCCGGCTGGCAGAGAGAATTGACCTTCGACGATCTTATGCCGACGAGGATCGTTGGTAAACGGAGATTGTCCGATGGCGTTTTCTACCATCATCCGTAGGAGCTGAAGGAAAGAGAGCGTCGCCGAATCGCCGACATAGACTGAAGATGGTTAGTAGAGGTCACGCAAGAAGTATATGGCGCATTCTGATCAACTGAAGACGCAAGTGCGGTGAGAACTCCAAAGCTGATAGTTAGGGGTAGCTTCGCTTGGAAGCCTTCATGGTCCCTTGCAGAGGTGAGAAACAGGGGCGTGACCTACGCAGTCTGCCTGTCGGGTCTTGCAGCATTCTGGTCTGAGTGTAGACCACAGCCTCCTCCTCCTGCCCGCTTTGAACTGTGGAACCACGTGACATCAATGGCGGGGGATCGTCCATAGATGAGCCTGCCGCAAGCTGCTGCAATGACGCCGCAGCTTCAATGGTGGGCTGTTCATCGGGAGCCTTGAAGTAACTCTCCTGCTTGACGCTCAATGGGTGAGATACAGGCTCCTGTGCGCCGTAGCCTGCCCGTTGAAGAGTGGGAGACACATGAGGAGGGATATTGAGCGGTGACGGAGCGTGTTGTACATTGGCTGGAGTATGGGATGCAGACTGGTCGTGAATGCTCGGGCTGGTGTGGTCGCCCTCCAGTGTTTGCTTTTTTGCTGGCCTGCCATCGGAAGGGGATGGGGCGTCCCGCTCGCTATAGATGCACGTGAACTTCCTCTACGATATGTCAGCCAGAAACATACCTCGTATATCCAGACCAGAAGTGCTTCAGCGGGTGGCCCACGATTCCCCTCGCATGGAATGGTAGCTTACCTTCTCGCAGGTATTACAAGGGCAGAGGCCGTTGCACTTGTCGTATGTCAGTCCGGTTCAAGAGGACGGAAACAGCCTAGGGAGTCCCCAGGGTCAAGCCATTCAAAGCGACATCTGTTTGAGGAGGAGCGAATGCGATTACTCTTCGTAGAGGACCTTGCAGTCCTATCGTTTGCCGACCTCCCAGACCATTCAGGGGTAAGGTTGAAATGCAAGCACCCGATGAATAGATGGAGTGCTGGATCCAACACAATATCCGACAAGGCTGCCGGCTGTGCCCCCGTTGGTCGCTAATATGCCGGGTTGATGAACTAATATGGAAACAGAGACTCGCCTTCTGCTTTCGACGCTTACAGCTTTCACAGGCCTGGGCGGTGCGCTGTCGTTGTTCTATCCGACGCAGCAATATTAGAAGCGTGTTGCAACGGCTGCAGACTTTGCAGCGAGCGGAGAAGCCTCACCGGGTGGCACTTTGGGCCGTGTCATGCCGGCCGCTTCTGCCCACGGCTGCACACAATTAGGCACGCGTAGTGTGGTGCTCGATGGGCTGGCTGGATGTTCTTCTTCCGAGTGCGTCGGATGTCCCCGATAGAGTAGGCAAGGATGAGTGTCGGATGAGGGATTGCGCTGGCGGATGGCGAGGCGGTCGTCAGCGCATGCGGGGATTGAACGACCGCATATTAGCGACGCGCTGGATCAGCAAATAATCGGCGTTGCAGATAGCACAAAGGACCTGGTGGTTGGGTCGTCTGCTCAGGGCTGGAGCGTGGAGACGCTGTTCTTTCGCACAAATCGGGGCACGTGCACGACGACGAGAGCGCATCGGGCCTAGTCGCGCTAGGCAGGGCCGAGGCATCGGCTAGCGCCCGCCCCTCTCGGCTCGCTGACTACGGCCGCCTCATCCTGTCTGGCTTCAACTCACCATGCGTGCAAGGCCAGCCCTACTACCGCTTGACTGCGTCCGCGGAGCGCAGGGGAGGGATCAGCGTCGGACGACATTAGCCTCGTCCAAACGTTGCCCACGTTGAACATGGGGCTAACGGACCTTGGACGGAAGCCTCGCAACGGCGTCCCGCTATTCAATATGTCTCCGTCCCCTCTCTTCACCTGCCCTCTTACGCTCTTTCTCTGCTTTGTTTCCGCGTCTGAGCCATTCAGCTATCTTTCAAAATGACGCGTCTCATGGCAGCCGGGAACGGTTACACCAATGGCACTGCGTCCCACAAGTATACCCTCTTCGAAGGCACACGGTCGGCCCTGGAGCATCTGTTAAGCCGAGCAAATAGCCAGCTTCCAGAAGAGTGCCTTCATCATATCGTCAATGTCGACTTCTCGACCGCCAACACCGGAAGCCCATACTTTCCGAGCCCACTGAAACAGACAGAGGCCATATCCGCCCTCAAGGCTGTCGAAGCCGGAGTTGCCGCAACCATTGCAGACCTCGCAGAGGGCTCCCAAGCGCGGGGGATCGAGGTCGACCTTGAACGCGCTTCGGCGTTCCTGTTCTCGACGTATCTTGCCACCGTGGGCGGCATGGACAAGGCCCATCCGAAGGTCAAGAAGATGCTGAAAGGTAAGCCTCTCGAACACAATAGCTAATACAAACGGCTAACTATTAATAGATACCGATCTCCTACAAGCACAGTCCATCCTCTACCGCAGGCTTTCCGCAAACTTGTACCAGACAAAGACTCCCGGAGAGTACTTCCACCTTCATGGCTCGCTGGAAGCCACGAAGGCGCTGAACATGGTTGGGCTTGAGGGCCACCGGCCTGATTTGACCGACTACCACGAATGCATTAGGATTATTGAGGACCACGTCTCAAGGTTTACTGCTGATGAGCTTGAGGAGATGAACTGTCGAATCAAGCAAGCCGGCGTGACCTGCTTGAAGTGGGAAGATTTCCAGGCGACAGAGCACGGGCAAGCGCTGATCAAAGAGCCGCCATGGAAGCTGGAGACACTGGACTCGGACTCTCCGCCTGCCCCGTTCCCGTTCAAACCCTCCTCCGCACCAAAGCCTCAGATTCTGGCGGGCATCCGCGTCCTCGAGCTGTGCCGGATAATTGCGGGACCTGCGATAGGACGCGGCTTAGCTGAATACGGAGCTGAAGTGATCAAAATAACCTCGCCGAATCTGTCCGACGTTCCCTTCTTTCAGGTAGACGGAAATCTAGGCAAGCACACCATCGACCTCAACCTTCGCGATGCCAACGACCGAAAGACCTTTGAGGAGCTGTTGCAGTCCGCCGATGTCATACTTGATGGTTACCGGCCAGGAAGTCTGATTCGTCTCGGGTACGGGCCCCAACAAATCCTCCAACTGACTAAGCATCGCCAACGTGGCATCGTATATGTCGCTGAGAACTGCTTTGGACACGTCGGTCCATGGTCATCCCGGCCTGGCTGGCAGCAGATTGCAGACTGTGTAACTGGTGTTGCATGGGCACAAGGCCTTGCAATGGGCGTTGGCGAACCCGTCGTGCCACCTTTTCCCATGAGCGACTACGGGACTGGCTGCATGGGCACAATTGCAGCGCTGACCGGCCTGTACAAAAGAGCGAAATACGGGGGAAGCTACATGGGAACGACATCCTTGGCCCAATACGACATTTACCTACTTCAGCTCGGATTATACGACAAGCGCATGATGTCGGAGCTGAGGGAGCAGCACGATGACGAATTCTTTCAGCTGAGGCACAACGATTCGGTGGATGAAGTGGGAAAGCGCGCATTGAAGACAATAAGGAGGGTTCATCCAGAGTTATTTGAGGAGCGCCACATGCAGGAGTGCTTCAGCAGGGGGTTCAACGCAAACATCCGGACGGTACGGCCTGTTGTCAGTGTAGAAGGAACTTGGAACGGCTTCTTGAGGAGCTCAAGGCCCAATGGCTTTGACAAGCCGACGTGGGAAGACTGGGAGGTAGACGATGACATGCTCAAGACCTGACGCGGGTGGGCAGCACGATTTTCATTTTCTTCTCTCTCGTATCTCTGTTATATTTGGCATGCTGCATGCATAGCGATGCCTCTACCTAATAGTCACTCTTTCCACTCGAGCCTCACTTTTCCCTCATGATCACACGCCGTTCACGTCACACCCGAACAGTCTTCCGTCGCCATGGTTACTCCGACCCTCCCATGGGTTTCAGCCCCACTCTTCCCCACCGCTTACAAGCACCCGCGTCCCGACTCTCCATCATACGATACTCACGCTCCAGTGCAGCATCCGACGACTTATCCAACACCCACCATCGCCACCACCCTGGTACTCCAAGCTAAAGTCTCGGTTACCGCATCCGGAAATTCTGGAAAATCGGAAGCCGAGCACAGCGGCATCCTGGGGTCTTTTCGGCAGATGTGCAGCTCATCGTACTGATGCGGGCGCTCAGGCGTCGCGATCCCGCAGAAAATATGGGTCCTCCCGCGCCTTCCGCTGATGACGCTAGCTCCGCAAGGTGGTTATCCGGTATGCGCGCCAAGTCGGATATTAGCGTTCGGATCGTGTATGTTGACTACATCAGGTCGAAGAACGACGGCCTTGACTTTAGACGTCGCTGGCGGGGAAGGACGAAGGACGGAGAACTCGCGATGCTGCCGTTCGCCTTTGGACGCTGGCCTTCTTCGAGAGCAGGCCAGTGCGGATGGTCATGGGATCCAACAGGGAGTCAATTTCATGTGCTTGTTCAACTTGGGCAATGCACGGTGTTCACGCATACCCCGCTGTCGATCGAATCGCCTTGGGGTGAGGGTCAGTAATGACCATGTGCTCTACCCTCATTTGCGCTGCCTGCGAAGGTGTGGATGTCGAATCATACTGGATAAGGCTACCAAGCCGACGCCCTACTGTCCTACAGCTGCCTCTTCAATGGTGGGGATTAGTTCCGTCACCTAGGTCGATTCGTCAGGCTTGAAACGTTTCCAGGCGCAGGCCATCAGCGACGCTGAGAAAGCGGCGACGGCCAGATTCCCGTAGTCTCGCCAGCGGTTACTACTGTGCTCGTCACCCATGGTCATGATAGCGACGGTCCGCTGACTGCCAGACTCAAGTCGAACTCTGTTTGCCCAACATGTTGCCGTTTCCATTGTGCTTCCACGTCTCCCCCGCCCTTGCTGTCTCGCAATTGGTACCCTCGGCAACAAGAGATATCGTCGAATTGTCGGCCTATGGAGGGAGTTGTCGACCGCAAGCGCCACCTCGTCGCTGTGGTCGTGGTTAGCCTCAGGTGAGGCAGCATTTCGCCGGATGGGGCTACACGCTCGAGAGCTGGAAGAGCTTGTCGTGAGGTCACGCTCAGCTCTGCTGTCGCCGCGATCTTATGAAGGTCTTCTGGTTCTTCTCAAGAGCCCCAGCTGGATCTCGATTGCCTTCGCTCTTAGCGAGTTGCTTACCTTCAACTGCCATCGTTTATAGTGAGCCTCCCTCTCCCCCCGTGCTTGCGTACGGACAAGAGACTCCATCGACACAGCATCACGGCGATTCAAGGCATCACCCTGAATTCTCAGACACTCAGACATTCCTAATTGCCTAAGCTCCTGCCCGACTTCACTCCCCCAACGCAGTCTGTCCTCATGCTCACCCTCACCCTCGCCCAACTCAAGTTCTCGCTTCTACTACACGTTACCATAGCCATCTCGTCTCCGCTCCTTCCTCATCTTGCCAACCTCATTTCCGCGTCAAGCCGCGCCTGAGTCACCTTCACCGGCCTCCCCGCGAGCTCTCGAGTCCCTCGACGTCACGCCCTCATCGTTATCTCGCTGCCTTGACATCCCGGGCCAATCAAGGGCTCGCAAAGGGCTGCCCGCGCTGGATCACCACGCTAAAACAGTCAGAAGCTCGACGCTCTGACCACACGCTCGTCGTCAACACCCGCCCTCGCCACTTCACCTGCCTGGCCCGCCAATCACCCGCAAGCTCTCCGCCCTTATCGACGGATCACGCCAGCGGAAGGGCGCAGAAACTCTCCGAAAGCTCGACGCTCTGACCGCGAGCCCGTCGCCGCAACTTCACCGCCCTGACGGTTGTTGCTCCCGGCCAATCAGCAGCCCCAATTCCTCTCACTTGGCCAGATCACAAGCCCCAAATCTCCGAAAAGCCTCAAGCCCTGCCGAAACTTGCTCTCGCTTATCAGCTGGTGCCTGAGAGCGCGCTCTTGGCATTGTGATCCAGCGGCCGCACGGGTGATCCGCGGAGCCCCCGTACGTCTATATAAACCTCGCCCGCCCCCCTCCAACGAAGTCTCCTTTCCTCCACTCCAGTCCACACTCAAGTTCAAGTCTTCAACTGTTCGACTTCCAGTCATCACTCCTTCAGTCATGACTCGTCCTCTCAACATCCAATGCCTTCGGCACTTCGGATCTCAGTCATGGCTTCTCCACCTCAATGGCCCTTGGCCTTGAGCACTCCAAGTATGACGCCTTCCTCCCTTCTTCGGCCTTCATCTGACCTTCAATAGACATCATACTCATGCTCGGCCTCACCTACATCTGGCCTTCACCTACTCTTGGTCTTCACCTACCCTTGGCCTTCACCTCACATCTCCACATCGACACTCTACCATGAGCATGTCAACAAACAATGACGTCACATCATCACGTCGGCCTCAACCCTTGACCTCCATCTCTACCTCAGGTCACTCAGTCACATCAACATGTCGTCGTCACGTCACCCCATCCAAGGTCTCTCACTCCGGCTTTCGCCTTCGACCTTCAGAGCTTCGAGTCGCCTACCTACCCTCCTTCACCTGCCTTCACCAAAACAACAAGTTTGTTCACCCCCTTCCACTCACTGACTAGTTACTGACCTCTCTTAGATAAGTCTAAAAAGATCACGTCCAAAAAAAATCTCCCCACCCACATCGTCTCACCCAACTCCAATCCGACCAACCTCCATAGACGTGAGTGTTGACTACCTGGCATGCACATACACCGGTATGTGTTCGGGACAACGGTAGCACCAACACTCGCCTCTCAGACCGAAATCCGTCTCCCCTCAAAAGCCACTTCCATCCGACTCCTCTCAATCTCCTCGATCGACCTAGACGCGAGTGTTGACTACCCGGCATGCACATACACCGGTATGTGTTCGGGACAACGGTAGCACCAACACTCGCCTCTCCGACCGCGACCGCGACCGCATCCAACGCGTGACTACTACACCCTGTCCGGCGCTCTCAGAGTCAGGTCAAAGACAGGAAGGCACGTCACCCGATACCACTCTACCACCACCTCAACATTCATTCATCCAATATACACCCACATCGACATCCACTTATCTCTTCATACCATCATCTCACATCATCTCAACAAACAAAAAAACAAGTAAGCCAGTCCCTCCCATCATTGACCTTCCACTGACCTCTCCCAGAAATAAAAACAATAAAAAAAACCGGATGCGTAAACAGCATCATCTCAGGTGTCAACAACGAAAAACAAGTAAGCCAATTCCCTCCCTTCCATCATTGACCTTCCATTAACCTCTTCCAGAAAAAAATTCGATGCGTAAAAAGCATCAACACATCGTCAACACATCAACAAACATTGACGGCGCAAAAAAAAAGCGTCAGGACTTGGTTCGCTTGGGCTTTTTCTGTACTATGTTCTCCTTCTGATGGTTTGGAATCTGGGCTCGGACTCTCTTGTACTGATTTCTTCTTCTGGTTTCTTCTTCATCCTTCTTCCTGGGTGCCCTCAGTAGGCTCTGGTTCGGTTAGCAGGTTCTCGTTGGAGGTCACATCAGTGTGTCTGAGAAATCCTCAGACACACTGGTGTGACCTGAGAGTCTGCTAGCTAGAATTAATCCTACCCCTAAGGGCACCCACCGCTTGGTCTTTGGTCTTCGGTCTTCTTCAGCTTGGTCTCTCTGGTCTTTGGTTTATGGTCTCGGGTCTTATCGAACATCAATCAATAACATCTTCACATCAATGATTCTCTTCCTTCGCCTTAGTGACTTGTACCTACCTCTCACCTTCTATGCCTCATAACTTATCGTACCTTCGCCTCGATTCCTTCAACCCTCCGGCCTTCAGTGATCCCCCCTCGCCCTCACCCTCGCCTAAGCGTCTTAAAACTTCAACCTTTAATAACTATACCAGCGGCCCAGCATAACCCTCGCCCTTCGTTGACCACATGGCTCCTCTGCAAGACCATCGCCACCTTATCTTATCATGCCTTCGCCTTCGCTAGAACACCCTCTACGAGTCGCCACAGAGGCTCACCCGTGCTCCTTCATCGCCACCCCGTGGCACTCACTCAGCGACGGCTCTCCCCTTCTCTACAAGTCTACGCCCACCAGCTGCGCACTACCGCACATCTCTTTCCTCACCCTTACCTTCTAGATACGCAACTCCCGCTCACCCGGGGAACGCATTTTGTGCCGCCCATCCACATGAGAGCTCACACACTCTCTCCATGTTCCTATCCGCGTGGGCTTCAGCGCGGACGGCCATGACGTTAAAGCACGCTCACCATACGTTGACTTTCGTAGTGCACTCCTACTGCTCTCTTAAAGCTGTAACATCCCGGCGTGGCGCTAGGTAAGGTAAGTGTGACATCTTTGATATTAAGAGAGAGTTTCGTGGGGAGGCATACGCCCTAACAGATTCTGAGATATCATACAGTCATGACTGTGAGAGCATGCCCTTTCTACTCCCACTTCCATGGGGAATTTCTCCATTTCTTACCCCAATCTCCAGCAAAAGGCACATTGCCTCGCCTCAGCTCCAACGCATCATTGCACTGCATGCGGATCGAACTGCCACCGAGTATTGTCCGTGAAGTAATTCTACTTCTCCACAACGAACCTCACATCCTTCATTGCCTCAAGAGTTTCGCTCAAAGGCTCGTTCTCGTCACCCATAGCCCAGTCGACGACCTCTTCCAGGACTTTGCTTCCAACGCCCTCGAACGGTAGCCAATGGCCCGCGCCGGCGATGGTCAGCAATTGGCTGCCCTTGACTAAATAGTCCCCAAGTCCCTCTAGTCCCAACCTCTTATCAAAGCTTCGGTCCTCAATGCCGTATACGACAGTAGCAGGCGCCTTGAGCGCGCCCGCTGGGCCTTCATCGAGGAAGCCGGCACCGGAGCTAGAACGCCTAAGCGATGTCGGGATCTCCGAAAGCTCAACGACGGTCTCTAGCGACTTCTCCCACGGATTGAGCAGCAAATGCTCGCGATATATCCTGATCTTCTCGCTCATTCCCCAGTCCCCCGCCCTCTTCCTCACACTCTCGGGATACTCCCCCTCAGCCTCCAAAATCTGCGTCACACTGGGCCCGGCGCTCATAGAGAGAAATTCAGCCGTCTCTTTCGAACCAAGTTTCCTTGACCATGAGCCGTCTGGCCTCAGCAGGCCTGCCGCGACGTTGTGGAGAAGCTTGAGGAACCAATAGTTCCCGAAAGTGACGAAGGAGGTAGAGAATGGATATGGGAGTCTGAAGATGAAGACGTAGAAGGAGCGGCCGAGCTGCGAGATGATGGGAACGAGGGTGGAAAGGGCGTTTTTAAGGAGTCGGATGTTGAGCGGGCGGCGGAGGTAAGTGTGCAGCATTTGCTTTGCGGAGGCGAAGCGGGTGGATGCATTGGAGAGGACGTGTTCAGGCTATTACCATAATTAGGAGGGATGTAATCGCTGGGGAAAGAGACGTACAATGATAGCGCTCGCAATAACCCACCGATCCGCCAACTGGCTGGCCTCCGCCGCAAGCCTGGCGCTCACAATGGCTCCCCAGTCATGGCTCGCGACCACCATCTTGCTCCCTTCTTTCATATGTTCTGTCCGCATGCCCAGTATAAACTCCGCCATTGCCTCCAACACCTCGTTCGGACCGTATCTTGGGAAACTATCGCTGCCACCGTAGCCAGGGAGATCGACTGCGATCAAGATGTGGGACTCGAGGGACGAAGACTTGAGGATATTGCGCCAGAGGAGGAAGGAATCAGGAAAGCCTGTTTGGCAATGGGGTCAGTATAGAGAAGGACGTGGTGGACCGAAAAGCTCACCATGGATGAATATAGCTACATTCTTAGCCGACGAGGTTCCTGCATTCGAATTGAGGACATAATGGAGCTTCAAGCCATTTCTAAGCCTGAAGAACCTGTGCGTGAAGCCGGGGAACGGTTCTTGGTCGAGGCTCCAGTATCTCTTCTGAGCTACGAAGCGTCAGCCTTTGCAAGCGCCCAAGGAGCTGAATCGAGCTCCAAGAAAGGTCAGCCGTACCCGCAGCCAATTGCCTCTTCTCCTCTTCGTCCATTTTCTTCGTAAACGCGCCCTCCCGAATCACCGCCCTCGCCACCATGGCGATCCAGCTCACGAATCCATACAAAAGGCTGAAGCCCCGCCAGACGATCTCTCCAAGCATGATGCCGCAATAACCAACGATTTCGCTTTCACAGGAACGCTCTCCGAAAGCTCAGGCTGGAGACCCTGGGATTGGGGTCGAACAAATTCCGAGCTCATCCGCTGAGCCCAGCTACTGTAGAGGGATTCAAAGACGATGTCGGGTAAGTTCGAGAGGACAAACGATGCTCGAAGCAACTAAGAAGAAGGCGTGTAAGCCGTGAGAAGGGCAGCAGGCGCGTCTTTAACCCTCCCATTGCGATGCAGAGGCAGGTGATTTGTCCCACGCGGCAGGGTCCAAGATCATCGGCGGGCAATGACGATGGTTGGCCAGAGCTCCAGATGCCCCTCGCGTCCTTGCCGCTTTTGGATAGCTGTTGATCGCGATCAGCACCTTGTGTTCACACCTCAAACGGCTCTCACTTTTGCCTCAATCGGGCGCCGTCTGAGGAGTCACTGGGAGTTTTGTTTGTGTGGTACAAATTGTGAATTTCTAGCTAGAGGGTGTGACGAGTTTATGCGCTCTACATTTGATTATATGCTGCTGAACGCGACGTCATCAACACTCGCTGCGCACACGGTTCTCCCACCCTTGCACATGCACCGCCGTGCGCTATTCTGTTGAGATCCTTGAGCGTGCTTTGTGCAAGTCATTGGGCCTCTAACCCAGAAACGCTCTGAGCGCTTAAAATTCCAAGAAGGCGTCGATGGAGTCGATGTTTTGCCTTTCTCCGCTTTCATAGGATGGTGCTACATTTATATATATGTAGCCTTCGGAGCGCGAGACCGTATTAGCCACAGCTCGGAGGGCTTCGCGCTGCGTAGTTGCGTGCGGCCGGGGATTTGGCGTCGCGCAAAATGTCCGCCTCCTTTAAGATCTATGCTCTGGTGGGGCACGCCATATAACACCGTCATCCACATGCCACCCTTTTCCATTTCCTTTGCCTATAATCGAGTCCATCAACTGCCGCGCGAGGCAACGATTAAGACGTATCCTCTTCACCTCTTCCGACCTCCCTTAATCTTCTCCGCAACGCTCAGCTCCAAGGCCCGCTGCACATTCAGATCCTCCAACTCCCTCTCAACCGCCCTATTTCTTTTCACAGACTCTTCCCTGTCCCTCATTCTCTCTCGTACAAGCTCCATCTTCTCTCTAATCTTCTCCTCAACTACCCGCTCCAGCTGCCCCGCATCTTCAATACCATGCTCCTCTATAAACCTCTTCGCGAAGTCCGCTACCGTCGACGGACTCGGCCCGGGCCCGCCCGTGTGATATCCATTCGGGTGGGTAAGAAGAACACCGGGGATTAGCGAGGCGTGCGTTCGCAGCGGCGAGTTTAGTGGAACGGGAAGCGTTGTGGGGTTTATGACTGGAGTCTCGGGGAGCGGCGTTCGGGGCGGTATATTTTCGGGCGAATAGAGAACGGCCTGCATGAGTGAGTTCTCAAATGCTTCGTCGTAGGTGACCGTTGCGGGCGAGTAGTCTATTACTGGAGAGGTGGGGTCGGGGTCTGCGTCTTCGCCTGGCGTAAGCGGCGCGTTGGCCATGAGCTCGTCTTCCTGAGCCATGTCAGAGACGAGTTAGATGTGTGGTCATATGCGACGCGACGAAAGAAAAGGTGTGAATTCGACTCTTGACGAAGGTTCTGGCGCGAATCCCAACCCGAAGTTGAGGTCAAGGTCTAACGTTTGCTGACTAAGCTACCCAAACCTGCCCAGGTGAGTTCCCTTCTCTTTTCTGGGCCATTCTTGCCAAGTCACTCCCAACGTCCACTCTTTGTAGAACTAGCTATGAAGACTCATTTGGAGAAAGACGGATTATTGCCGGTTCTGAGCTGCCTGCAATGGACATATTGGCCCGATCACCCCCTCTTTTCGTCTTTTAGCAATCCAAGCTGCGCCATCTAAGGCCTTCTACTCATACAGGCTCATCTCGCTGAAGGAGATCTAAGGCTCTGAAAACCACAGATCTCACTCTGCATCTCCCACCGGCTATGCGTCCTTCAGGAATAGGCAGCCGCGGATCAGATTCCTCTTTCGGCAATGCTTTCGACAACACGTACACCCGGCTACAGAACGCAATTCTCCTCTACTCTGCCAGGCGAGCATGCAAAAGACGGAGAGAATGCCAGTACCCCACAAATCGACCCAGTGACCAGGCCCCAGCTCCGACACACCCGAAAAAGGTTGAGGATGCGGGGAAACAACTTGAGCCGGAAAGAATTCGGCCTCCTTTTTACCACTGCTCGGAACAGTGGCAATTTGACTCGGTAGTCGCTACATTTACTGGATATTAAGGTTGCGCGTCTCCGCGCGTCTCCGCGCGTCTCCTACACTGTTGTTAAATTCGATATTCCTGTCTTAGTTTCTTGGCTTTCAGGAACATCATTTCCATGGTGAGGATCTCGAGTGTAGTTGGTAATGGTAGAGCTCCTCTGTTCCGGGGATAGGTTTACAGGTGCGTAAGGGAGTTAGAGGTGCAATATGAGATGCAGCTCCCACTATAGTTCAAGTTATCCGCAGCATGACCACCCCTTGTACGTAGGTGCGATATAAATACAAGCAGGGCTACAGTACAGACAGAATGAGAAGTTGACGAAGCGCACATCACTATGAAGCTCTTGATCTTGGGCCTTGCGGCAGCGATTTTGTCCCAGGCCGCACCGACCGGTGTGTCTACAAGGGCAGCATGCGCAACGAAGTCTCAAAGGAAGGCATGGTACGTTCGGTCCATTGATAATCATACCAGATTCCCCTCAAAAGCAGATTGCTAATCATCAGCCTATGATAGGCATACCCTGACTCGAGATGAGAAGCTAGCCTACCTCAACGCCGAGAAATGCCTCATGTCTCTTCCAGCGGAGCTGGGTTTCGAAGGGCCCAGAACCCGCTTCGACGAATTTCAAAAGCTGCACGTTTTCGCTACGTCAACAGTGCATTTCGTTGTATGCATCCTGAACTCCGTCCAGTGAAGACTTACTCATAACAGTAAAGGGAGCTTTCCTCCCCTGGCACCGTTACCTCATCCACACACACGAACATGTTTTGAAAACCGAATGCAACTACACTGGCACTCATCCCTACTGGGACGAGCCTCTAGATGCGGGAAATTTCACGCACTCCATCCTTCTAGATCCCGAGACTGGCTTTGGGGGCGACGGTGCCGGGCCTAACAATTGCATTCAAAATGGTCCCTTCAAACATTACGTCAACGCGATCGGGCCGGGTCAATCAATCACAGATCATTGCATCGACCGTCAAATAAATGATTGTACGAGTGCCATGGCAGCTCAGACGAACGTCGATCAGTGCATGGCGATGCAGAACTTCTCGACCATGTGGCCATGTCTCGAAGGCGCGCCGCACGGTGGAGGGCATGGCGGAATTGGAGGAGAGGTAGGCTGAATCACGCTCCTAGTGGACGTATCGAATATTGACGTCAGGCAGATGTTGAATTTGTGGTCCAGCCCTGGAGATCCTCTGTTTTACTTGCACCACGCGTACCTCGACAAGCTATGGTGGCAGTGGCAAGCTATGGATCTCCCGCTTCGTCTCCAAGACATCACAGGCAGCAATCAGCCCGTGTCATTCGGTCCCTTCCCCGGAACCAATGGTTCTTTTCCCGGCTTTCCCGGCAACGGAAGCATACCGGGTTTCCCTGGTAATGGGACATTTCCTCCTGGTGGTCCAGGCAATGGAAGCTGCGGGATGTTTCCTGGTGGACCGTTTCCACCGGTCGGCACCGGTCCACCGCGAACAAATCTGGTGAAGAGAGATGGAGATCCGGGAAATGTGACGACATTGGGGCATGTGTTGACGATGTTTGGGATGATGCCAAATGTGACGGTTGCGGATGTTATGGATGTTCAGGGTGGTTTGCTGTGCTATGAGTATATATAGATTTAACGAAGAGGATTAGGGGGTGGTCTGCTAAGTGCAATCATGTACCGTGAGGAGAATCATTACTCGCTCTACAAGATCTCGGGAATGCCAGTGAATCTTCTCCTCACGTAGAAATTTCTACGTGGCTCATATGCATCCTCGCATGCCTTCGAGATGTCTTGATACTCAAATGAAAAGTCCTGCTGACTAAGCCGTAAGCTTAACTTCTCAGTTCACCTATCCAGCTCGCCGCAACTTTACCACCAGCTACCAACTGCCACCGACCTTACCTCCGCGCCCCAAAACACCGCAAACCTTACCCACATAACCGTCACAGGCCGTCCGAACCCTTCAACCATGGCCGACAAACTCCGCGCCCAGCAACAACTCGAGGCGCTGCAAGCCCGCTACATCGGCATCGGGTCCGCCGACACGACCAAGCACGAGTGGACGTCCAACATCGCGCGCGATTCGCTGAGCTCTTACATCGGACACCCGCCGATGCTGCAGTACATGAGTATTGGGTTGGGACAGCCGCGGGAGAAGACGAGGGTGCAGCTGCTAGAGAGGATGATACAGCCTGTGGGACCGCCGCCGAAGGTGAGTTGGGATATACGAAGGGCTTAGGCACAAGCTAATGCGTCTGTAGCAAGAGGATTAATTCCGCGAGATCGAGGTGCTATGGCTGGACATATTCTCAAGGCATGCTCGACTGAGAAAATTGAGGCGCAAAGATTTTCGCGCACATGATGGGTGCAGAGCGACGAGGACACGGATGCAATGAGAAGATCGCGCCTAGGACAAGCATGGCGCAAGGTGAACACTATACTCGGGCGACCGAAATGCTCTCGAAGCTGATTCTCATGTGAAGATGGGTGCTCTATGTTGGAAAGCAAGGCGCTGTCTCGCACCGGTGGTATCCAAGTACCTAGGCTCCAAAATGAACATTCCAGGCCAGAAACTTGATCCGTGGCATAGCCATATCCTGTCCCGGTTCCTTGCATTCCTTGTTGATGTCCTAATCGCTATCACTCGCGCTTCCCGTTGGTCCCTCGTCATCCTCCTCCTCAACCACATCACCAGCTGCTGTCATCGCGTACTCGCCCTTCTGCAGCATGCTCCTGAGCTCTGTATTCCTCGGATCCACCAACTCCACCGGCTTCAGCTTGGCCTTGTTTCGTATCCTGGGATCGCAGCCTGCATCGAGCAGTATGTCGACGATGGGGTGGCCTGCGGAGGCCCATTCGGACTTGTCGAGGGAGTTGACGTAGCGAACGGCTTTGTGGAGCGGTGTGTCTTTCTCCATGCGGTCGATCTCGTCGATCTCGAGGCCTTCTTGGTCGAGGAGGATGTCTAGGACTTCGTCTGTGAATACAGTCAGCCAACTATGTCTTCTTATATGAACGCGAACATGTATGATCTAGGAGAACCCGACTATTGCACAGTGTCTTGCCATGTCCACAAGACGGTGAAGCGCAGACTTACAGCTTCCATATGTTGCCGCAAGATGTAAACATCCATTGCCCACTCCGTCAGCTGCCTTGTTCAGCGTGGCTGCAATGTACTCGGCAGGCTTCTTTCCGGCTTTTATTGCGGAGGCAGCAAGCTCTGCGAGAGTCTCTTCGAGAAGGGAGGTATTGTTACGGCGGCATGCCTCGAGAATCAGCTCGCGAGGAGAAGCGCCCTGTGCACACGGTTAGACGCAAAGTTCCTAGGGTATCCAGAAGGGAAGCATACCTCCTCGTCCGCCATATTGAATGTCCTTAGGGAACTGCTCGCTTATGAATAATATGTCCACGCGATTGAAGGCTCCCAGAGCGCGAAGTAGCGTAGACCTGAATGTGTACGTGTTAATATGGCTTTCTAGTCGGTAAAGCGGAGTGGACGGAGGTGCGGTAGCTGAGGGAAGGGCTTCAACTGTTTCCCAATAAGACAAACGAAAACAAGAGCGCTTGCGGAGAGCCGGTGGGTATCCAAGACCAGCCGGGCGCGTAGACAGGATTCGATATGAGACAGCGTTGGGGCTGCGCGTCGTCGGAGGTGAGCAGTCGGTGTGGCTGAAGCAGAGGAATCACCCACCCCGCGCTTTCCCCCTTCGGGCCGTAGCGGCCCCAGGGTCCCGCCATAATTTGACTTTCGAGACTCACGGTTCGATCGTTACAACCACCCAAGCGTCGCCCGCCATGTTGCTGTGTATGTTGCGTGTCGCCATATGGGAGGACCAAACTGACTGAGGACAGTCTGCCCCACCTGCAGCAACATGCTGCGCGTCTCTAAAGTGCCCCCCGGCGACCCCTCCACGGCGCAATACGAAGGCCAGAACCGCTTTGAGTGCCTGACCTGTCCGTACCAGTTCGTTCTCAACAAGCGATACTTCGAGCGCAAGTACATGAAGAAGAAGGAGGTTGAGGATATTCTGGGAGGAAAGGGCGCGTGGGACAATGTGGACAAGACATACGGTATGGGATTGAGCATCACGGCGTTTTGGGATGGATGCTGATGAATGAACAGTGCAATGTCCAAATGAGAAGTGCCGGAATGACGAGGCATATTGGTATCAGCTGCAAATTCGGAGCGCTGATGAGCCTATGACTGCTTTCTATAAGGTAGACGAGCTACTGTATTCTGCGGCATGGCTGCTAACGGCGTTTAGTGCACGAAGTGCAGCAAAGAATGGCGAGAGTAACGTTGCAACCTTATCTTGCATGCTTGGAGTTATGGTGGAAAAGTCTGCTTTACAATATACCCCGGGAGGTTCTTCGAAATCGATGCGTTCGACAGTCGAGCTTTCTCTCCCCACAAATCCTAGTGCATGCTTGTCTTCGATGCTACCGTACGGTAACCTAGGCATACTCGTGGGCCCTCAGTCGATTACTATCATTCCCTACACCATCATCGTCGACGCCTTCCTCGCCTTCTCTTCGTTCAGTCCGCATAATACGTCGTCCCTCATCGCCATTTCGCAGCTCGATCAGCGGCCATGACGCATGTCCGCTTCATTGCTAACCGGCACCACACAATCCGCTAGAGACGCATTCATATCCGCTCCAGGGACCTGGAATCTTCTCTTAGCACGTGCCGACGAAGAATGTGGAAGCAACTTACCTTATGCACGACGGAAAAGGGATCCCAGTGTGGGTCAAGATGCGGCGCGTACTCGATCAGATTCATGACCTGATCCAAGTTGTCGGTTCCGTATAGATGCTTCATGAAGGCATACATCATATCCATTCCCGCCGCCACCCCCGAGCTCGTCCATATCTTGCCATCTTCCGTCCACCGCGCGCTCGGAACCCAGGTAATATTCTCACCACGACTGGGTCCGTGACCCATGCCCAGGAGGCTTTATTTGTGGTTGCACGCTTGCCGGAAAGAAGACCTGCGCGGGCAAGGGTCACTGAGCCAGTGCAGACAGAAAGGATGTAAGAGGCATGAGGAGCCCGGGCGGCTAGGAAGGCCTCCATCTCTGTATTATTAGCTTCCTCAAGCGCAACGTTGCCCATGCCTCCAGGAACAATGATAAGGTCCAGGTCTGGCGCATCCGCGAAAGTGTGCGTGGCTACCGTAGTGGGACCCAGCATGATATCGGTGTGTCCCTGGGGCATTCCCGGACGCATGTTGTGGGAAGGTGGCCGAGCATTCACAGGGCCCTTCACAAATGAGACGACAGACAGGGTTATGTTGTAGTAGTACGACATCTGTACATGACTGTCAGTCAAGAGACTTGGATGGTGGAGTTCCATTGTTTACCCAAAAGAGGATTTCCAAAGGGCCAAATACGTCGAGTGGTTCGAAACCGGGGAACATAACCTGTAACATGGTCAGTCGGCTCTCGGACACTGCAACAGAGGACGGGACGCTGACATATCCTATGGAGAGCGTGCGGTTTGCGGGCCACTCCTGGCCGCGAGCAGAGGATATCAAGAGCAGCAGTGCCCCGAAAGAAGAGATATACGAAAGCATTGCGGGAAGCGCGTAGGGCCTTGAAGGTCCCCCATCTGTAGCCCTTTATACCCGACTTTCGCTTCCCCATAATGCCATAAATGCGATACACGCAATCCGCATTGCTCCAGGCGACAGTACTTTTGACAAGCACTACATTTCATTTGAGTTACAGTATGCTCCCTTCTCATGGATATATGTATATTGCGGGTGAGCAAGTTTAGCTTACAATGTTTTTATGCCAAGAAGCCGGCTAACCGGTGTAGGCAAGCAGCATGAGGGGTGCAGCTCATAGAGAACTTCCAATCATATTCATGATTCGCGCTTCTAGAGCCCGCCTGTCCTACTGTACCCCTAAGCTAAGCTCAGCTAAGCTACCCAAGTTGCGGACGAGCTCGCTTCGCCCTGGGAGGCGCGTCCGTACCGGTCCAATATTCATTTCAAGTGCGCAAATATGCGTGCATTTCCCACCTTGCCTACCTAAATCCCCAGAAGAACCACACCACCAGATACCAGGTTCTCCTCCTCCGCAATATCTCTCTTCATCAATATCTCCTGGTTCCCTAACGCGTTCCTCTCTCGCTTTTCCCTTACCAGGTGACCCTCAACACACCTATCCCATGGGCTGCAGCAGGCTTCTCCTCTCCCTTGCCGCCGTCTTCGACTTCGCCCTCGCCATAACCCTCCTCTCCCTCTTCGCCTCCGCGTACACATCCTGCTTCCTCACCACACTATGGCAAGTCGGTGGCACCAAAGGCTGGAACTCAGATCCGCATCAACGGGTATACTACTATGCAAATTATCGCGAGCCGCCGCCCGTGCCCTCGGTCTGGGATGAAAGGTAGGCCTTTAGCTTCTGCTTCTGTGTGGCAACAAATGGCGTGGGAAGGGAGATACTCAGGTGTTTCTTTCGCCGGATGAGTGCTGACTTGAGGGACAGCTTGACGAAGTGTAGCTTGTGCATCAGCGTTGTCACGCTGGTTGTCTGGATCGCGCGGCTCAGTCTTCAAAGAGGGAGTTTGGATGTCTATGGGAGCTTAATCACGAACGCGCTATACGACGTCTTGCTCGCCGCGCTATGGACCTACAGCACCACCGCGCAGAATTCCCCCGACGTGAGCGATCCAGAGCATATTAGCCTAAGGCCATGGCATCTGGAGCGAGGGTGTAGGGACGGCGGACCACGAAGCAGGAGGGCGTGCGGGGTGCTGAGTGCCGCGTATGGGTTGAGTGTGGTTGCTGTGTAAGTCCATCCCCAATCTTGTGAGAATGAAGGTGTCTGGTTCTGGGGGCTGGGTACTGGGGCACCGGGAATGAAAGAGATGAGACTAATGTATAAGTCAAATAGGATGTGGTTCGTGCTAAGGTTTCTGGCAGCTTGTATGTATGGCGCTTATGTGTTCGGAAAAGAGGAGGCGAAAGAAAAGGATAGACTGGGTCCACCCGGGTACGGATGCGACAGCCTGATTTGATTCAACTCCCGGTCCCATGTCACGAATACTTTCGGTATCATAATACCACCGTTGGTTCGTCTAGTCGACGCCTTCTTACGGCACACCACCACCATCTCCTCGTCGAGTCTCCCACGCTGCTCTCCTCACTTCGGACTCTGCAACGTTACGCTACTAATCCTGCACGTCACTACATTCCCACTCACACTCGCCTGCACCCCACTCAACGCATAATTCGAGGCGCTGTTATAATTCTCCGGCGCGTTGGTGCACCACCTCGTATCCGTGCCGGACGAAGTCTACGCCCTCACATCAGCCCTGGACGCCCATCCACAAAGAGTTCCGAGGACGAGGAGACTTACAATGACCACATTATTAAACACCAGTGGCCCAAAATCCCACGAAACGCCCGTCAGCTCAATCGCAAAGAGCGCCTGGTTGAACGTCTTGCTGCCGAGCGCAAACGTGTCCGTCACCGTCTGACTCCCCTTCGTCAGCGTACTGCGCCAATTACTCCCGTCCTTCACATTGCTAAACGCCACGCTGTCCCCCTGATTCGTATTGAACCCGCTTCCCCAGGGCAGACTCGGGTTCTGGCAGCACCACCCGCTGCCAATCCACCACGTGCCGCTGCGCCCGTCAAGCACGTTTTGATACACGCCCGAGTTGTCGGTGGGCTGGAGGCCGGGCCAGAGGTAGTAGGTGCCGGCTTTGGGTAGCCTAGGGATTTGCATGGTGCCAGAGAAGGATAGGAAGGCTTGGCTGGAGGGGAGGTTGTAGCGCAGGAAGTACCATGTTGCTGCGCTGGCTGGTGATAGGAGCGCCGCGAGGGCAAGGACAAGAGGGAAGAGCATCATGGATAGAGGAGATCAGTGGAGGGAGGCGATCTTAGTTTCTAGAGAGAAAGCTCTTTCTGTATATATACATACTCGCACTGCAGCTGCTCGCAGGGCACGATAGATTACAGTTGAGTTCGCTTCGCGCCGTTCCCCGGATTCTCGGAGCTTTTGGTGTAGAAGCGGTGGATTTCGCCGTGTTTATATTGTTGCCAGGGTTGCCGTTTGGGCAGATCTTCCGAGATATCCTGGTTCGTGAGTTGCATAGTGCCATCTCCTTCCCTCTTCTACCGTTGCGCCCGGTACTAAAATGGTTGGCGGGGCAGGAATTCTAACCCGAGCTCACGAATCGATTTATCGAAACCTTGATTGTGGATCCACGAATCGGCGGTGGTGTCATGTATGTGATTGAGTGATATTGAATGTGAAGGTAGGGATCTTCGGCTCAAAAGACCCTGGACCTTGTATATACGGGCATCGGCATTTTTATACCCTAAGAACGATTCAAGAAGACGTGCATGCCCTATAAGATAGCGCAATAAGAAAAGCGAGACTGATAACGCCTGTAATGCTCTCCTGAACCTCTAGGCTACGCCTTGGTGCGATGAAACCCCTTCCCACCTGCCGTCTATGGTATAATGCTTCAAAGGTAATATAAAGTGAAAAATGGGAAGCCGCGACTCAATGAAGAATACGACAATAAAAATGGTGTTTACCACCCTTACTCCTGAGGAAATCATTGCTGATGCTGATTTGGGTCCCAAGGGCCTTGGTAGTCCATCGGGTTGCTGTACAAATCCATGTTCATGTTCAATGAGGCGTCAAAGTCTTGCTGAAGAGATGCATTCTCTAGGGAAGGATCAAAGGCTGTATTACTTGCAGCCGAGTATTGCAACTGAGGATCAAGGGAGGTGGGAACAGTGCTCCAGTCGAAGTAGTTCCCGCAGGCGTCGCTCATTAAGAGGGGATCCGTATTGATTTCGGGAAGGAGTGGCGCTTGCGATATCCCGAGGCCGATCGATGTAGGGAGCGGTTCGAAGGCGTTTGCGAAGGGAGCTTGGAACTGGTTCTGGGTCTGCAACTGGAACTGCGAGCAAACCATACACATTAGCATTGCCTTGGAGTAGGAGAAAGAAGCCAACAGCCCAACATGTCTTTCGTCAAAACCTTGGTGAAACCCTCTAGGGGTAGTTTTGCTGAGCCCAACCTGAGACATGCTGGTATGTGTGCTGCACAATACGTACCTGTGCTTGCGAGTTTTGGGAGGACCGGGTCGAGCGACGAGTGAACGTGCGGCTGAGGCGGGCGAGACCATGTGGATGATCGTTCTCAGTCTCTCTCTCTTGCTTTCCCTTATTCTTCTTCCCCTGTTTCTTCTCGCTTGCCGAGTAGTCTATCCAGGACGCTATCGTCATCCCCTCTTTGAAGTGATTTGCGATATGGGTCTCTCTCTGGTCCCAAGTTTCCAGTCCTTCCTCACAGAATCCGCAGATCCAACCCTTCTCTTCACTCTCAGCAGCGCTCTTCCATCGCATTTGGGCGATATCGGAGAGGCTTGCCCCATGGAAATTCTTGATATGCTGGCGTAGGTGGTCCGGTCGGAAGAACGTTCGATCTCCGATATCCCTCTTCGCGCAGTCCTCAATCCGGTGGTTTTGCAGAAAATGTTCCTCCGATGGATTCTTCGCCATGCAGAATGCACAGACAGACCCTGAATTTGAGCGACCGGGGAAGTTAAGACGCGGGCCGTACAGCATACACGTCCACTGTGCTTTGGGCCGATGCTGTGTCTCTTCGTGACGTCGCCAGGACTTGGGTACAAGGGACCGGTAACAGAATGTGCACTGCCACATCTCTTGGTCCGTCTGGGCTGCTGGGACGGTAGGGGAAGTGATCGAAGTTGGTGATAACAATGAGAGGTCCTGCGGTGACTGGTTGTTGCGCCGGAAGTCCTTCTTCCTTCCTCGTCGTGAAGGTCGTGGGTGGTTGTTGGAGGTGGAGAACGTGCTGGAGACTGAGGCTGCACGGTTACGCTCTGAAGGTCTGCGGCGTGACGGTACACGTTAGCTTGTGTCTTAGGAACGGCGGAGCCAGGTTTGGACATGTCCTGTCCACTAAGGCTTGCAGGATGGGTTTTGCGGAGTACATACTTTGTGTCGGATATGTAGGTGAATCCACCAGTGTTGTAAGCTGGCGTATCCGCTGCACTCACGATGTCGCTTTCCTTTGCGCCTTCGTCCTCGCTTCCACTTGACAAATATGTCTCCAGCGCATTTAGCTGTCGTGCTCTCGCATTCGTAAACCACGTTGTTACCTAAAAATGTGACGCAATACATTAGCCAAAGCCTCAAGTTTTAGGGCGAACAATATAGTCAAAGTGTGAATATGCTGGAGGCCTTCAGGAGTGGTTTTCTAAAGCCAAACTGAGAATGATAATCTGCGGGCATACGTACCTGCTTCTCGGTAATTCCGCACTCTTGAGCCAACAGTCTCTTCGTTTCGGCGCTAGGATACGGGTCGTCCTTGTTATCATCAAGCCAAGCTTGAAGACGGTTCAGGGCCGTGAGAGGTAGTTTAGAGTTACGACCAGCGCGGGAGCGTTTGACTTTGTAATGCGGAGTTGAGGGGGAGATGGGGGATAAGAAGCCAGGATTTGCAGAGCAGCTAGGGCAGGACATGGAGCCGCACGGGTCGATGAGGGCCGAGAGTTCGCAGGCGGAGCAGCGAGTCTTCCTACGGAGTTGTTCGATTTCCTTGCCGTATGTCGCGTCCGGAACTGCTAGGGGCGGGATTAGTGCTTTGCACTTGGATTTGTCCAGAAAGAGTGACATGGGTTCAATAATTTCGGGCACTCGGCACTGTTCGCACTTGGTATTATCGCCCGGGTTCGTGATCTTCCAGAGCTCGCACTCGAGGCAAGTCTCGCCATCGCTCGGTATTTCGGGAAGGAGAAAGTCATCATTGGAGGTGTCTTTAGTCGTGAAGACATTAAGCTTGGCGAGGACGGGTTCAATAGCTGGCTCTTCTCGCTTCACTTGGAAGCGGTTGCCCTATCGTCGCCCATCAGCTACGATTCAATCCTGGGAGCACACTTCTGCCTACCACATGCGCATTCCAAAATCCACTCCATCCCAATCCCGATGGCTCTTGGATTTGAGGTTGATGGTCTTCGCGTGATGAAGCTCCGTTTTGGCCCTGGGCACCGTGAGCCACCAAGCCAAAGGAAAGGATGACGACCATCGTACCGATTGCGCTTGAAGCACTCCCTCTTCCTCGAACAAACTGTTCGACGCATATCCGGAATCAAAGGACCAGATGCTGGGTGCCGTGGCTTTCTGGCAGTATCCGTTCGGGGACAACATCGTTCGGGACTCGATCGTCGGTGCCGTTGTCGTGGGGCTGTCGTATCAACTGGCGAACCAGTGGATTTGAACCTCAGGAACCAGCTGCGAGAGCGGGCGCGCCGGTATATATTTACAGCCTCCCCGCGCAAGCGCAAAAAGGTCATCAAGAGGGTGGCAGCGCCCTGAGTGGCTGCCACTGCTCCCCGCGAACTGCGCCATAACTAGTGTGGCGCCCATCATCCCATTGGCGGACAGACGACATCAGCTCGACAGGGACACGCACAATTCATGCACGGCACTCAGTTCGAGGCTGGCCTGAGGCTGGGGCGGGCGTTTGGGGGCCGCAACCTTTCCCCTCTCTGCTCCCATCACGAGATTCAGCTTCCGCACCAATCGGAGAGACCATCTGGATTCGTGGCGGTGCGACCAACAACAATGGGCTGTGCGGCGTTCAGTAAGCAAAGGATTGGCTCAGAAGCGTCTGAAGAGTTCGGAGAGAAGAGCGTATCGGCGCGCCCCGCGTGAGACGCTTAGGCTTTTCTTAGATGCGAGCACGCGCCTCGTTTCGGCCGTGTTTCGTCTGACCCAAATTTCTCCAATTGTTGATGCGTGACGTCAACGGGCGGGCTATGGAAAGTCGTCGGTAATGGCGAAAGTAACCGTTGCGATGGCATCGTGAACGGGCCAGCCACGAACGTGCTCAAGCCAGATCGTAATTGACCTAAAATTGGGTCTTCAGATCGCATTGTTGCACTAACGTCGCGGGCTATGCCGTTGCAATGCGATCTCCATCGTCGTCGTTTCTACCCTGGCTCGACACTGCGGGCGGGTATCAATCGCTACTTGGCCGTAAACCACACCAACTTAGGAAAGAGGATGCCTAGGATGGCCATAGCAGTCAGAGACAAGAGCCTACGGGAGCAATCAGTATGACCTCGTACGAGTGGAGGGGCCAAATTGACTGTGCCTTGGCCAGTCAGTATCGCTGCCCAGCCTCCTCACGATGAGTCCTGTGTGACTTCTTTATGACGGACTCAGAGTCCAGGTCCGCTGACACGGCCACATCTGTTACGCGTGCGGCACGGCGGATTGTGATTGACCTGGGAGGAGGTCAAAGTCCGAAGGCGGCGATCGTGCTGCCACAGGTCATAGATTTTGGGCCGACCTGGATCGGGTTGGGCTGCAGCAGAGGGTGGAGGCGGCTGCATTGTCAGGCGTGAGAAGCGTCCAGAGGGAAGGGTGTTAGGTGGAAGAGGCGAAGGACGGCCGAGGGCGTGGGCCAAAGCGGGGGAGAGCTGGCGAGCGCTCGTGGTGGGAAGGCGCCGTGGACGTCGTGCGGAAAGGACGACGTGATGAGGTGCACTCTCAGTATTTGGAAAGCCGCTGAAGTACGCGGAAGAACATTATCTCGGGTATTCATTTTGGTAATAGCGCTACCTATAGCAATATCCCGCATGCGTAAGAATAGAAACATCACAATCCTCATCTAGAGATATCTTCCGCTCAAGTGCCAGAGCTTCCCTCCCGAACCACATGCAAAAATGCCGGAAAAGATCATCGTCGTCAGCGTCATGGAAACGCTCTATATGCTAAGCCCCAGCCCACTCGAGTATGTTGCACAAATTCGCCCCATCGTCTAAGCCGGTATCCTGAACGAAACAAGCCGCTATCCTCCTCTTCACTTCTATGTATTCGCCGTCGCTATGTAGGTGAATCGACTAGCTGGCACCAAGGGTGCTCCAGCACTTGGGATATCGTTATCCGCCGCTCGACATCTCGGTCGAGCATGAGCCGGATAAGATCGATGCTCTCCTCACTCATGATGTAGGGTACGCGGAGGTCGTGGTCCATGATCTCGTCGATGCTGTAGAAAGGGTTCTCCTTGTACACGATGGTATAGAGGAGGATTCCGAGGGCCCAGACGTCCTGCTCTTTGCCGCGATATGACTTGCCAGCGAGGACCTCGGGAGCAGCGTAATCTGAAATATTGGGTTAACAAACAGTGTTTTCTCGAAGGCGGGAAAGGTACTTACCAATTGTACCCACGAACACATCGAAAGGTCCGCTCTTGATGTACGCTGCGCTACCGAAATCGATCAACTTGATGTTCCCCTCGCCATCCAGGATCACGTTCTCATCCTTGATATCGCGGTGGACGACCTTCGCTTTCGTGTGCAGGTGATGCACCGCTTCAGCCACCTGCACGAAGATCTTCCGGCACTCTTTCTCTTCCATATTGACGCGGAGCTCAATATAGTCGAAAAGATCCATACCGGGGAGGCCGTGAGGTACCATTTCAATGTAGTAATTTATGTCGTCCTCGAAGAAATCGGACATTTCGACAATGTTTGGATGCTTGAACCCGTCCCGCCGTAAATAGTCCAGGACGTGGATTTCCAGAGGTACTGTCCCCAGCCGTCGATCCCGTGTCCATGTGTCGACCAGGATGCGACGCTTTGTAACGTACTTGATGACGACCTTGTTGCTGCTATTCTTCTTGTACCGACACAGCTTGACTTGGCCGTATGCGCCTTGACCCATGTCTTCCAGAACCACAAAATCGCCGATTATCTTCTTCTTTGGTGGCTCCTCTTTCTCTTTCTCCGGCGTAGGTGGTGTTCGTTTGGCTCGCGGTTCTGAGGGAGACGCAGGTTGAGCGGCTTCCTGAAGCTGCTGTGTCAACAATGAGACATGCGCGGATTTCGGCTTCGGCTGCTCGAGTTCGGGCTCCAGCGGGGCATTGACTGTCGATTGCCCTGGCGATGGTTGTCGGGGAGGTGTACCAGGCCGTGATACAAGGGGGGTGACCGGACCAACACCGTGATTCGCTGCGTGCAATTGCCGCGAGTAGGTGATCCACAGGGCATATACGGACTCCGGCGCACTCGACGGCTTCGCCGGCGCATCTTCTTCCTCAATGACATGTTCATGGAAGCGCAGCTTCTTCTCGCTCTTCACCACCCTCATTTGCACATCGACCATGATCTCAGAACCATCACGGTGGAGAGCGGGCAGGCCGCTAGGTTTGAGGAATATGGCTGCTGCATCTCCACTGCCTTCGCGGATTGCGAGAAGCGCTCGGGCTCGGCGGAAGCTGTGTTCTGGGATCACGATGCCATCGACGAGGTCAATCTTATCCTCATCGGTCATAACGTGCAATATCTTGTCGAAAGCAGGAATGAGTTTGCTAATGTGGAGCCCCTCAGGCCGCGGCTGTCCGAAGAGAGCTGATGAGAAAACGGAGTTCGAGCTTGCAATCGTGAGGTCTGACGCCGACAATACGACAATACCGGCAATGTGAGGGAAGCTAGAAACGCGGAAGGTGGGTACACCTGGCAATGGCTCGACAGCTACGGGTATGTTGATGCTGTTGGATGTCCGTGCAGTGAAGTTGCGTAGCGCGGCGATCTTCTCATAGTCCAGGGCACCAGTATTTGTACCCTCGAGTCGTGGAATCGCTGGGATGAGACGCTTGAGATCCATGCCTCTCCGCAGTCGCTCGCTACCGAACACCGATTCTATGGCACCCTCTCCTTTCGAGACGCAGCCCACTTCATCAACATTGATGTAGACTACGTCTTCTGCGATCTCTTCGAGCACCCAGATGAGGCCGCCTCTTTTCTCCTTTACCCACAGGCTGGCAGCGCCGGTTGCACCGTTCCGTTTCTGAATCGGAACTACGTCACCACAGAGCAGGACGCCTCTTGAACCCTTCGACTCGTGGTTCAGGCCTCCCTTGACATTCGATCTCTGTGCATACGACGAGCCACTGCCGTCGTCGGTCTTTGCTCTCCTCTGTGAGACTTGGCGCGAGGAAGGCTTGCTGAGCAGCCTCGCTGTAACTCCGTTACCAACTTTCAATGTGGTCGATGGAACGGGGCTGGTCTGCTGACTCTGGCTGTACGGCTCCCGGGCTGCCTTGGAGCCGAGTTCAGGGTCTCTCAGCTTGTCTTCCAGCCACTTCCGCCGCTCCTCCCTGACAACTTCCAGTATGCCCAGCTTCCGTACCTCAGCCCGCGTCACTCCGAAGACTAGGCAAGCCAGGTCGTTCGCGGCCGTTATAGTCCAGGGCGCCTGCGCCTCTGTGGTGAAGATTGCTTGGGCGGCGGGAACCCAGCGGCTTCCATGTCCGTGAGGCGCTGGTCCTCCAGAGTGCGGTCCAGGCACAGGATGCCCCGGGTGTACGGTTGGTACTGCCGTAGGGGAGACGATCTGGTTTACCTGCCCTTTTTCGCCAACCAGATACGGTTGTGCTAGAGCATCATGCAGCTGGCTTTGTATCGTCAGAGGGGCTACATCTGTGAGTGTACGCTTCAGTGCAGCGCGAGGCGGTCGCAGGGCGGGTTGAGGTGGCGACGTCCCTGTCGTTTTCGAGCTGGAGGCATCTGAGGTGAGGTCCGAAACCAGCGTGTCCCCTGCGTCGTGGTTCTCGCCCGTAGTATTCCCATTCCTAATGTCCGAGGGGGGAGCCTTCGGTGCCGGCGATTTCGGGTCGAGCATGCTATCGGGACTTGTGGACCTTTCCACCGGGAGGAAACTCTTCTCGAAAATGTTCTCTCCATCCACCTCGGCAGGCCCAGTCAGCGGGCCTAACGCTCCCAGGCCATGCGCCCCAGAGGCCTCCTGCCCGATCAGGTTCGCCCTCGTCAGCAGCTCCATCATGCTCTGCACCTCCTGGTCCCCGCTCAGTTTTGCTTGCGCATTCGCTATCGCTGGACTCGTCGCGGCCCATCCCAGCTTGTTCTGCATAAAGTCTATCGACCGCTTGAGCACGTTCTGCCTGTTGTGGATGAACTCCTCGGACTGTGTTGCGAACGAGAACGAGTGGAGGGACTCGACGGGAAAGCGGTGCAGGTCTTCGCCGAACTCGAATCGTGGCGAGCCGGGAGCGGAGGGCGCGGATCCGGAGGGGTGTCGGGATACTGGGGGGGTGATATTCAGGGACGTCGCTCGAGTCGCCGACGGGAGCCTGGGACCGGGCTGCTGGCGAATGCGGCGGAGACCAGAGGCGCCGAGGCCGTGCTCGTGCTCTGGCAGGATAGGCGATCTGGGAGCGTGTCAGTGGGAATTCACGTCGGGGCAGGCACCCCGCCAATCTGTTTCGTGCGTGCCGCGTCTTCCACGCCTCACCTTGCCATGCGGTCCAGCTGCCCCGCGTCGATGCTCATGCGCTTGGTCACCACGGACAGCGGCGGCGGCGCCGTGTGCGAGAGCAGGTTGCTCGTGCTCTTGTTCTTCGGCAGCGACACATGGTCGGGCGCGAATCGGAGGACTGGCCGCAGCGTTGCTTTCGAGTCGTCGGGAGGAGAGCCTGGAGGGGTGAGGCGGTCAGCGGCCAGGCCCATAAATGCAGGAGCGGCGCCGTGGGAAATCATAAGAGGACGAGGGAGCAGTGCGGTGTGTGCGGGAGGGCAACGATGGCGGCGTGCGCCGGCAGGATGCTGCAATAAGGCCCACGGAACGCTTGGGTCGGGCCTCTCGGAATGCCGGGTTGACAGATCGGAGCGGTGAAGCCCTGGATCTTGACGACGCGCCACCGGGGGACAAGGCGCAGGACGCGGAGGGTGTAGCGTGACATGCGTTCGTCGGAAGGGTCATCAGACGCTTACCATCTTCATGTGGCCTGCTCATTCCCTCAGGTGCCTGTCCAGAGGCCGTCCTGCTGTCGCGGGTCGATTACGCAGCGCAGCGCAGCGCAGCAGCGGCGGCGGTCGTCGGCGGCGGCCAAATCAATGTCTCTCCCTGACAATACAATGCCTATGCAGCTATAGAGCTTTCTCTCCAGCACAAGAGACCGCGGGTGAGACAGAGACGATGGCGGGGACGAGTGCGCCGCGAGGATGCGATGGGCGAGTGGCGCTGGGAGCTGCGTTGGGCGCGGAGCGAGGGAAGAGACTGAAGGGACTGGGACCGAGTGCAAGCTAGGAACTGAAGACACGATAGAATTGGATTATGGATGTGGTCAATGGTCAATGGTCACTCTGCAGTCGTCGCATCTGATAGCGGTTGGTAGCTAGTAGCCTCTGCCCTGCCCTGCCCTGCCCCGCACAGACGCCATCCCACGCCGCCACAGACAAAGCCCTTCTTCAAGCGAGCGGACAATAGCGATGGATGCATTCCCACGAGAGACTCCCCGGAGTCACCAGAGCCCGACGTTACACAGATCTGATTTCCTGGCGACTCCGCGCCGCGAAAGAGCAAACGCCGCACGCTGGAGGCGTCTTGTCGGAAAGCTCACTCTCGCTCTACACGCTGCCGGAACGCAGCATCCGATCGCTCCGTTGGCGCCTGCAAACAAATAGACAGTGAGGAATATTCAACAGATTCGCCCGTGACTACGCCGCGACTGACTGCGTGTCAAGGTCCAGGAGGCCTTTTGCTGACTTGCTGGCCCCCCACCGCAAGCACCAGGGTTGGTCGAGCCTGTGACCAGCAAAGTCTAGCCAGCTCACCAAACATCTCGCAAAATGAGCGCTTTTACGAGTCTGGGCACCTCACGAACATGCTCCTTGATTGCTTTTCCCATGCACGACAGAACCGCGACATGTCCCCTTTCTGAACTTATCCGTTATCCCCGGTGCATGGTAATTGGTGCGGGCTTGCCATCTGCACGTGCTGGGGTAGTTCACGACGACAGAAGTATCCCGAATGAAGGCAACCCCATCATCGTTGCCTCAACTTATCCCTATGTTCGTTCCAGAAGTTCCTGCATGCCCTATGCATGTTGACCTGCTCGATCCACCACTCGCCAAAGCTGTCCTCGACTCGATGATCCACCACACCAACACGCTCGTCTCTTTTCAGCCCGCACAGCATGCATGCCTCTCGCGCAGGAACGCCGCCCTCGCTCTGCTTCAGCACGCTCACCGGCATAGTCTCTTGAATATCTGGAGCAGCACCTAATGTGCCCGGCTTGATTTGATTCGCGGCCGAAACCACGTGCCGTAGTTTTCCGATTTGGTCCTTCCATGCCCGAATCACGTCTGATGCTTCTCTTTCTTCCTTCATGTTCTCGCTCTTGTCGACGCTTGAGAGCTTCATCCCGGACGTTGCCCGCGATGAGGCCGGACCTATACTCATTCCTTGTGACAGGTGTTTGTCCCTCTTCCAGCGGAGCTTCCGACCAGCAACGATATGCGCAGCAACAGAGGCTAGCATTAGGTAGCCTTGAAGGTACGCGATGGTGCCTGGCTCGGCTAGCAATTTGTTTCGCATAGGCAGAGTTTGTGCAGTCATGGGCTTGAATAGTTTGTCGTGGGCTTCGGCAAAGAGCGAGGGAAACAACGAAAGTAGAACGGCAGGCGGTGGAACATTTGTAGGAGGCAACTCTTCCGGCTGTGGGTCATCGAAGGTCGGGGATAGCACAGGTAGAGGTAGGCTTGCAGACTTGGTGTTCATTGTGACCTTCGTCTCTTTTGGCTTGCTAGGAGCCTTAGCAGGCACCTTTGCAGGAATCGATGCCTCCCAGTCCTCGAACGTATCCCACTCATCGTCTTGTTTCAATGGCGGAGGCGAAGCCGTGGTCGTAGGCTGCTTGGTACGAGTAACAGAGCCAAAACCACCCACCGCACTTTTCTTTTCCGAAGGTAGTGTAGACGCTTTGTGACTGGTACCACTACCCCCTCTTTCACTAGCGGCAGGAGGCGCCTGTTGCGATATACTCATATCACCCAAAAGACCTACTAGCCCACTCGACCTTGCGGGCGGCGCAAGAGCAGTAGAACTCGATTCTGGGCCTTCAAAATCTCCAAAGTCATCATCGTCTTCGAAGTCCTCTTCTGCATCAAAGAGCACGCTAGGATCTGTAGACTTCTTGGCTTTGACAATAGAAGCCTTTTGCCACGATGCTTGCGAAGACTGTGTTAATGGGGCCCCCGCAAGCGAGAATGGATCCTGTCCTACGGAAGCGGTCGGCCATAATGGTTGCGTATGCTGTGCTGTTTGAGGCACTGAGAACGAAAACGGATCCTTTTTCGGTGGTGGCGCTGACTCCGACTCCAGTGTTGACGGACCGCCTTCAAAGTCACCCCACTCGTCGTTATCGTCGACTAGAGGCGCGTCCTTCTTCCTGTAGCTCCCGGACTGGAAACCCGCTAACGGTTGTTGTGGTTGCGGTTGAGTAACGGGGGCTGGCGCTGTGTTTGTCAGGTTATCGAAGAAGCTGAATGTCGGTGTCGGTTGTGGTCGCGTCTGGCCATCGCCTGAGGTCTGCTGTTGAGACGAGCTCGAGGTAGTTCCAAACTCTGCGAAGAGGTCCGCCGACATGACGTGCGGGTGGTTGAAGGTTGACGCACGATAGTGCAGAGGACCGGTGCTGCCGTTGGCCGGGGGGCAGGAAGAAGCGAGCAACGCTAAACCCGATACAATCGGCCTAGTGAAAGCGCCATCCGTCACTCTCCTTCTCACGTTCGATGAGCCACCCTCACATGTTTCTCGTTAGACGAGCTGAATAGAGGCTAGCTCCATCTCATAGACAGCAGTCCGGAGCAATGAACGCTTATACAGACGCTGTAGTTGTCCATAAGCCGTCGGCCCGGACATACGACGAGTTCATGTCCGGCGCTCGAAGCGGAATGGCTCGAGCGGTGCGCTGCTTCGCCTCAAACACCAGGCCCAAAGCACCGCGATCCTTCACGCTCAGATCAATTCGGAGCCCCAATTACTGATGCTGGCGCTTCATGCACATAGCTCCGGATATGAAAACTCAAGAAGCACGCGATGAGCCCGAGAGAGCCTGAAAGCATGGATGAGCTGAAGCACAGCTTCAACTTAGTATATATCTCCAATGTCTTTCTCATCTTGGAGGACATCAGCACATTGCTTTCGCCTCCCATCGAAACATCAAAAACCAAGCATTCTCATCTAACTATTTGTCTTCGCTTTTCCTAATCGTCCCGCCATCTAAAGCTCGTCGCCTGCCCGTCTTTGCTATTCTTCACCCTTTGCCATCAAAATGAGCACACCCACGCAGCTATTTCCCCCATGCCCAGCTTTTACCGAGAAGAGCCTCGTAGACTTGTCTAGCAAGGTCAGTATTCGCGTCTGTTCGCTCCCTCCAACCTACTAAGAGACCTCAGGTCTACATAATCACAGGCGCAACGTCCGGCGTCGGTCTCGAGCTCGCCAAAATCCTCTACAGCCTGCATGCCACAGTCTACATCGGCGCTCGTTCCCACGAACGCTTCAACACAGCCTCTTCGGACATCAATGCAGAACATCCAACCTCGAAAGGCACCCTGAAGCCCTTCATCGCCGACCTTTCCAGTCTGTCCACCATCAAGCCAGCCGTCACCCACTTTCTTGCCAACGAACACCGCCTCGACGTCCTCTTCCTAAATGCCGGCGTCATGACGCCTCCAGCGGGCAGCAAAACTGCGGACGGTTTCGATCTGGAAATGGGAGTCCATTGCTTAGCCGGCTTCCTTCTCGTTTCTCTTCTGCAACCAATCCTCTCCAATACTGCATCCCACTTCTGCCACCCCAACACCTCCATCCGTGTAGTCTATGTCTCCTCACTCCTCAACCTCTCCACTCCCAACGGCGGCGTCCAACTCTCCTCGGGAGTCCCAAAGCAGCTCTCCGGTATGCAACACTACATGCAGACCAAAGCCGGCATCTACTTTCTCGCGCAAGAATTCTCGCGTCGCCAGAAGGAAAAAGGCCCGGGAACCGATGAACAAGGTTTGGAAACGCGAAACCCGGCAGGCGTCCTGCACGTAGCGCTAAACCCGGGCTTAATGAAGACGGAGCTGCAGCGCCACGCTCCGCCGCCTATGCGTGGCATTATGGGCGCCGTCTTTAAAGGGCCGAAGTATGGAGCATATACGGAACTGTATGCGGGTCTAGCGCCCGACGTTAAGGATGGGGATTTTGTGATTCCGTGGGGGCGTAAGGGATGCGTGCCGGACCATATCCGGGGGAGTACAGGAGCGAAGGCTGGGGAGAAGAGCGTAAGCGCGAGGTTCTATGAGTGGTGTCAGGAGCAGGCGAAACCTTTCATGTAGCAGGGAAGAATGGAGTGAGCCGATAGAAGGGTCACGATACAACGGCGCGCTGGTTTTGCGAGCATGCGAATGGCCAGATACTGCGGGCGACGAAATATTACAGGGAACGGAGTTCGGGTTGCGCATCATGGCAATGCTAGCATCACAATGTAGGAAAGCGATAATCGAACGTTTGCCCGCCCATATGATTCATTGAGATCATTATGAAGTCTATGGAAGGACAACGCCAGGACACCCACCCAACCGGAATGCATCACAGCATCAATATTCCATCACGGCTTTTCCGAAGCCACCGCATCCCCAGAACCTGACTATCTAGAGATTTTGGAAGAAAGAGACAAACGTGCCACCAAAGGCGTGACCGCTTATTTCTTGGAGGCCTTCAGGGCGGCCTTGGTGACCTTGCCGGCACCCTTCTCGGCCTTGACGACTGACTTAATGACACCGACAGCAACGGTTTGACGCTGGGGGAGATGTTAGTATATGGCACGTTGGATTGTGGGCGGCAGAAACTTACCATGTCGCGGACGGCGAAACGGCCGAGAGGAGGATACTCAGTGAAAGCCTCAACGCACATGGGCTTTGACGGAATCATCTTGACGATAGCGGCGTCACCAGACTTGATGAACTTGGGGCTGTTCTCAACAGACTTGCCAGTTCGGCGGTCGATCTTCTCGAGAAGCTCGGAGAACTTGCAGGCGATGTGGGCGGTGTGGCAGTCGAGGACAGGAGCGTAACCAGCACCAACCTGGCCGGGGTGGTTAAGGACGATGACCTGGGCGTTGAAGGACTCAGCACCCTTGGGCGGGTCGTTCTTGGAGTCGCCGGCGACGTTGCCACGACGGATCTCCTTGACGGAAACGTTCTTGACGTTGAAGCCGACGTTGTCGCCGGGAACACCCTGGACAAGCTGTTCGTGGTGCATCTCGACAGACTTGACTTCAGTGGTCACACCAGCCGGAGCAAAGGTGACGACCATACCAGCCTTGATGATACCGGTCTCGACACGGCCGACAGGGACAGTGCCAATACCACCAATCTTGTACACATCCTGGAGAGGCAGACGAAGGGGCTTGTCGGAAGGACGGGACGGGGGGTCGATGTTGTCGATAGCCTCAAGGAGGGTCTTGCCGGTGACCTTAGTTTTGGTCTCCTTCTCCCAGCCCTTGTACCACGGGCAGTTGGCGGACGAGTCAATCATGTTGTCGCCGTAGAAGCCAGAGATTGGGACGAAGGGGACGTGCTTGGGGTTGTAGCCGACCTTCTTGATGAAGTTGGAGGTCTCCTTGACAATCTCCTTGTAACGGTCCTCGCTCCACTTGGCGGTGTCCATCTTGTTGATAGCGACGATGATCTGTCGGACACCGAGAGTGTAGGCGAGAAGAGCGTGCTCACGAGTCTGGCCATCCTTGGAGATACCGGCCTCGAACTCACCAGTACCAGCGGCAATAATAAGGATAGCGCAGTCGGCCTGGGAGGTACCAGTGATCATGTTCTTGATGAAATCACGGTGACCAGGGGCATCTGGACCGAGTTAGCGACTGGGCTGCTTGCGGCGAGCGGATGAAACATACCGATGACGGTGACATAGTACTTCTGAGTCTCGAACTTCCAGAGGGCAATGTCGATGGTGATACCACGCTCACGCTCGGCCTTTAGCTTGTCGAGCACCCAAGCGTACTTGAAGGAGCCCTTGCCGAGTTCGGCGGCTTCCTAGACGCAGAGTTAGCATCGTGAAACATCGCGGTCGGCCGTGTTGGGAAAATTGAATATGCAAATTGAGTGTGCGTCATAGGGTTGGGAGTTGGCGAGAGCCCGAATCGGGACTAGCGCTAGCGCGTAAAAGTTCGCACAACCCCACCATCCAAATTGCCCCTCAGTGCAATAGGCCAAAATTATGGCCCAGCGTACAGAGGCAGCAGCGGGATGCCCGCGACAAAAATGAAAGAGGAAAGTGGCCGTACCTTCTCGAACTTCTCAATGGTACGCGAGTCAATACCACCGCACTTGTAGATCAAGTCTGTATCCCAGTGTGAGCTGCTGCGACCCCGCTATCGATCGAGGGAGGGAGGCTTACGTCCGGTGGTCGTCGACTTGCCAGAGTCGACGTGGCCGATGACGACGACGTTGATATGCGTCTTCTCCTTACTGCGGGCGTCGTTAGCAAGATGTGTTGGCGATGGCGGCTGCTACCCCGGCTCCTCGAGACTGCAGAGTTTGACTCACCCCATGGTGTAGATTGTGCTGTGAGCGAGTTTGAAGGCTGGAAGTTGGATCGAAGTGAGTTGAAGTGTCCTACCGAAGGTTAGTTGTGTGCTGGGAAGAAGAGGGAGAAATACTTGCAAGAAGGCGACAGGCAAGCCAGGTATTGACAGACGAAGAAGAAAGGTTGAGATTTTGCGGGCGGGGGAGCCTTTTTGAGGAGGGGCGCAGAAACTAGGTTGACTCAGCGAGGTCCGTGCGGCGGTCCGTTTAAAGAGCTGGAGGGCACCTGCGCCCTCGAGCCGTGCTAGCGAGCCAGGTCTTGGCGTTTGGGCACCGCGAATTTTCTGACTCCACGGCGAAACGCCCAACAGCCTGACAGGGTTCCTTTCACCAGCGCTGCATTCGAAGGCAAACAAGGCAGCAGTACAGGGTATCATTGGCTCACGCTTCGACCTCTTTGACCGCCTGCAGACCGACTCGCCACAGCCGCACTTCCCAGCTGCAAGTGTTCGCCAGCGCACCACTCACTTCCACCTCTGCTAACTCCACCTATGCTTCATGCATGGCTAGATCTAGCTTTCATCTTACGCGCCACATGTCAAGATATCCTCGAGTGTCCGAACAACACTCCAGGGTTTTGAATTGCAAAAACCTTGCGCGCGGCACAGATACAGTCATAGAGTTATTGGCCCACCGTACATTCTTTGTTGTCCCAAGGAATTCCTTTCGGGTCAGTCATTTCAATACGCGCTCCCTGCATAAGTTCACCACATAGCTCCTCTTTCTCGGGCTCAACATGTTGTTAACTGAGACATTGTCATAGAACAGGGCGACTTCCGCCCTTCTCAGAAGCACTTACCATGTGCCATACTGACTGACTCATATCACTATCGTCCCTCACCCAACGCTCCACCACTTCCCCCATAATGACTGCAATCCAGTTCGACAACACAATTCGTGAGCACCTCAATCTCATCAACCTATACGCCCAGATCGAGCGCATGAAACTCCAAGACAACCCAGTCAACTGGGGTTCGTCACGCTAAGTAATGCCTGTCTCGTCATGATGGAGACGGTTATTAGTGGAGGGAATCTCCAAGAGTTCTCAGTTTTGGGAGGCTAGAGAGAGGGAGGAGAGCGATATGGGAGAAGCAATCGAAGGGTGTCTACGCGTAGCCTGAGGGATTGTCGGAGGAAATGGAGAGACGGATGCGAGGATGAGTGTTTCACAGGAGTGTCTGGCTTCGCTGGTTAATGAGCTTTGGGGCGCGAAAGTGCTTTTCGCAACCCCCTCGACGGGGAAATAAAGGATTACACAGATACGCAGAGTAGTTTGAGGGGCATCGAAGCCGCGGATGTGGATTATGAATATAGACGAAAAAGAGTAGTCTACACTATGTTACAATCATGCAGTGATATACAAATGCAAAACGCCCTTCCTGGAACTAAGAGACGCCGCATTGAATGCTGGTGCTTATGCCTGCAATTTCAGCATACGCTTATTATGCTGCGCTGCTGGCTCTTCCTGAAAGTCCGCGGAAGATATGGTAGACTGATCGCTGCGAGAGTGAGACTCCGGGGGGTATTGCTCTTCTAGGGGTTTTGACATGTTAGGATCTTCAACCTCTCCGTCGTTCAGCGGCGTCGTAGCCTGGCTAGTTTCGGAGTGTTGTTCCTCGGTTTCAGTGTCTAGGGAAATGGTTTTAGGAGCAGCGGCGGCGTCGATAGATTTGGAATTAGGCTGGTCAAGCTCTTGCCTAGTGATGTCGATATCGGTTAGTGCAGTATCGGTATCGAGTTCGCCAGTGTTATCTTCATCCTCCAATACCGGGGCGACTAATCGTTCCACGACCTTGCCGTCACCCTCATCCGCAGAGACCGCCGCTTGAAGTGCTTGGCGTCGAATCTTCCTTGCGCTCGTCTCGACCCTAGGTTTGAGGGTTTTTGATATCGGCGTCCCGTTTGCCGCAGCCTCCGTTATTCGATCCGCAATGGCAAAGCAACTCTGAACAAACCCCCTCATCCTCTCGTCATCCTCCAGTGGACCACTCTTGCCCTCAGCATTCGTGTAATAGGCCGACAGCGCTCCGCCCTTCCTACCCAGCTTTCCAGACTGTCTGGTATTATATGCCACACGTGTACCAAGGAGGTCACCCACTACGCTTTGCCTAAAGCGAATACCGGTGAAAATATATTTGACAGTGCGCATACCGCTCATATCGCGACTGGAAAAGCCTGGTATAGTCCATTTTGGTATGTCAAGCGCGAGCGCAGGCGCGGTCAACCGTTCGCCGCTCTGAATGTTGGCGGAAACTGCGTCCATGAAGTCCCTGACATTCTCATCCGCGGAGGGAGCCTGAAGAAGGAGCCTATGTGACCTCCTGAAACGGATATCGACTGCCTTATCTGGTAGAAGGACGTCGTGCACGCATTCGTCGAAACCAAGTGTCAGTTTGCGAAGCGAAGGCTTGCCAGTGTGGTTATGTCTGACCTGAACGTGGAGACTGGGATACTGCTGGCCCTCTTTGAAATTTTGCTGCACAGGCGCCGGAACAAAGTCATAATCCAGGGCAGGAACTTTGGAATGGTAGGCCTGCGCAAAAGTGTTGTCCGTAAGCAGCCTTGAGAGGCCGGGGAGGGTGTATGAAAACGTAGGCGGGGAAGAGATCAGTGAAGATCCCTCAGTGTCGCTATCGACAAGGCTGTTATTCAAAGGAACAAGGACTTGACCAAATTCGGCTGATAGTGTCTCCTCCGGGTGGGCGGCCCAAAGGCTAGTCTTATTCTTGTTCTTCTGTAGAGGTGTCGATTCGGGAGATTGTTGTACCCTCTCCAATACCCGCGCCTGGACAGGGTCCAGGTCCCAACTTAGGCTGGCTTGTTCAGTGGCGGCTTTCGCAGCATCTGCGTCCGACCGTTTTTCGGGGTCCGATCTAGGACTGGACGCCCTCTTGACAGGGAGCGACCAACGACCCAACTTCAGCTCACGGGATAGAAAGTCCAGGGAACCTTTCTCGAAGTCGACCGGGAGAAGGTAGCTTTGGTCCTTGACACTATCTCGTTTAGATGTATCGATAGCATAGGACACGGAGGTCTTCAATGGGAGCATCCTTATGAGAGAGCGTTCCGCGTCCTCCACTGTGTTCTTATTGAGTGCTCGAATCAACAACTTGTGACGTTAGCATCTTCCAAGGAGCTAAGGCGAGTGATACACACCTCATCGACACCGGCCACTTGGACACTCGCTCCAGTCATCAAACTTACTGTCTGTAAACTCTTTTGCGTGAACATGTTTGCCAATCTTCCTGATGGCCTCCTGCTTTCCTCTAGATATGGTGTCCACGGTCGCAGATGAAGGCGCTTGGTTTCTGTGCTATGAAGGAGTCGCTCGATGTCATCGGCGGCGTATTCGGCAGTATTTTTGTCTGCAGTTATTCGAAGAGCATCGTGCTGCCAATATATTTCGAGTTTGGCCTTTCTTTCCCTTCCGATCTGGTCCAGAGGTGTGGGGGAAGCTGTGTGGGATTAGCGTTAGTCATGTTGATGATGAAGACAGTTCCTACCTCCTGAGCTCAAAAGACTGAGCTGCCACGGCTTCAGTGACAGCTCAATCTCACCCGGAGCCTCGATCTCCTCTAGCAGCACAAGCTTCCACACATCCCGGAGTATCTGATCGACCAGAAGCTGCTTACTAACGGGCGACTTCTTTCGCCTATGGGTGACGTCGAGCCCTGGTAGCCGCCTGTTGATTTGTGTTGTCCCAGGATGCCAGTCGGTCCGCTCCACTGGTCTCTTCGCTGTGCCCTTTGACCCCTTCAATCCATCCAAAACCTCCTTTTGGACGTGGTCATGCTCCACGCCCTTTGTAACCGAATAATAATGCGATAGCTGCGGCACTGTGAACCCCTGTAAGAGAACCTTGGCAAGCTTGACGAATGTCGCTTGGGTAACATAGTGTGGCTCGTGTAGGCCTGCCTGCGTCTTCGGGCGTAAAGTGTCGAGCTGCTTCGTGATCTCTTCCAAAGTGAGCGGACGGTTTTCCTGCTGGAGGGAAGCAAGGATGTCGGGCACATCTTGCTGTATTGGCACTATCTCGGGCGCGACAGCCTCTTCCTGTGGCGCATCTCCCACCTCCTTCAGGACGAGAATCTCGGCGTCATCGCCCAGAGTCTTTACGCCCAACCGCGCTGTAGTTTCTCTGACGGTCTGTCCCTTGCGTTTCCGTATTCGTCCCAGTGGATGTGCGCTTACTCGGCCGCGCGGCGGAGGCGCTTGGATCTGCGAGGAGTCGTCAAAGGCATCGCGATGGCGCGCAGAGGCGGAGAAGTTCGCGTGCGGAGGTCGGCGGGCGAGGAGCGGAAGTCGCGGGCGGGCACGCTTGAGCTCACATCGGATGCATACAAATGCGCTGGAGGCGCGAGGTGCAAGCATAGGGAGAGAAGCGGCGGGAAGCCTGCGCAACGCGATGGACAAGGAGAGGTGTAGCGGAGCAAATTCCGAGAGTACGCTCCACGTTCTTCACCGCCTGCAGCCCTGCGGATTCTGCCAGCGCCAATTCACGTGCCGGTCGCTTCCATCCAACCTTGGAATTGCGCAGACACCCGAATGCGTGTGCTAAATGATGCAAAATTGTTTAAACGATTCTATTTTTGCTTTCTTGTAGTCAATGGCTATATAGGCTGCCGCCAGCTGCAGAGGTCGTCCCGGACATCGAACTCATCCACCTCGTGGTTCGGTCGATGCCGTTTCCGCTCCGCTTCTGCTTTCATCTGATGAGCCTGTTGCTCCAGACTTCCTCTGCCGCGCACGTTCGGCGAGCTTGTCATTACATCTCCGGGCCTCAGTGTCTCGTGCGATTTGCGGTGTATGGTGCTCCCGCGGGTGGTTCTGGAATCGCTTTCGCTCAGTGACCCGCTACTATCGCCGGAGACGAACCTTATGCCGCGTTGTTGCGCATCATATGGCTTCTCCCGGTCGCCCCAGCCATCCCCACCCCCAAAAATATCCTCGATGCACTCGTCTGCCTTGAGCTCTCCCGGCTGGGCGGACCAGTATGCAGCCAACGTCCGCCTGTACATGTCTTGAAGCTCGCCCGCTTCGCGCGATCCAGCGTTTAGAGACGGGGTAGCTGCGAACGATCAGCATAACTCACCAGCTCGTCTCGTGAAGCACTTACACCCAGCATCTTCCGAATCTCCCTGTTCCCCAGACACAATCCCAGCGATACCGCTGAAGACCTGCGCCGTCTTCAGTGCAGGCGCAACGTAATTCTTATCGCCTTCGATCTGCCTCATATAGACGCAAATCTTGAGCGTGCTGTTGATCTTGCTGTTCTGCATCAGATATCTTCTCGTAACGCCCGGCTCGTCGCCGTCGACGCCTGGCATTTCGCTCTGCTCCACGTATTCGGCCAGATTCAGCCTGACATTCCCCAGCGTGATGCGCTCTCCTCTGCCGCCGCCCCCATACTCCTGTATCACCTCGAACTCGATGAAGCTCTCCTGGAGCATGCCATTCTTGTCGACGGTGAGCCGGACGGGGAGCTTCGCTTCGTAATCGTAGAATACTTTGTGGTCCTTGATAGGTCTCTTTTCGGTGCGACCGCGGTGCTCAGCAGCCGTCGAGTGCGGGAGGTGCCACTTGACGAATGAGTTGCCGGAGACGAGTGGTACGTTGTTCAGGTCGATTATCTGACTCTATCAGTACCCCTGCCACACGCGCCGCACCGCGGGGAGCAGCTCACTCTCAGGCGCAGTTCGAACTTGGGCTGCGCACTTGTCAGCTAGCGCGTCCTCAGCGGATGTGAATAGATGCCTTTCTTACCCGCCGGTTCTTAGGCACTGCAATCGTGAGCGTGTGTGTCGCGAAGGCGACAGAGCGCTTGAGAGACATTCCTCACCGAAGGCTTGCATGGTGAAGGAAGGAAGAAGATGCTGTGGCCGGTATCAGGCAGTATTAGTGTGCTGAGGGACTGGTGCGGGAGGGTGGCAGGAGCTTTGTGTGAGAGCCGGAACCGTCGAAGGAGCTCGGCACCGACATCATAGCTCCGCTCGGGCACCGCCCACACCTGGGCAGCACTATCGCCTACAACCATGACCGCGCCGCATCCTTTTGTCCCTCATTCATGACGCCAGACGCAGACGCGATTGCCAACTGCGTGCTCTCAGCGTTCGACGAGCTCCCAGAGAAGCGCAAGCCGCGGCCGCGCGGCGACGGAAGCAGAGAATGGGTTCCGCTCGCCGGAATTGTCTTAGTTAAGGGTACGGCTGCAATGCAAGCTCAGCAGAGCTGGAGTAAGCTTATACTCATCATCTAGCAAAGACGGCACGCTATCATGCGTCTCTCTCGGGTAGGTACTATGGTCAATTTCCATAAGAGTCGACAATATCAGAGTCATCCCATCCCCTCAGAGCTCAGAGTGTACAACATATACGAGAGACATTTCCACATCTCCCTGCGCCTCCTCAAATTTATAGCGGAACATGAATCCGTTTTGCCTATGCACCCCGGCACAGCAACTTCACCAACATCGCCCTAACAGACGCCACTAACGATGCACCCTCTAGAACCGGCATGAAATGCCTCCCCTCGTCCAAGCTCCCGCTGGCGCACGGAAACGTCCTTCACGACTGGCACGCTGAGATACTCGCCCTCCGTACCTTCAACCGCTTCCTACTGAACCAATGCCTTTTCATCTCAACCCCTCCATATCCGCCTTCGCCGTACGTACGGATCCGATCACATGAGGAGCGCACAGAATCCGAGTACCAGCCCTTCACTATCAGAGAAGATGTCCAAATCCACATGTACTGCTCCGAAGCACCTTGCGGAGACGCAAGCATGGAACTAGTCATGGACGCCCAGGACGACGCAACGCCGTGGACCAGCGCTCCGCCTGCAATATCCTGTACTGCTCTAGCGGACGATCTAGCGGGCCTTGCATCTTCGGCTCTTCGTGGTCGGTCCCATTTTGGCTTGCTGGGTGCCGTCCGCTGTAAGCCTTCCCGCCCGGACGCGCCACCCACCCTTTCTAAGTCCTGCACCGACAAACTCGCCCTAACGCAATCTACCTCCATCCTCTCCTCCTTAACTACGCTGCTCGTCTCTCCTTCTCATGCCTACCTACACTCCCTCACTCTCCCCAGCACCCAGTTCGTTACCTCAGCTTGCACTCGCGCCTTTTCTCGGTCCGGCCGCATGAGCGGTGTATCCCCAGTGCTGGAAAGTAAGTGGAAAGGTGGCTATGCATGGCATGGATTCGAGGTTAGAGGCACGCAGAGTGAATTCAAGTGGAGTAGAAGGGGCGTGGCGAAGGGGGAGAAGGCGGTGCCGAGTAACCTTAGTGCTGTGTGGACTCCCGGGTGGCAGGAGACGTTGATTGGGGGTGTGCTGCAGGGGAGGAAGCAGTTTGATCAGAGAGGAGCGAGTGCTATTTGTCGGAGGTCCGTGTGGAGGGCTGTTGCTCAAGTTGCAGCGGCGGTGGGCGTACCGGCTCTCATGGAGGTTCTTACTAAGGGGAGTTATGCGGAAGTGAAGAAGAGCGAGATGCTGGCAGCTAGGAGGCAAGTCAAGGAAGACGCCAGAAAAGAGGGGTTGAAAGGTTGGGTCAAGAACGTCGGAGACGATGAGTTCGCTCTTGAATCCGAATGAGCCCTCTAGGGGCGGGTATCTAAATGGAATAGAGTCACAGACATCAGACATCCCTCATCCCCTTCTCCCCTTCCGCAAACGCGCCCCATGCCCCGACTCTCCCACTCCATCGATCACCCACGACCTCCACCACGTCGACCGTCTTGACACTCTGATGCCTGAGACCCCTCACACCTTCAATACCCGCTCCCCCATCCGCATATACAGCCCTTGCATCCGCTTTCCGCCTAGGCATCCTCGATACTAGTAGATGCAGGTCCAGGTACGGGGACAGCACATTCCCTAGAGCGGGCACCACCTTGTTCGAAGAGAAGATTGAAGGTGACTGTGGTGGTTGCTGCTGTTGCTGATGAGGTGGTGCTGGTTGGTTGGAGGTGTTTGGCGGTGGAGGGCGAGGAGGGCTGGTTGGATTGAAGAGGATGGTGTAGAGAGCGTGGGTGCGGGTTAAGTGAGAGAGAGTGAGGAGGAAGGATGTGGAAAGCGCGTGTCCTAGGAGGATTAATTAGTTTTTGGTAGCAGGGAGGGGGAAGGAAGCGCGTACCTTGGACGTGGTCTTTCTTGAGGAGAGGATTTATGATGTGTGCAAGGTTGTCGATGAGAATGAAGGAGATCTTCTCTTCAAGTCCTCTTTCTTGTTCATCTTCGTGCGCCGGATCCGGTAGCTGCGGCTGTACATTGGGTTGTGATGCTGGCAGAGCGACTGATTGTGCGAGCGCTGCAGCTTCATTGTCGAACAACATCTCGTCATCGTCTTCCTCGTCCTCACTATCTGCAATCACGGTCCTCCTGGGCGGCTGTGGTGGCGCCTCGTCCTCCTTCTCAATTTTCTTCACGCTCTCGATCTCATCTTTCTCTGCCGGCGGTCTCCGTCCCTCAAGCCCATCTCTTATCTCACTCACAGCCTCCATAACCCCCACAAAATCAAAGACCCGCATAATTTTAACTCGGTCAAGGACTTTAGCTGCGACGTTTTCCGTGGAAACACCCTCCAAGCTGGAGGTTCCTCGGAGGCTGTTGAGGAGAGACGAGTCAGCCTGGAGACGAGAGACGATGAGCGTGTATATCCGAAGGATGTCAAGATTGCCGGTTGTGTCGATAATAGCGGCTGTCGACGTCGGGGCTTGCAGGAGACAATTTGTCAGAAAGGTGAGGCATAACTAGTGGACTCAGCATCTCGGTGGGTCTTGCAAAAGCGGATATAAAACCTTCAGAGAAGTGATTCAAATCAACAAGATGAGGGCGAGCAAAGGCAATTGCGAAGACTCGAAGCCCTACGAGGACTAGTCGAAGTGAGATAACCTACCTCAACACCACCCCCTCCCTGCCCTGCACTTACGCATACCACCCGGCCTCCCTCCAATCCACCGTCCAGCGCTTCATCTAGACTCTTAACACCCGTCCCTAGTGACTCTCCCCTCCTCTTCTGTTGTGGCCCAACCCTTCCAGCTACCACACCCTCCAGCAGCACCTCCAACTCTTCATCGCCGATCAACGAAGACGCGAGAAGCAGCTCCGCGGGCCGAGCTTGCGCTCCGGCTTGCGCCATCTATCTCATACCGCAGGCAAGGAACGGGAGAGGTCGCAGGAAAAACCGGTTTGAGGTGATTGATTTGGTGTAGTAGTGTGACTGGATGTCGGACGTACCTAAGTACGCGGCCGGATTAGGAAACCAGCGAATCTTCCACACTAGGCGAGGAAGGTGCGCGTGCGCGTGTGGCTGACGTGCGCCCCTATGGGAATCTGAAAACCGCACCACTATCAATAGATAAACATGGCAGATTGTGTCTATCGGAGACGGGTGCAGGATTGTATCCGTAGGCGCGGGCAGGGGACTAGGAAGGGTGTCGGTCTTCAGCTCCAGCGAATTGGAATTGGCCCCCGAACCTTGGAACGAGGGCTGGCGCCGACACAACGCCGCGTTCAATCCTGATTTTCGGGACAGTGGAGATGTACCTGCATCATAGATATGATAAGGTTTAACGAGCAGTCTAGGAACCCTAGCCTGCTAAGGCTTGGTGAGATCTCACACTTGCATGCTACTTATCAAAATCTTCATCATTCATTCAGATACTTTCATTGGGAAACTACGGACGCCCTCCCTTACACCCATAGCTAGCTAGCTAGCTAATTTCCCCACGCTCAAGATGGGCCGTACAGTCTCGCCCCATTAATAGAAGAAGTTGTTTTTTTTTTCTCGATAATCCCAGAATGCCCTTGTGAGACGCGCACCCCAAAATGTACACCGAGGGTGGTATCCAGAACCGGACTGATCCCCACTGCTTCAGATTCCCTCTTGTCTCCGTGCGCGGCCCCATAATAATCCCATAATCGAGGACTGACAATAAAGAAATACGTCGTCTCTGTATATTTCCCACGCTGGACGTGGGAACCGGACTGTGTGGCCGAATTGTCGTCGGGTGTGCCGGCTTAGGGCGCGATTCACACAGCGCTCGGCGATTTGATAGCGCATACCGAACTAACGAATGCTATATCCAACCATCCGCTTGCCGCTCAAGCAGGACGCTCAGGTCGTGGCCGTCGTCCGCCCTTCAAGCTCTTGACGCGGTTGAGGAACCCTCCTTGGGGTTTCGCCTCGCCAGGAGAGCCCAGGCTATCTGCGGTCATAGCTCGAGCCAAAGGATTGCGGCCTCCAGGCGATGATGGCGATGTGAGCGGCCCTTCCTTGCTGTCTGACTCTGTGGCCTTGATAGTGGCACCCTTCTTCTCGTACGCATCATCGTAGTTATCAAAGAATGGATTTTGTTCGTCGGCTTTGTTGCTCGCGTAAGTGCCTCCAGTTGTCAACGGGCCCTTTGGGCTTTGACCGGATCCATAACGGCTGTCAGGGGACGTAATGCGGGGCCTGCCTTCACTCAAATCCCGTCGTGGTTGCGAGATACCGCGGATTCGCTGGGCAATGGACTTCTTGCGGCCAAGACCACCGTCCGCAAGAGCTTTCTGGTTCTCTGATTCCCGCTGGATGGCCGTGCGTGACGCTGGTGCGCCCTCGAGGAAAGTGGAAGTGCCCAGACCGTAACTCTCTTCGCCGTGAACAATGTCGGCGCGCTCCTTAGGCCCGTACGTCACGGAGCGCTCTCCCAATTCGGGACGCTTCTTCCAGTCCTTGAGGTCGCTGCCACCAAAATCTGTGAAGCCCTCAGCGCCGCGACCGTGGATCCGGTCCAGGTCAATTTTACTGTTCACGGGTCCTGAGCCGCCGAGCGCGTTGTTGGCTGATCCCATAGGGAACGCCTGCATAGGAGCACGGGCGTCCTTCTTGCGATTCCGGTGCGGCCGCACAGCGTCGTACGGGCCATCGTGATGCACTAGGCTCGGGCCGTAGATGCCGCTCACATCCAGCTTATCGATGATATCGAGACCCTGGGGCTTCCTAACTTTTGTCGAGCCAGATTTGCCATTCCGGGCACGCTCGTCCCTCTCCTTGCGTCGCTCTCGGCGCCTGCGCTCTTCATTCGGATCCAGCGAGCCCTTGTCGATCATGGAAGACTCGGAGTTTCGTCGTGGCCGCCTGGCCTCCCTTCTCTCGGGGCTGCCTCGCGGCGGTGGTGGCCGCGAACTTGGCGCGCCGTGCGGACGGGGAGGCCCGCGGGAAGGACCACGTAGACGCCTTTCTCTGTCTTCATCCGAGCGTGACGGACGGTGGCCCTGGGGCTGTAGGGTGCCGCTTCGCTGGGGCGGCCCTGCTTGGGGCGCTCGCTTCTTGTCGCCTTCATCGAGCGTGAGATTGTTCTGTCGGAGAGAGGGATAGTCAGCAAACAGGCTCGCAAAACGCTTGAAGCGCTCCATGGCGCGCCTCTGCCGCTGGGGGGCGGTTTTATTGTTGGGACACGGCGAGACTGTGGGTGCAGATTGTGCGACGCAATTACGTCGGCTGCCGTCCCCATCACATCGGCGGCAGGGGACATGGACGTACAAAGAGCTCTTCAGCAGTGTTGCCGAAAGTGGCCTTCTTGGGGGACTCCTTCACGGTGGCCGACATGTCGATTAATTGCGCCTCTTTGTTGAACTCGGCCTCGAAGGTCTGCAGGAAGGGGTTGCGCGACATTGGCCGGCTGCCGGCGCTCGAGGGCGTGTGCAGGGCGGGCGAAGGGATGGCGGGCGACGCAGCGCGGTTGCGGAAGGGGTTGTTGGAGTTCAAGTTGAGCGTCAGACCCGGCGAGGGGCGGCGGTGGCCTGTAGATAAAGGCGGTTATCAGTGAAATTCGTTTTCGTCACCGCCAGCGAAGGTGAAACAGGCGATAAAGGAGCATACCTGGCATTGACGGCTCAGCGATCATGATGTTGCCGCTGCCTGCAACCCTGCACAGGCGGCCAATCACACGGGGTCGTCAGGGAAGCGGACAGGCTGCGCAGGCCCAGCGGCGACGGAGGAGTTGGCTGGCGAGCGTATGACGCGCGAGTCGCCCCAAATCCTGCTGCAGGCGGGGACCGGCCGAGGACAGGAATAAAAAGGGGTGCAGACTAAGACTGGCAATGAGATGCTGGTGGGTTTCGCGCTGTCGCTCTGCCAGGGGCGGGGCGGGCGTTTGAGGGCCGCGTTTGCAGGTCGGTTGGCCGGTTGGCCGGCTAGTGCATGCACCGTCTAAGCAAATACCAGCAGCAGGCAGGACGCACGCAGCGCGCGGGCGATGTAATGTGCAGAAGGGGAGCGGAGTGCAGGCGGTGCGAAGTCGGGGCAGCGCGCAGGTAAATACTGTAGGGTGCGGAGCGCAGGTCGGGTCCCTGACGATGGCTCGCAGAAGCGTGCAGGTGCAGGCGCGGCTCGAGGCTTTCGAGGCGAACGGTTTGCGTTTCGCGGCGCGGCCTGTGATTCGAGGGAATGTCGCCAGCTCAAGTGCGCCCGGCCAGCTGCTCGCCGAGTGTGCACGAAAAGAGGGCAGGCCGGTCCGTATGATAAATAGAATGCCTGTCCGGCGGCACGTTTGCTGTGGGGGAGCTGTGCAAGCCGCGCTGTGGCGACGCAGGGGTTGCGCCCGCTAGAGGCCAGACGCCCGCATCACGCGGCGACGGACGCCATCGATGCTCGAGAGGCTGCTGCCATTGCACTTGCGCCCATCGCCTTTGCTTCTGCCACCGCCTGCTCTGCCCGCCAGCTGGAGCCTGGGCTCACTTCTCCATCGCCGCCTCGTCCACCTCGCACGGCCGCAGTCTGGTCTCCGTCACCGCAAGTCCGCACGCCCGCCCACACGCCCAGCCCCATTCACGTTCAGATGCGGCATAGCCGCCGCCCCCGCAATTGTGAAAGGCAGACCCTGAATGCAAATCGGGAGCCTCAAGCCGACGCCCAGGCCTTCGTTTACGGCGCCGGTACTCGTCCACGCCACGACCATCAATCTCCTGGACCTCCAGCCTCACAGCTCACAACCCGCCCAGCATGGACGCAGCCCCATCGCCCGACGTGCCACCCTACGGAGGCTTCTCGCGCTTTGAATTGGAACTCGAGGTCCGTCCGGCCCGGCCTCATCCCCCTAGCTGTTCGTGAACTTACCCGTGCCCAGTTCGTGCAGTGTCTTGCGAATCCCGCCTATCTCAATTACCTGGCCGTGCACAAGGTGTTTGACAAACCCGAGTTCGTAGCATACCTCGGCTACCTGCAGTACTTCAAGCAGCCGAAATACGCAAAATATCTCCAGTGGGTGCTGTCCTTGTAGCGCCGACGCCGATGACTGATGCTTTGCCTGCAGCCATCCTGGGCCGACGCTCCGAGCGCTAGAGCTGCTCCAGCAGGAGCGTTTCCGCCGCGAGATATTGAGCCCCAACCTCATGAATTACATGACGATCGAGGGTCTCAAGAATGCAGTGCCCGATAAAAGGGATTGATAGCGAAAGCCGTTCCCAGCACTACGTGGCACCGCATTCTTGGGAACCATGGCATTCGCAACAATCTCTCAACAGATATACCAACCGCCGCCTCTGGGTTCGCATTCGAGCCAATGGTGCCTTGCATCAACGAGACACCCATTGTTCGTATTGCGGTTGTCTGCTGCATCCAGCATAGTCGACACCGTCGCCGGGCTCGTTGCCTTCGAGGCAAGGGCTGGGGGCTTGAGACCCCAAGATTTTGGCGCTTGAGGAGAAAAGGAAGGCCCTCTGGCTGGGATCAGCATGTCACGTAGTTTTGACCTAGGCGGGCCGGTCCAATATAAAGGAGAAGGAATGGGACGCATGTCGCTCGAAACTACCACAGTGTCTACGGCTCGTGCCAATATTGTCTAACCAAGCAAGCGCTCATACGAGCGGAAAATTTCCCTCATACGTGGACCTAGCGATTCCCCTGAAAAACCTCCTCCAGACAAAAGTATCGCGGGAGTGTCACGTTGTGGTTGCATAATTGGGCTTCTTGGGACATGGATGTAAATATTGAAGGCTACCAGGATACCGAGAGTCAACCTTGGAATTCAGTTCCGCCAAACTATCGGATTCTACACCGTCACCAAATTTAGTGCCCGATCTTGAAGTGTGGTTCCAGCTGAACGCCAAAAATTGGGCGAAACAAGCAAGCTTTGGTCGAGCTGATGCCGCCCAAGGGTACCCCAGCAACTGTCTAGGTAGTTTCCGCTACGCGCGGGCACGTGACTCGGCATATCTGTCCCGAGCCCGCTATCGCGCATCGACGCCAGCATTACAGAACCATCAAGGTACTTACCCGCCCCTCACCTGTCGCAGCACCCGATACTTCAGCCAAGTCGCTATGAGAACTATTTCAGAGGCAGAGTGCGCACATTTACCGCCCACCCTACCGCGATGCGTGGCTGATTCATTCCAGGAAGCATTGGCGTCAACTCGACGACTTCCACTCCTTGACCGATTTAAAGATAGCAGTGTCCTCGCACAGGGAGCCCCAAATCACTGCCGGACTCCGATCCATCTGCTGGAAGGTGCGAATCGGCTCACCTGTTTGCTTTATCTGAATTGACACGCTTCAGATCTTCCTCCTATTTAAGACCTTAGACCGCAAGATATGGCTCAGTCTCCTGGACGAGGCACGCACGACCTACAACTCCCTTCGCGCGCACAATCTACGCGCCATAGAACATCCGGATGAATTCGAGTCCTCCGTCGACCCGCTAAGCGAAAATGAAGAGGTACCCCCACCTTGCCCTCCTATCCTTCCAGCTCGTTATATCAAATGTTGACCAATACTAAGACTTGAAAGTCCCCGTGGGTAGCTCTTCGAGCCGACGAGACCCTCCGCGCGGAAATCTTCCAAGACATCGAACGATGCATGCCCGAAAACGTGTACTTCCGGCAGCCGGCCACGCAGAACATGATGCTGGATATACTTTTCGTGTGGTGCAAGATGCAACCTGAGATTGGATACAGACAGGGTATGCATGAGATACTGGCGCCGCTGCTCTGGGTGGTTGAGAGAGACGCCGTGGACACAACAGAGCTCAAGAACAGGGGCGTAGACCACACCCTAGCGGAGATGGTAGATTCCAGGTACATTGAGCACGATACATTTGCCCTGTTTCGATTGATCATGCAGACTGCAAAGTCATTCTACGCACCAGCGGAAACCGGTTCGACCACGAAAGATACCCCCATGCTCGCCCGGAGCTCCAGGATATTCGACAGATACCTCCCAAGGGCGGACCCAGGACTATCTGCGCATTTGGTCAAACTAGAAATCGTACCTCAGATTTTTCTACTGTAAGTATCCCCTTCCTGCCACCCTAGATCCGTCTAACACCACCAAGGCGCTGGATACGGCTGCTCTTTGGGCGGGAATTCCCTCTGGACTCTGTTTTGAACATGTGGGATGCTCTCTTCGCCATCGATTCCACCCTAGAACTGGTTGACATGATCTCGATTGCCATGCTGCTTCGCATACGCTGGGATTTGGTAGCCGCAGACACAAACGAAGCATTTTCGCTTCTTCTGCGCTATCCAAAGCCCGACGTGCCTGCTTACACTTTCATCAAAGACGCATTATACCTCAGAGACCATCTGACTCCTGAAGGCGGTGTCGAAATCATTACGCGGTACGGCAAAAAGGCACCAGTAATCGAAACCAAACCCACTCCAACTATCCGCGTACCATCTCCCTCGCCATCGTACGCTTCAAGTCGCACGAGGCAGAGCGTGGGGTCGCCGCGGAACTTTGTCAGTCAGCAAGGCGCGGGCTTAGAAGCACTGTTCCAGGGCGCTGCAAAGAATGTGTTGGAGCGCGGATCCCAATGGGGTGTTGGAAAAGCGATACGCGACGCAGTAGGCGAAGTTCGGAAGAACGTTGAAGCTATTCAGTCTGGAGGGGCATCAGGGCACATCTCCCCCAGATCTGGAGGACGGGAATATCGCAAGCCTGCGCAAATTGCAACGGCAGCAGCAAGCAAAAGACCTGGGCTCGAGCGCATGCAGTCAGGCAATGCAATCAAGAAGATTGAGAGCTTAGAACGGAGAAGTCAGAACCTAGCGAAGATGCTTGAAAGCGCTATGGCCGAGCTGTGGGACTACCATAAAGAGAGGAGCGAGGATGGGAAGGAGAGTAAAGAGGCGATAGAGGCATTGAGTTTGGCCATTGCCAAAATCCAATTCGTGCAGGTCTACCTCGAAGACTCCTCGATACCCTTACCGAACGACGAATCCACCGACCAGGCAGCCGCCGTTAATGCGTCTACGAACCTTACATCTCCTCAGGCACTATCCCCGCCGGTGCCAGAGCGGACATCAAGCGCACCTCCTACTGCTAGTGCCTCGCACCCGCGGCCAAGCTCGTCAGCGACCGACAAATCCTCTTTACTAAACCCGCGGCCTACCTCTCCCCAGTCACCGCAAGCATCATCGAAGCTGTCACCACGCACACGCCCGCTTCTCACTTCATCATCTTTCTCGTGGATGCTAGGGCAGGAAGCAACGGCCTCGACCTTCGCTTCTCATACCACACATACCGCTTTTCCGTCTGACGAAAAGCGGCGGATGAAAGGCAAAGGTTTCTTATTCGGCGATGAAGATGAACCAGATAACCCGGTAAAAGAGAAGAGGGGCAGTGTGACTGGGAAAGGCGGAAAGGGGAAGAACAACGTCGAACCAGAGGTTGAAGAGGAGATTATCGATCTGGAGGATGTGGGGAAGAGGGGGGCTGTCAGCTGAGATTTCAACGGGAAGAGGAGGCAGACACCCGTGGCTTGAAAAGGTGGGTGCCGTTTAGTGTTCAATCTGGCTTGCGGACAACAAGTACATAGTAAGCTTCACGATCCTCACCACTGCTCCATCCCGCATTCCAGAATCCTCTTGGGTTGAAGTCATCACTACGCAGGCTCACACACAGCACACAGCACAAGACGATGGGGTATGTATGCAACAATTGTATATTCCTATTCCATTTGTCAAACCAAACTGTTTGAGTCTCCGTTTCTGTCAAGTTGATATTGCCTCCCCGCTCTCCCTAAAAGAAGATGTGCCAAAGAGTGTCGACGAAGGGTATCAATGCAGCCGTTTTCGCATTTGTTCTTGTTGGAATGGAAGAAAGTTGGTATGCAAGATTGGTGTTAAGGACAGTCGGTCGGTCGAATCGAAGGATCGAATGCAAACATCGCCGTCGTGATTATCGTCACCGCCTCGTTACGTCGCTAGGGTATCGGGAGTTTCTGGTGGAGGGTTAGAATTCGGCGGGTTGGGAAAGATGTGAAGGCATGGGTAGGTGGGCTGAGACTGACACTTTCCGCAGTTGCAAGCACCCTGAGCGCAGCCGCAGTCGGCGCAAGTGCAGCCCTCGGTTCCGCAGCCTGGCATTTTCAAGTCTGGTATTGAGAGTTGGTTTTTTTCTTTGGAAAAGAGTTGGTATGTTTTGTTGCTGGTTTCTCGGCCGTTCGTGTTCGTTGAGGAAAGAAGACGCTGAAGGAGGGGCAAAGCGGGGTCTTTATCTACACTGCCGTCCGGCGCCAGCGGAACAAGCTAATCAGCGATCGGAGCTGCGCGTTTGTCAAGGCAACCATCCCCCGTTTTCGGCACTGCGGATGCCGAGAGCCCTTGCTAAGACGGCCGTTATACCCTGTTTGAGCAAGTTTCGTGGGGAGTGGCTGGCCAGACACAAGCTTTCGTCACCCTTCACGGGCTGCCGTTCTGCGTTAGAGGGGATCCGGTGGCATGGTTGCGTGTAAGCTGAGTGGAGGTATTCTGCGGGCTTCTGGATGCATTGGAAGGCAAGAAGACGAAAGGAAGGCAGGATTGCGGGCAGGAAAATGGTTGGAGAAGTATTCCCTCGTGGAAATGAAGGGCGCGGTGGAGGGTGTGCTGGCGTCACTGGGGTAACCTGGGGAAGAGGAGATGGAATGCGTGGTGACATATCGAAGGGAGTCCAGCACGATGATGGAGAAACAACATGGGGCCTTCGTCATTCTACAGATTCGGTTGCGTATTGAGAAACGCACAGCATCTAGAAGCTCTACCAACCATTGAACATTCCCGCCAAGCCATCTCTATCATTCTTCTTACCATGTCTCCCCCGCCCACTCCACTCTGCCCACACGCCCCCGCTGATCTCGCAAGAAGCGCGAGCAGAAGAAGAAAATTAGCTACTGTACGTATCTTGTACACATGCAATACAGTCGCCCTACTTACGTACCGCTGCATCTCTCATGACCCTTCTGCAGCATCGGCGAGCCCATAGGCGACTACCGACACTGCGGCAATGCTCTTCCATAGGCTGGAATGGGCTGAGGCTAGCCATACGCCTTACCTACTCTAGGGCTGTACGTCTGCAGCGGCTGACTTGCCTTCGGCTCGGTGCGTGGTTGCGGACCTAGTGGCGGCTGCAGCGGGATAGCTGCTCGCGAGGAATGTTAATCCGCGTGAGACAGGGTGGCGTGTGAATGAAGCAGCCAGACGTAAAGCTCCGGAAATCGTATTAGCGGGCCTACTTCCCATTCCCCTTAAGGCTTACTAGCTGAAGTTTGCCACCATGGAGGAGAGACAAGCTTTGCAGGAGCGGAAGCGAATGTCCAGTGGATATTCTGGACCCCTTCGCTGTCAGCCACTCATGCGGCACCGTCTCTTCGTCAGTCTACATCATCGCGGTGTATATAGGTGAGACGTAGAACGCAGACGAACACATAAAGATTTCACATCGGACCGCGCTGAGCCATGCAGAGGTTGGCTTGTCAATAGTACAACGCCACATAGAGCTTCGATCCCAAGGACAGGATACCCGCCCCAAGCGCGCCTTATATTGATTGATCAGAGTGAGGCTTGTCTCTGTGTTCCAGCGCTGCCGAGCCCACCGTTCTGCAGCGCGACGACCCGTACCCGTGGGGTTGAGTGGTTAGTACCTCATGTAGTATGACATGACACCAAAAAAGCTATATACAAAAGCGGGAATGCCGAAGGCAAAAGCAAAGAAGACAGGGCATGTACACAAGGGGTATCCCTCCTCTCCCCACACTCCACACTTTCGTGGTGCCCAGCCAGTGACATGGTCAGGGCCGAAAGTACGGGGTAGACGGAAAGTCGTCCTTGTATAAAGCCCAGCTCTGACTTCGCTTCTCAATTCGACACGGTCCCGAGAAATGGAGGTAGAAGAGAAGTGGTGACGATATCAATGTGAGGATATCAGGTAGAAATGACGACGATGACGACGATGGAAAGACCCAGATATAACCCAAAAGTGGATCGCATCAGCACTTGACGGATCTTCCCAATGACAAAAAGCGAGCCCGATGAGGAGGGGCGAGGGTATGACAAAAACCGACAAAAACAAAGTATCCATCCAGAGCCAATGCTATATCGTGGCGGATACCATCATAACGGGGTATCATCCAGCGCATTGGCCCAAGCCCAATATCATATGTGTGTGTGTTGAACGCCGATCCAAATGTTTACATGGAGCCCATAGCAATCAGGGCCTCAATGGCCTCGCGCTCCGCGTTCTGGCCCCCGGGACCCATAACGCCGTTCGATGCAGGAAGAGTGCCCGTGTTGCCACGGGATGCAGTATAAGAGGAAGAATTAAAGGCCGGGGTCGTAGTTCTTCCGGCATGAGAAGGTGGCACCGATTGTGCCGATGTCGAGCGGTATCGAGCGCCCGACATTCGAGAAAGATAATTGTAGTCGCGGTATACGGGACGTCGTGGGCGAGGACGTTGGCGGAGAGCTTCTGGTCCAATAGCAGACCAGTCCTCCTCGTCCGTTTCGTCGTTCAGGTCATTTTCCAGATCCATGTCAGACGTATCGGAGTCGCTGTCCCCAGAGCCATCTAAGGACATCTGGTCCGCCATCTCTTCGTCCCGACTGTCCGGGGAGCCGGCCGCCCAGCTCCCCGAGTACGCGTCGTGCTCGGCGCGCATATGCTTGGGTACTTGGAGCCCGCCGGAGCTATCCACACTGGCAGGTGGCGTCGGTCCGTTGCGCGACGCGCCGTGAGCCCCAATGGGGACTCCGCGGCTCGTCTGGGACGATTGCCCTGCCACGCTCCAGCGGCCCCAGCCCACCTTCTCGAACTTGACTTCCCCGTGAAGGCCACCGCCTGCGCGATGTTCCAGCGCAGCGACTATCAGCCTGCGGGCCTTCGCCGGGGGGAGTCGGGAGAAGCCTGGGACTGTCTGGTTGAGATGGGCCATCATCTCGCGGATGGGCATGGCGCCGTGTCCCAGAATGATAGTCGGCAGATGGTGCTTGGCGAGCATGAGCGCCGTTATCTGGCGGGAGGCATCCAGGCCAGCCAGCGCTTCCTTGGAGAGCGAGGCGGTGGGCTGGTCCTGGGCGGCGGCGTGCTCGACAGCATCCTGCAGGTCGATATCCATGTCCGCGGACGAGGGCGAACGAGCCCTCCCGGTCGCCGGCATTCCAGGCCGGCGTTTATGGGCGGACAGGGTCGGGGATATCGAGTTCGGAGGTGTAATGAGCGGCCCCGCGTGGGCCGGGGCGGAGGCGGGTCCGCCATGGTGCGATATGGGTATGTTCGAGGACGCCGACTGGGTCGCGAAGGCGACGGCGATGTTGGATACCGGCTTGATGTGTGCGACGGCAGCCATATCGCCGGTCGGGTCCTGAACGGGGTGAGACGGGAAGCAGCTGACGTGGTGAGTCAAAGAAGGCGCTGTCTGACCGGAGGCAGCAGCGCGGAAGTTCTGTGGCAGGAAGACAGCGGTCGCCGTCTGGTACGCGGTTTGTAGGGCGAGCGAAGAGCTGGTGCGTCGGCGTGGTGGGTGTTGAGGGCAAGCTGCAGCGAAGTAGCTTGACCGTGTCGGAACGTTGCGATCGGCGATGGGGATCAGCGAGCGCAGCGGAGGATCAGGACGCGAGCGACGGTAGCAGACGCGCGACGAGAGACTGAGAGGGCGAGGAGCGGTGGCGGCGTGCGAACGGGCAGACTGGCTGGATTCGAGGCTGTGGTGGTTGGATGCGATGCTGGTGTTGTTGTTCTTTGTGTGGAAGCTGGAAGGGCGCAGGAGAGCGAAGATAAGGTCGTGACTCGTCGGCCGTCGACCTGCGCCGGACCAAGGAAGCTGCGACCGCGCTCCCGCTAATTGGCGGAGCCACCTGACCCGTCGCTTGCGCCACAAAGCCGGGAACCCAGCATGCGCACCGTCATCCGCACCGTCACCAGTCACCAGTCACACCTCGCTTGCCATGCGCACGCCAGGGCAGAGCTGCTTTTGCCCACGGGAAATGTCGCTATCGTCGTGACATGTCCTCGCTCCGGCCCTCGTCAACAGCGTCAACAAAGGTCTCACCTCCGTCGGCGGCGCCACGGCAGCCCGGAGGCCCTCCCTTTGCTCCGCGTCCAACCGACGCACACCTATCTATCGTGCCAACCATATCACCACCCGCCGCCAGCCCCAACACCATTGGCCTTATCGCTCGCGCGGTCGGCCCCCAGAGCCCTCCGATCTCGCCCTCTGCCAGGAGCTGCGTGCCGCGTGAAATAGCGGGAGGGGTAATGCGCGGATGACAGGCACGCCTTGAGGGGTCCACGGAAGCATGCCCTCTGTGCTGCCAATGACTGGCATCGTGTCCGCATAGCAAAAGCAACCAAGGACAACACCCCGCAAATACACGTGTTGCCCAGCTGCAAGGACATCCCGCTGCCGAGCGCGCTGAAATGCCTCGAACCGGTCATGGTTGCGCTGCATTCCGGACGCCCTTTTCCGGCCCAACGCTGTTGTTCTGGCAATAGATAATTGGGGCTTCTTTGCCTATCGCTGCCTGCTGGGCGATAATTCTCCCACGTGTCGCGCCAGAGAATGGACAGCGTACGATATCAGAGCGCCCCGTGGAAAATGCCTCAGCCATGATTCGCTTCGACGACGTACTTTCTGATGGCCTGAGCCATGTTAGCGACTTCGTCAACAACACTTTCTCCCACAGAGCTTACGGCTTTGAGCACGTTGATCTGCTGCAGCGTGCGAATGAACACTGCTCTGTACTGCTCCAGATTCTGCTGCACCACGTCGTGGCGCGTCCTGCGGCCTTCGCAGATTGCTTTCATCTGAACTTCCATCTACGGAGAGTCAACAAATCGCGCTTCCGGTGAGAAACCAAGAGCGCCTTACCTCTTTGCGTAAAAATGGCTTGCTGAGGCTCGTCTCGAACCCGACGTTGTCATATCCCTCAATAAGGGCAATTCCCAGCGTTGTCGGAATAAACTCTTGCACTCCGCCAGCAGCTGCTCCGTTCTGCGCAGCGGCACCACCTCGGCCGCCTCTTCCCCCTCTGCCCCGTCCCCGGCCTCTGCCACCTCCTCGATCGCCGCCGTTGCCGCCATGACCTGCAGCTGCTCCGCCTTTCGGTCTGCCCATCACGTACTCCCGGTCTTGAATCTTCTGAATATGCTCGGCCATGGTGGCATCCGTCCCGATACCATTGACATCCATAAGAGCGATGAGTTCAGGCTCCGTCAGGTACCCGGGAGCGGTAGTTTTTCCGTCATGCATTGTAGCCTCCGTTGGCTCGAACGTCTCGCCAACGGTATACTGAGGTAGATTTTGACTGCTCTCCCACCTATCGTAGGGGTAGACGTCAAGGTAGTTTCTCGCCAGGACAGTGAGACCGTGTGCGTGGAACATCTCCCCGCCGTAGTCGAGTTCGACATCTGTAGCTTCGCCAACTGCATCCTCGGAACAGCATGCAAGGAATCGACGCACGACAAACTCGTACACTCGTCTCTCTTTATCATTGAGTTGCGTCGGCACTACGTAGTTGACAGGGTGAATCGGTGGATGGGCTTTGTCATTATTCCGGCCGTTGCGAGGCTGATTGAACCCGCCATTCATCAGACTCTGAGCGAAAGCGCCCCAGTGGTTGTCTTGCTGCTGTCTCTCGATGATTCGTCGCAGGTCCATACCTCTGTCAAATTGGTCTGTTTCCGTACGGGGGTAGCTGATCCAACCTTTCGTATAAAGAGCTTCGGCAGCGGTCATGACATCTTGTGAGCTCATCCTGAGGAACGTGCTTCCCATCTTTTGAAGCTCAACTGTAGTCAAAGGCAACGGCTTCCACTTTTTTGTTGGCTTCTTCGACATTTTCGTCACTCTCGCGAGCTTTGCCAGAAGACATCTCTCGTAGATGATGATAACAGCCATTCTGTCGAATACATGCCCTCTTCTCCAGGAGAACTTCACGTTGATATCATCCTTTTCATGAACGAGTCTGATGTACCAGAAGGGTTCGGGGATGAAGTTTCGTACGCGGAGGTATCGATCGACCACGAATCCTAAAGTTGGGAACTGGCAGGAGCCGTAACTGATTACTTTTCTCTGGTCCTCTCCCCGCTGGGGGATCATGTTCTGAAGGTGTAGGGTCTGTAGGCGCGTGAAGGCGGCTCCTAAGCGGAGGTCCAATTCGATGCGAGCAGCAACAGCATTAGCTTGTGCGTCGTCCAGCTGCACGGGGTTTCGGGCGGCTTGTATAATGTGCCTAGGTTGATATTCAGCTACCATGTCCTCAGTCATGAATAGAGTACTCACGCTCTTTCAATATTGCTAAACCTTGCCCGCCACACTTGCATGTTGGGGTTTGCCTTCCGCGCAATGTCTCGAATCTCGGATCCAATATGCTCCCCCTCGCGGTCGCAATCCGTCCAGATGAAAAGAATCGACGCATATCCCGCCTGAGACTCGATGTTGCTGGCGATGGCTTTCTTGTCCTGTCGACGTGGTTGATTTCAATGCGTCAGGAGCAAAAGGGGGACTCTTACATCTGCAATGTGGATTGTGGTAGGAGCCTCGAAAAGTTCGGACGGATGACAAGAGTTCCATTTGCGGTAGCGTTCATGGAAGTCTAGTTGCTGAATATGGCCAGCCACGCTGGTGAAGGTTACCGAGCACTGTCCCCATCTCTGAAAGTTGTAGTCAAATTTGTAGTTCTTGGTGTATTGGTTGCCGCGGACGTTTTCCTAGTTGAAATGTGAGCACGGCGAAGACTGTACGCCTGTGCAGACGTACCGCGCGCGCTTGACCGCCCAGATGGTTCGCCACCGCCTTTGCTATCGAGGGCTTCTCCGCCACGCAAAGAATTCGTGCCATGCTTTGTTTCGCTCATCTATCGATCGGCCCATGGAGTTTTCAAGGCCAGGGGAGATCATGTGAGGACGCGTTAAGATTCGGGAAGCGCGTTCGATCGGCGCACAGACACAGGCCGGTGAATAAGCGACCGATCTCCAGGTCAACGACGAGTCATGACGCCATAGCCTCGCCCCTGCGCTTTCACAGTGCACATCATCCTCTGGACAACGAACCCCTGTACTTAAGGGCCCATCGTCGAAGACCTCGACATCCTCAAGCCCGCGCCGACAACCAACATGCTGGACTTGCGGCCGACGCTGGATGTGGCGTTACCCGCCGTGAAGAAACTTCATGAATGTGCCGACTATTCGAAAACAGTCTCGCCGTATCTACCCCAGCTCTACCATCTACCGCAGAAGATATTCGAGCACATCAATGACCTGGACGCCCTCCAACACCTCTATCTCTCCACGAATCCGCTCATTACGTCGCTCGGTTTCGCGCTGTTCATGACCCCCATTGTGTTGATCGTTTCCGAGGTTAACAGGAACTATTCGCAAGTCGACCGATTATGGAGCATACTACCCGCCGTATATAACTGCCACTACGCACTATGGGCACACCTCGCTGGCCTTCCTACGCAACGGATGGATCACGTCATGGCCGTCACCATCCTATGGGGAGCTAGATTGACTTTCAACTACTGGCGCAAGGGTGGATACTCGATTGGATCTGAGGACTACAGATGGGCAACTGTCAAAGAGTACGTTGGCCCGGTCGGGATGTTTATCTTCAACGTGGTCTTCATATCTTTGGCGCAGAACGTAAGTAGGCATCATCCGATCGCTATAGACAGATGACTAAAAATAAGATGCAGCTCCTGCTTTTCCTCATCACCGCACCAACCTACGTCCTCCTCCTTTGCTCTCGCATCACCGGAAATGAACTCACGCAGTACGATGGGCTCTTCTCGAAGCTTATGTTCGTCTTCGTGCTCGTCGAATTCTTCGCCGACCAGCAACAGTGGAATTTCCACCAAGCGAAAGCCCAATACCAGCGCACTGCTAAGCTGCCCAAGGGATACAACTACTCGCGCGAACATCTAGACCGTGGCTTCAATACCACTGGTCTATGGGCTTGGTCTCGTCATCCGAACTTTGCAGGCGAGCAGGCTGTTTGGGTGTGCTTATACCAGTGGTGCTGCTGCGAGTCCTGGACGTATATGAACTGGACCTTCGTTGGAGCTCTGGGCTACCTTTTTTTGTTTCAAGCCAGCACATGGCTCACGGAGCTGCTTACCTCGGGGAAGTATCCGGAATACAAGATCTACCAGGAGCGGGTGGGCAAATTCTTGCCGAAGCTGAACACGAAGAGAATGGATGGACCGAAGGCTGAGCCAAAGGCGAAAGAGGGAGACAAAGTCAAGGATACCAAAGGCGCTGGGAAGACGAAGAGGAGATAGGGACTCCGTTCTCAGTCCGCATTGGGCTCTGCATCGAAGGACGCCAACCCATAGGCAACGGTGGCTTGTCGTTACAACTGCTTCCGGGTATGTATGGCTGCTTGAATGTGCCATACCGCATAACAGATGCCCAAGCCAGCATTGCAGCAGCTTGTTCGCTCGGTTGAAGGGCCCTTGCTAGATACATTACTAGCCACTACGCTTCAGACGTTGCTCTCTGAAGTAATGCGAAATGTTTCCATTCTGCACGGGTGTGAAGGTCTACTGAATCAGACGACGCAAAGGGACACGCTTGCTAGATCACGTGAGGACGAAAAGCAATTAATTTTGTGGCTGGCCGGATCGCCCAGACCTCAACACCATTCGCGATCTAGGGCAGGGGTGAGCTTCACAGCCCACCAATGCTTCCCACCCACGTCGATCTCAGCCTTGCTCCAGCACTTTTCCCTTCTGCTCCGACTGAGGCTTCTGCCCACTCTTTATGAGAAATTGTTCGAGCCAGAGGGCAAGTCTTACTGGCACAGGGCAAAACATGCGTCCCGAGGGCGAATCGATGTCGAGTACGGCTGATGTCAAGTTGGCCCGGACCGCGTCATTTGACGAAGCCTACGTGCATGGCTTCTTCGTGCATTCCGATACAGCATTGGTGGGGCAAATTATAGTGCGTCGAGGGTGCGTTTAGGGCAAATCGAGGGCGCTTCCAAGCGCGCCGGAGACCGTCCACCTCAGCCTGGGCGATACCAATTCGGGATTCATCTGGTCATGCACAATGCTGCCTTATCGAATTCTGACACAGCCTTGCCATGGGTTCACACTATCTTGGAACAACGAGCCTGATGTAACCGCCTAGTACCATGAGGTCGTCCATCGGACTGTACTCACCGACAACTGTTGTCTAGGCTCGCGATATTCGCCCTCACGTCCCGTCCGTATGATATCAGCTGGGCAACTTCGGCCGTTTTCCCTGTCTCTTCTAACAGCCCGTTCTCAGGTCACCCTCAGCAGCCCTTCGAGCCTTTGCCTTCTATGTCTGGCGGTGGCCGTACGTCCGCGCAGAAATTGAATCTTTTACCTCTTTGCCCTATTTGGCTCGCAGCCTATTCCGCGAGCCTCCGCGAGCAGGAGATCGTTTAAAGCAACGTCAGTTACTTTAGAAGCGACGTAGGCTGAATGAAGTGTTTTGGCAGCGATCAGGAGTACGCTACATCGTTTCTCTTGACCCGTCTTGTGGAATTGCTTCGGTGCTGATTTGCCAATGCTTTAGAGCTCTCGATCCGTCTTTCTTATACTTCCACATGGATACCGATTGCCCCTCCTCCGACCCAATGTACTACGGCGGAGCCTCTGCCTGGGCTTACGAGGCCTACGATGCATCCATTGGGATCTCGACTGCACCATTCGGTTCGGATCCTGTCATCCTATCCGATTTTGACCCTTCCTTCGAAACTGCGTGGCCCACACAAGACGTAGAGCAAGGATCGTCACCATCCTCGGTTCAGAGTTCGCTCGGACGTGCTCCTTCTTCGAACACCAGTTACAATGAATACGATAATGTGGATCCAGTGAGTGCAGAAATCGTGTTTCCCCAATTGAAATCTAACACTATCAGTTTCCGGAGACTTCGTCACCTAGAAGCGCCGTATTCGATATCCGGACACAGTCACCCACGTCCATACTTTCGGGACTTACTCAGCGAGGGCAGAACGATGCCATGTATGATCTGGGCGGGTCTATAGCAACGCTTGCGGCTCCCAGAAATATCACCCCAACCGACCCGTTCAGGTGCCCAGAAGGCTGCCAGAAAAAGACCTTTGGGCGACAATACGAGCTGAATCGACATATCATCGAGCAACACCGATGCCCGCATGAGGACTGCAAAGATGTTCGGTTTTCCACCTCAAAGGAGAAAAGGGAACATGAGGGGCGTCACAGCGAAGGCGGACTAGGATACAAGTGTGGGACATGTTTACTGAACGGCGTCTCACCAAAGTCACTTTCGAGGGGCGAAAAGCTGAAGAAACACTTCAAGGAGACGCATAGCACTTCGAATGACTTCGACTTCCGAGACTTTCAATGCATGCAAGAATCTTGTTGTCTCAGCAAGGCATTTGGAGGCATATTTTTCGCCTCCCAGGCAGAATTAAATGAGCATCAAAGGCTGAATCACACGAACGTCCCGTCTCTGCTGGAACTGCCCAAGGGCGTGACAGAGGGTGAGTTGATACTCTAATATAGCCTCGAGTTGCTAACATCAAAGCAGATATATCTTTGATGCATTCTGCCCCAACAGCAGACGAGCGATCGCTCAGTCATGCTGGAAAACGTCCTCTCAATTCGACTTCAGGATCAGAGGCAAAACGATGGAAGTCCAAAGAGACCGAAGTTGGTATGATCCCAGATGCACCCTTTTTGTTACACACATGCTAACCAGCAATTAAGCCACAAACCCATCCGAGGCATATCAAGATACTCCATCGTTTGTCGCACCCGCCGCGATCGCCCCCATCTCCCGTTCTGCTAGTTTGGGTCATAAAGACGTGTTGATGCAAGACCGCCTAACCCAGATATTTGGCTCCAATGAAGGCACCACGCCAAAGACGGGCGATCCGCAGTCGCACAGTCATGTCGAAGAGACGTCAAACCTGTCTGTAGTTGAGTTGCAGGCGCTTATTAAGCAACAGAGTAGGTCGCCCCTCCCCTGCCAAGTGGCAAGAGCTGACTCCCTCTCTCCTTAGAGTGGAAATCCCTACTCTTAGATCTGAGCTCTCTATCGATAACCCCGACATTTGATTGCAAACAGGGCGCGGTCAAGTTGCGGGGTACTTGCACTTCTCAGATGGAAAAAGGAAAGAAACTGCTTGAAGACTTGATCAACGGCTTGCGATCGACGGCGAACCACAGCAACGTATCTGGCATTGCGACATACCCGATGAGGAAGGCAGCCTCACAGCAAGTATCCGTCCTCCCTCAGCCCGAGATCTTCGCCCTCGACCCAGAAGAGAACGCAGATCTGCTATCCTTATGGCACGAGCAGCTTCTCCCACAATTTCCTACGATGGTGCGAGACGCAATGATCGAGGGGAGTTACTCAGTGACCCTCGTCCGCCAGAAGGTCTCCGACTGTCTGTGTCCTGTCATTCGGTTTCGGAGCTCCGGAAATCAGAGCGACGCCTCCAGAAAACTCATCCGAGACAGGGTGCAAGAAGTATGTGTCAGATATGCAACCCCCATTCTACAAGTTCAGTTCACCGAAGGCACCCTTGTGCGTTTGGTGGGAGGGTCCACTAGTGTTTCGGTGCTAGATGATCCTCCGATCGACCAAAGATTTCCTCATCAACGGCGGCCATGGGGTACTCCGGGCATGGGGGCATCCATTGGGCTCAGCCGCTGTCCGCATGTATCCGCGACTTTAGGCGGTTATATTTCCGCCGATGACAGGATATACATGCTCACCGTGGATCACTTCATTTCCGAATGTCAGTGCGAGATCACTAGCCATGTGCGGTCTCCGTCCATCAGCGACATCTACAGCGTCAGATTTCACCTCGGGAAAAAGCTCCAAGAGCTCGATCGGAGGGTCGTGCAATCTGCTCCGGACGAGGTGCCACTGGATCAAGTTGAGGAACTGTTATTTCCTACAGATATCGACGAAGAGGTAGAGCAATACAGACGTGTCGAACGAGAATTGGATGACAATGAGACTGGATTCGCCTTGGGCATGGTTCGTGTCCGATGTGGGGATGGGCAGCTCCCATTGAGGCCGTCCGCAGATCCGCGTTTAATCGGGGTGCACCATCGAATGGATTGGTCTTTGTCTGAGATCACCGCCAGGCACAGGAAAGGGAAGAACATTCACAGGTACGGTCGGACCGCTGAGCCTAGACTTGAGGACCTGCAGAACGAAGTCATCAGAGCAGCAGGAGCTGGAACCCCGTGTACCACCATTGAGGGAGTGATGGGAGGCGAGTCTGTATACTATGTCGGCACCACGAGTGGTCTTCGCGAGGGCTTCATCAATCCGGCACGTGTTCAATTCTCAGATGAATTCGGAATCTCTGAGGAGTGGGCCATGGTAGTGCCAAACTGCGAACGCTTGCGGGACTGCGACTTCCAAGGGGACTCTGGTGCCTGGCTGATCAGCAACGACAATACGCTGTTAGGACTACTGTGGGGATGGGACAACGGCAATCTTCTCTTCACGCCCATCCACGATGTATTCGCCGATATCAAACAAAAGATGAACAGCCAGCAGATCAGGCTCCCGGACGACTCAACGCCGCGATCTGGACGCCAAGGATCCCTTCTCTGCCGCAGGAGTTTCCCGAAGTTACGAGAACCCTCACCAGAGAGGTTCAGGCGCACATTCCCTACGGAATTTTCCAGTCCTCCGCGCTTGCTGCCTCCGATCAGCATGGATGAGAAGCGTTGGCGAAGACGGAGCTCCGGAGCTAGCAGTACGTGGTCCATGACTTCGACTCCGAGCCTCCTATCCTCAGCATCTTCTTCCGCCGACGAGCTCAGTCCGCGCGTTGGTACACCTCAAGATCCTGTGCTACTCCCAATTCGAACCAAGGCCCGTACCCTCCCTAGTATCGGATCTGGGGAGGAATGGGTCTGCGTTCATCCTAACGGAGACCTCATTGAGGAGAAGTTTTCGGCTCTAGAACTGGCAGAAGACGTTAGCGACGCCAATCTCCAGCCCACAGCTGCATAACGGCGTTCATCGGTGTTTACGCACAAGGAAACTTGAAGCGACACATGCCTTCATGGACTCCGATCGCCACTCCTACTCTGATCATTCTTCAATATACATACGTTGGCATATACGTTGGGAACCAGACTGCTTTCATATTGTTCCTTTCCCTGGCGTCCATCGTTTTTGGAGGCTGGGCCTTTATTCTCTCCCTATCAAGTATTTCCACGCTCCCTTACACCCAAATCGCAAAAGCATGTCTCTCATATTCTGTGGCCATCTTTCTCCCTGCTTTCAGTTTTGACTTTAATGATGAAGACACGACATTTCTCTACCCTACTCTGCATCTTCTCTCTTCCAGTCGCTGGCCGACCCTGTATTGCTTTCGGACACTCTTTAGCTTAAATAGAATAAAGCGTTATTTGGTATGCAAAGGTCGAATTCGGGGCGATGGCCCCGATGAGTCTGAGTTCATTCAGCACTCCCTGGCACTCACGGGGTCCTCAACGCTTAGCCCACCAACACTTTCATGATAATCTAAGCTGTAAGAATCTGGCTCGTATCAGTCACTAGAGGCCTTGGCAACGGACAAGAATAACGCGCAGTTGGGTGGGGAAGATATACCTCTGTGCGCTTAGCACTCACATTATGACTTGAACCGGGTACCCTTAGTTGTCACTCTCATCCGTTCATCGAGGATGGGTGCAATCCCGCGCGAACAATGGGGGGCTTATATCACCTTGCCTGAAGTACTTCAGACAACGGTTGAGGATAGCACTGCATGATGCCCGACAGGGATTGAAGGGATGCCGGCTTACTCCAACAGCGAGCTACAATGGGTAAAAAGCGGCACGGAAACCCTTTTAATACTGTGATGGCTTCTGCCGCATGCGCTCGATTTTTGAGGGACCCCGCAGTCGGATGAAAAGCAAGAGGCAAAATCGCAAAGGCCATGTGTCCTTCCCTCGCATCCGAGAAACTCTTTCTTCGCATATGATAAAACAGGAGCTCCGCCGTAGAATTTCCACGTCCTCTTAGACATCCTAACGCATATAAAGTAACCTCGTCGACATGTGGATCACTCGAGGCATGGTACCTGGACCTTTCGACCGTAATCGATTATGGCGATCTTTAAAGCTCCAAGGAGCCTTTTCTACATCCTTTCACTCTTCTAGAGCACTAGGAGAGGAAGATTTAGAGCCGAAGGGGATGCGGCGGTCACGATATTCAAGGTGAACTGTGGAGCTTCCCAAAGCGCCGCTCTGAGTGGGGCGTCGAATCAAGACAAGATGGAATTTCAGAATTGCGCCTTCGGGGATGAGCGCGTTAGGATAAGTCTCCTGAAATGCTTCAGTGTCAGCGTTTCGGCGCCCCTTCACACCGAGGCGACATCTTTAGTGATTCATTTGGGCATTGGCTGCCCCAACTATCGAGTATAGGGGCGGAGAGTTGACGGTGCCGAGGGCGGACGCTCTTCGTAGTTGATGTGCGGTTGCCAGAAATGTCCTGGAGTGCTATTGCTCATTTAGCCCCTGGTGGGCTGGTCGTTCCATGAGTGAAGGCCACACCGAGACCGCACGCGACGTCAGAGTTAGGTAGTGGGAAGTGGGATCACATCTAGGGTACTAGTCTTGGATCTCAAGGTCGGTGGTCTGTTCGGGGCAATTACGAATGACACGCCTGTCTACGTAAACGTTCCAGTGCAAGCCTTCAACATCTATTGTGAGCAGCACCTTATATAATTCAGTATCTCACAATGCGTGTTCATGCCGGTTGCATGTCAGCGTCTTATGATACAATGCAAAGGGTGCTGGGCTCACGCTGCTGTCGTCACACGTGGACTATACTATGGCAATCCCATATCCCATGTACGGCCCACCTTCTCAAAGGCAACATCTTGAATTGCAGCTATGCTTGCGCCTCGCGCTGGCAGTCACGCTCCTAGAGACCTTTCTTAGCTCGACGTCGTTAAATGAATGGATAGCGACAACGGTATCATCGGTATGGAAAACTCTGCGCGCCCTACGGGTCAAGCACGGCTTAGGCTCTTCTTGAGGGACTCAGAGGTGAACGATCCAGGTAGCTGGAAAGGGGCTGCGTGTTTCTCTTACTCCCTTCTGCAAAAAGATAATAGTTTGTGGGTGCGCGGGGAGCATGACAGAAGGTACGAGATACAAAAAGAATGCGAGATCAAAAAGAAATGATGTGACTGACCATGCCAGGGGTCGAACCTGGAATCTCTTGATGTCGGATTTGAATCGTAGTCAAGCGCCTTGCCATTGGGCCACATGGCCTTATTTGATATGAGATGTTGCATTGTTATTTAATATATATACTAAAGATGAAAGTGCGGAAAACTGTGTACCGAAGCGTGGTGGACCCCGGCGGTATCACATTCGGTAAGCCGAACGGTTAGCCGCAGACAACGCGCACGCCTCACACCTCAGCTGCTATGGCGCAGGCAACAACATTGACGGCTCGGCCAGCATGTCTTTCCCACTTCGCATTCGAATCCAATCACTTCTTGGCCTTCCTAGAAGCTCCTTAAATCGCCAACCGCATGCCTATCGGAAGGGCAGTGCTTGAAGCCTGCTGCGTCAAACCCCATTCGAAATCCAACGACTCCACCACGAATTCGCCAGCGATGTCAAATAGCGCGCATCACGGCGCGCCGTATTCTACATTTCCTGCCATCTTCGCACAGTTCTCCTCGGAAGACCTCGTGCTTGGCGGTGGTGTGGCCATCTTCCACCTTGCATCGGAGCGGGTCGTCATATGCAGCGCCGAGGACCACCATGGGAGAAAGTACTACTTCCTGCCGAAAGGACGGCGGGATGCGGGCGAAGAAAGTGGAAGAGGAGCGGAGAGAGAAGGATATGAAGAGGTATGTCATTTCTCCTTGCAGCGCTTTCCGATGTCCATGTATTGAACGCAGGCTGATCACCCCTCTAGTCAGGCTACCGCAACCGCCTCCTTCCACTACCTACGAAGCACCAACAACCGCAAGCGCACCCGCGCGTCTCCGAGACTCCCCTCACCGCTGAGGCAGTATGGATGCAGATGATGCCTCTGTGCTACGCCTCGAAGCAATACGTCCTGTATTGGTATATCGCCGAGACCTTGCCTCTCGAGCTTGAAAAAGAACTGGAGACAAAAGCCGGCGAAGCATATAAACCGCCTCCACCATTTCCGAATAACTTAACACTTCGCGAACGGGTGCAGATGGAGCCAACTGGATATGAACCTGCGCATCATGAGAACACTGGTGTTGACGAGGAGGAGCGGACGTACAAGAGCCATCTAGTGCCTGTTCACGAAGCTGTGCAGAAGTTGGGGAAGAGCGGAGTCATGGCTGATGTGATTATGAGGGGTTGGAAAGGGATACAAGATCGGTATGCAATGGAAGAAGGCATCAATTCTCACAGCCCTGAGCAAACGAGTTGATGGAATAGCGCGAAGAAGCTAGGCCAAGGCATATCGCCGTGGTAGGAGTACCAGGCACCCATTCTGAGGGCCAAACGGTCATGGACGACTTCTCCCAGACTCGTCATTGATGGGCTTCGGGATGCAACCCAACATATCCAGACGCTGCGGTTTTGTGACTGGTGTGGAGCTTGAAGGAGACGGAATGATGCTCAGATAGAGGGGCACCACCAACCCGCCTAGTCCTAGCCACATCTTACTCCGAGCCTGTCTCGTTCAAGGCAACATATTGACGCCCGATGCTCAACGTCGCAATCTCCCATCAACATGAGCGTCAGCATGAGCTCTTCACACTTTTTGGAATTATGCGGATCTGTCCTTGGAATGGCAGCCCTTCCTTCAACCCGCACGGCGGCAGCGGCGGAGCATCAATCAACAAACACTCGCATTAGTCGAACATCACCTTGACAAGCTTTACCATGCTTCTCGAGCTCTACCGTCTTACATGACGCTCGACCTCGTGGAGGATGGGACCCAAGACTTATCGCCCATTCAGCTCTCTAGGCCTCCCCCGTCCTAATGTAGCGGTGAGCCCGACCGATCCTGTTAGGAAGCTGTGTTCGCCAGAGCAATATCTTCGACGAGGCTGAGCCCGTTTCCAATATCGAGTCCAATGTCGCTCCCTGTTGTCCGTTCCAACCCGCGTGGAGACCCCACGATCACTGTGCCACAACGCCAGATGAAAAACGAAGCCGATCACCCAGTCATCGTCGATTTCCCAAACTGACAAGTGCCCTGTTCCTTGTTTCTGCAGCGCAATCTCCAGGGACGCCGCCATGCGCGCAAGTCCTCGCTTGCGAGACGCACGCCGCCACATGCTCCAGAACCTCATCTATTCTCCCCACAAACTTCATTACAACAAATGAACCCCACAAACGCACGTTGGCTTCGTTACCACTCTCTTTTACGTCGTCATACCTGGAAATCTGACATCGTATCCCACAAGTACCGACGTCGCTAAAGTACCTTTAATACCCATGTCGACCGTTTGGCCAGTCGTAGCTTTGCGGGCGCGTTGAGATTCTGGCCTTCGCGGCAGAAACGGATAAAAGCGTCCGGCGCCCTTGACCGTGGCATTATTGTCTTGCTGTATGACGCTGCGCAATTGTCACTACCGTATTGACAAATTCCTTGGTAATTCTCCGATACTATCCAAGAGCTGGAAGGAGGATGTGCATGTGAAGAGACGGAATGCTTGGCAATCTTTGAAGTTGGTTATCGAGCGACGAGTTAGATATGGCCTGTGCTACCTACCTCGTTTTTGGTAGGTACCCACTCGGAGGTACCGACCTAACCAATACGGTTAATGGCCCTACCACGGGTCCTGCAAGAGAATGTGGTAGAGGTTGGTCGAAAGAGCTATCGCGATACCTACTCAACTGCACAGGGACGAAAACACTTGGGGATGATCCCGCAGACTATCGACATAGTGCATGACATCCAATGCATCTCCCGCTATGCTATCAATAATTGCATACACGAAGGAAGGCAGCAAGGCCCTTCCGAGTATCACCACGCGCAGATAGGCCTTGATGCCCGCCATGGTATCCCTAGCAAGATACACATCGCATGAACTTCCAGCACAAATGGAAGTATCTCGAAACCTTCCTCCGCTTGAATGGAAGCTTCAAGAATAACACTAGCCAAGAGGTGCAGTGATGCAACGATGCATTGCTGTGTAACGTCTGCGAACAATCTGCTGATGTTGGCGATCACCCGCTGGGAGCTTCTTCCAAGCAACCAAAAGCATGTGTCTCCTCGAAGCCATATGCTTGTCCACTACAACAAGGGTCCGCACTTAATCTAGCCGGTGGTAGAATAGCCTACCGACCGTACAGACACGGGAGGCTTACCGCAGTCATTCTAGGCGCACGTCTTTGCGCTCCACTGCCGCCTTTACCCGCGCACCTCTTGAGTGGCAAACGAGAGGTACTTGGAGGTACTTCGAGAGCGCCCAAGGATTTTCCTGGCTCGTTATTTCTACGACTCGTTTTCGCTTCGTATCCTTGAGGATAGCTGGAGGAGTCTATGAACGGTCTGGCCAGACTATCGCCGCCGTTATGGGCGACTTCGATGGTCAAGCGTCTTCAAGAAAGCTCAAGCTTGTGATTGCAATATAGGGTTCTTCGTGTGGCTTGGCATATTGGAGGGCGTTGAGAGAGACTGCACTGCAAGGCACTCTGGTGTATGCATAAGAGGAGGCGGTATACGGCGGAGATGCCGCTGCAGACTAATGGTGGGTCTGAACTGGCAGATGCAGGCGCCTGTTCACGACATGTATGTATCTCGATTCAACGGGGAAAGATGATCGAGGTGAGTAAGTCGATGTACATCGAGGGTTGAGTGGGCTTGCATAAACAGGCAGACCCGAAGGACATGGTTTGGAAGGTCCTAGATACGCATGCAACGTCTTTACAGTGTCGCAGCAGTCGTCGTTTCTTCCTCCTGCAATGAGAATACGCTGCTATCCACCAATCCACATAACATCATCATTCCAAACAGTTTCTTGTCGTCATGGTAGTTGGTGTCTCATGCGCTGCTCGCCCATCCATTCGCATGTCCCTTCTTCAGAATACCCAACACCAAAGCAAAGCCAGGCAGAAACCTCCGTTGCCTTGAAACATCCCTACAACGTCCCCTTTCATGCATACAAACACGAGAACAAGCTCCAGCGCGATCGTCGTCGTACATACGCGTCCGCACTCCGCCGCCAGCGGAGCAGCGTCGGATCTCCTCCCACCTCCGACGACATGCCCACAACAACACCACAGCCAAGCATCCCACTGCGCATCCACGGCCTTCGAAACAACGATTTACCCCCGCAACACGACTAGTCTACGCAATCCGCCGCGCATATGCAAAGCCCAAGGCGCGTAGTCACAGAGACCCACCCACACAGTCGCAAAACGAAACGCCGACTCCGCCGACAGCAGGTGGGCAAGTATTGGCGCAAGTCTACGCGCCGCTAATTGTCGATCCTGCATTCGTGAAGCAAGCCGGACAGCCCCAGCAGTAAAGCCTTATCGTGGAATCGGTCCATACTTGCTTGCCTTGTCCGATGCGAGAGGTGTCGAGACGCTTGGACCCACATGAAACGTCGGTATGCGTAAGCGGCTGAGAAATCCACCTTTATCGTGGAGACGTCATTGCGGAAGTACTCCGCTATCCGGTTGGTAAGGACGAACGAATTGGAAGATGGTTGCTTAGGTGAGAAAAAGCGGAAGGCGCGACGGATGCGCAGGAACCCGCTGCGAGGAAGGTGCGAACGCTGATCGGACTTTCCGAGTGGCGCACAGTTTTCCGGAGATGCAGACAGGTCTTTACGACGGACTATTAGTGCGACACAATTGGATAAACATTGCGAAGGAATGATTGAATGGTGATCGTGTTTTGATCGTGAATGATAGTGACCGTGTTGCGCAAAGGTCAACAGAGATACCCATAATATATACAGCCCGAGACAAGCAGATAGAACACCGAAACGCCAAATGACATCTGCGCAAAACCCCCGTTTGACTCGATGTGATGTGCATTGTTTGGGATGAGCCACTTTCTATCTAAGGACTCTCTTACAGCCAGCCCCACGTGCTTTTACCCTTTCGCGACAAGGGCATGGTATAGCAAAAGCGAAAGAGTAAGCGACCTCAGAAAAGAGGTCAAAGGAAGGTGAGAAGTTTGTACAAGGAAGTCGAAAAGAAGGATCTGGCAAGAGATAGCAGCCTCATTAAACCCCAGCGACATGTTCTGTTGAACATGTCGCCAACATGAACGCTTATGATCCCAGTAAATGGCAGAAAGATTTCGAAAGAGTAGATTGGAACCACGGAGATGAAGTTCATTCGTGAGAGGATATGTCATGACTTGTATGCAGGCCATGCTGTCGTCAAGACAGGAGTGTGCGAGGGTAAGGATTGTTGTTTACCACGAGAAGCATTCCTCGCGGAAGTCGACATTCCAGTGAGTCTCGCGGCTGCGCACCGCGCGTCGGAGCTCGTCTGCTAGCGATCCTGTGCCACACGTTGACACACACGCGGCGCCAATGCCTTCCTGCATCTCTTGGTCGATAAGGGCCTGCACATTCGGTCGGCCGGGAAACATCTGTACGCTGGAGGATGGCGAATGAATTTCCTTGGTGCTCCTTGGCCGTGTAACGAAGAGAAGGATCTTGAGGATCTCGCGGCGGCGTGGCATGGAAAGAATGTGCGTCATCCATGTCCGGATCCATTCGAGGTGCTCCGGAGATTGGATGATCCAGACCAGAGTAAGCCGGCGCGTGGCGGAGGTACCGTTGGCGTAAGCAGCAACAAGCTCGCGCACGTGAGGAACCTGGTGCGTGATACCAATACCTGCAGCCCAGAGCATGACGGTACCATACGAACTGAGATCTTCGCCACCTGCGATATGACGTTAGCATGGGTTGTGTTGTGTGGATAGATTGTTAATATATCGATAAATTGGAAGTCTGGGGAAATAAGCTTCGGCACTCACCATAAGGCCCCTCGACAAATGCCGTAGTGGTAAATTTACCAGCTGCAGAGAGATCCGCCTTCTTGTAAAGTTTCTCGGTGAAGCCTGTGCGTCGTCGAATAATGAAGGACATGCTCGTTTTGCGGTACTCCAGAATGTCTTGGCGGTTCATTGGGAGACCCTTCTCGTCGGCCACCATGGAGGTGATGTTGAGGTCCTCCTCTTCGTCGCTCCAAGCAAGTGAGAACGGATGATTGGTCCAGAGGCCGACAGACGGCATGTGCAGGTATGCATGCTGACCGGGACGGAAGGTCCAGGGGCGAGCCATTCGGACTGTAACGCGGAGTGCATCGCCGGGTAGGACCTCGACGTCGGCCTTGGTGCCACCCTTTCCAACATTGCGCATAATGAGGCGAACCAGGCGGAACGTTCGCTGCGTTTGTTAGCATGCATACAATAATAGTGGAGTCACGAGACGCATACCTCGAAAGCCCACAATGCTACGACACCGTACATCATCCGCTGCTGGGGCCGTCCATCAAGGTGAATCCATACGCCAGCGACTGCGATCGCTACACCGACAATGTGGCCGTGCAAGAAGGTCTCATAGAAGGAGTGCCGGATGGCAGATGGCGACTGGATGAGAAGGAAAACGAAAGCAACGGTGGCCTAGAAATATCGTTAGCAGGGTTGCCTGATGCTCATAAGAAAACTTACCATGAAACCCGTCATAATGAATTGACTCCCGGTGATTGATGCTTGAACGGCACCCCATCCCTCTGCATGATAGTCAGTAACGGTTCTCAACCTGTGTAGAATAACATACTTGTGTGCACCTTCGACGCCATCCAGGCTGCAGCATGGCAAACAGCTTCGAGCACAACAATCCGTCCAAACCAGCGGTGGATCAGGTTCATGGTATCGAACGAGATTCCTGTAAGCTTGATGACGGGATTGTTGCGACCAGCAAGCAGGAACAGGGGAATCATGTTGATGACTGCCATGACACCGGTGCGGTTGCGGAACTCGCCAGCAACGGTCGAGTAGTCCTGGCTGAAGTCGATGCTCCAGACGGTGAAGCCGACGTTGGTCCCGAAGTATCCAACAAGCATCAGCGTCTGCAAACGGCTGGGAAGGGTGCCGATGTTGATAGCGCTCGAAAGCTTGAACTCGCGGTGATGGCGTTGTCGAAAGAGCGGCGCATCCAGGAAGTGCTTCTTAAAGTTGGCAAACAGTGCATGGGGCGTTGCAAAGTACCGCTGGGAATCGTTGTTGAGGCATGCAATCGTACGGATGTAGCGCACAAAGTGGAAGATGAGTTGGTAGAGGAAGAAGACGCAGACAAAGGCGACCCAGATCCAGCCAAGGAAGTGCTGGACGTCCACGTTCTCGAAATCAGCGGGACCTGGACCCTCAGAGTGTCCACCACCGTGACCTCCTCCTCCTCCGCTAGCACCGCCAGCTCCAGCTCCAGCTCCAGCTCTTTTGAAGAGGCCACCAAAGGCATTGGCAGAGCTGGTGAAGGCCATCGTCGTACTGTAGCAGGGTGAACGAAGGGGCTTTGGCAAAGAGTAGTCCAGCGAGAGAAGACTAGAAGTGAAGGGGCCTGGTTCTACGGGGAGCGGCCGAACAGATGCTCTTATGGGTCAAGGGTGGGCACAAGGTTGGTGCGCTAGACCTGGCGAGGCTTTGACAAATATGTAGCGAGTGGTATCTGCCTTGACCAGCAAAAGACAGATCTGGGAACGGCGACAGCCGCCAGCGGGCGATCTTCCAAATGGGCGGGGGTGGATGAAGGACCGGGGAGTGTCGTCGGTTGAGTTGAGTGTGCGTCGTGACCCAGCTCCCACTCTGGCAAATGGGGCCTTGGGGCGACCGGGATTCAGATATGGCGACACAAGGGCAGCAACCGGCAGCTGCAGAGCTTGATGCACACCCGGGGGTATATTGACAGCGCGCGCAATGGCCAGAATGGGCGGGTTAATCTGGACGGCACGCAAGGGGAAGGCCGTTGGCGCAGGTGACCTGGGGTGCTCGGTTGCGAAAAGGCAGGAAAAAGAGGGCGGCGGCGATAGGCTCGATGCACGAATTCCTCCACCAGGGTTGAAATTGAAGAGCCGGCGGGGAGGCGAGAGTTGGCACGCAGCGGCGGCGACACGAAGGGAATATAGGCGGCAAAAGAGCGACTTGGGCGAGGAGTGCGTATATGTAGGAGGGAGGAGGGAGGAGGGAGGAGAGCCTGAGGAAGCGTCGCGGAGGTTTGATTGTCGCAGGCGGGCAGCGCATAAGGACCCGCGACTGGCTGGCTTCTCCAGGGCAGCGGAGCAGGGGGGCAGCGGCGCCAGGCCTCGCGCGCGGGCTGCCATTTGCCTGCCGTCCGCGGCGTGCGGGCCCTGAAACGGCGCCACCGCAGCCACCCACTAACGGCGCAGTGGCCGGCCTGTTTCAACCGCTCCGAAAGAACGTCCTGGCGAATTTCCTGCCCACCCACCCACCATACCACAGCACCGCAGACGGCCCACAATGCGATGACGCCGTCTCCAGCTCCGCCCAGAGGCTCGTCCGCAGGGCTGGCCGAACGTAAAACAACAGCCTGCTCTTCCCGTTACGCGTCCCGCACCGCGGCGACTGCTGGCCTCAACCTCCCCCTCGCCGCCTCGACGACAGCGGCTCATGCCGGCGCAATCAGACTACCTCATCAATCTGTTGTGACCCCGCGCCGTTCGGAAAGCCTGGTAGCACAGGGCGCCGTCCTTGGTCGGGCCGAAATGCAATCTTCTGCGTTCCGGAAACCTTGATAACGGCTCCTCCAAGCCACCTCCCCGTCGCAGCGTCAACCACGTCAACAGTCGATATCACGATAGTGTCCACCGAGCGCTCGAGTCCCGCGAACTGCCGAACGCTCAAGCCGCCTGTCAGGTCGTGACGACGCGCTGGCGTTGAGCATGGACTTGAAACGACAGAGACACCCCGTGTCATGCATTGAAGCTTTTCCCACGTGCGGCGAGCTTCGTTAGGACGTCGCAACTTCTTCTGCAATGCGGATAAACTTGCTCGTCTATCTTCGTTCTAAGCCCAGCATCCCAGTTTCTGTACGTCGTGGAACATCTTTCTACCAACCCCCCGGCGCCCCGCTGTCACGCACCGATATGGTTTTATGCTTCCGTCTCTTCTGTCACACCAGGTATCACTCCGTGACTGCTCTCCAGTGACAACCTTGCGTGACCTACCGTCCTGAGAAAATTCCTGACGACCGACTGGTCACCGGTGGGCAGCCCGTCAGGCGACGAATTGATCCCAAACGGGACCTGTTTGTCGTACAACGCTGGACCACTGACGCCAGAGGGCTCCGGACAGTCACCCACGCGTCCGTTTTGGAGTGCGTACGTAGGCTCGATGCCTCGATCTGCGAGGTTATCTTCTCTCAGCAAACTTGTTTCTGCTGCAATTCAGATGCGGCATGCCCGATGTCTGTACGAATCAGGAAGCCGGTGATACTTGGCGACTGCATCTGTACCACGCCGCTTGCTGCAGTGGTAGGTATGTCTATGCCCGGTTATGTCAGTGTAGATGATCTCGTGCAACACTGTGTTCAGTCAGAGTTTGCCTATTGTTCTAGACCTGCGATGCCATGGCGGAAAGCTCCAAGAATGGGAAGCTGCAACTGCTGGGGAGGGAGAATAACGCCCCATGATAAGGCATCAAGTCCGCCCGGGCGCCTGCAGTCCCTTGGATATCAACGCCATACATCAGTCACTCAAGCCTATTTTCCTACCGCAAATTTATTTCTCCGCATATGCTTCTGACTGTTCCACGGTGAGCGCCACACACGAAGTTTTCAATTTCCACATACGCATGTTTGCCTAGGTACGTCTAATTACCCCAACCCCGGCGCATCTCAAATTAGCCTGCAAGCACAATGCGAGACGTACCGCATCTTAACGACGCTACACGGTATACTTTAATGGGCTTCACTAGCTTGAATAGCCGCCAGAATCTGGCGTCGTTTCCTCCTCGTGGCGCTCGGTACCAAGCAGCCTTCCGCCTTCGCCGACGCACGAGTTGACAACCACGACCGTATCTGCTTCCACCATCGAGCCCAGAACCTCAGGGCTTCTAACGGGGCAACCTGCGAATAGGCAAAGCAAACAGACCCGTACGAGCCGTCCGAAACCGCATCGGAAGAGCGTGAGTCGACAGTTGGACGGCTGTTTCACGCAGATAACGTGTCTTGGCTGAGTCCCACGGCTAACAAACGCTTTGTTTCGAGGCCTAGAAACGTCTGTCCGGACAAATAAAAGCAAGACGCGGCAAGGCATCGAGTGTTTTCCGTCGGAGGGATTCAGGAAATTGCTACGGTAGCGATTGCAAGTCACTGGTAACTGGCGGATACCCAGCCACGGCAGGATAGGGAGCAGGCTGTGAGCCTCAGCACAATCCTCGGTCGAGGGTCCGATCTCGACAAGCATCCTCTTCTCCGCGCTGAACAAGGAAATCCGACTGAAATGACGCGATCTGGCTCCTCTTGCGCTGCGGAAGTTGCTTGCCGCATTGTCTTGTCGTTCTCTTTCTGTGTTTCGATCCGCAAACTCAAATCTCTCGTTACGATGCGGGTATTTCGGTTACTGGGCGAATCAGCGCTGGCCCTGTGGAAGAAGGTGTGGCGCCTGCACGAAGAAATTTGGCGAGGGCGATCGACAGGAGGGAAGCAGATCCACCCAACATCAGCCCCCGTTGATCATGGCCGACGCTGGACGCAGGTGCGTTCGCGCCGTGAGGCTGGCGAGGTTATTCGCACTTCATCTTTCGATCGAGGTGTTTATACCAGTCTCAAGCCAAGGGCATGAGGTAGTGAGGCGGAACGGTGTGTTGGACTTGCGGAGGAGCATGTCCCTGTGTTTGGCAATCAAAGGCAAATGCCAGCATCACGTCAGAAAAGGAGCCACGCCCATCATTCTGTCATAACCCTGTAGGACCTATGATGTGTTGCCTCTTTTCTTTGCCAGCCGCTGATGTGGAAGCAGTCCGGGCAACGAGATCTAGAGGAAGTACGTCAGGTATGGAATGGCGTCCAGCATTCCACAGCTGACATGGACCATCATGGAGGGAGAGCTCGTTGTCGCTATCCTTCGTTTTCTCGGATAGATCCGACATTCCACAACCCGCATCGGGTCTACATTTTATGGAATGACAGCCACCCAATATTGACAGGAACACGCAGTGTTGCTCGTCAACAGGCACTCGTACCTAGGTAGGGCTGGCCTCGCAACTGCTCATGGCCAGGTATGAGGGTGCGCATGCAGCCATTCCCAGGCCTCAACACCCAGGACCAAGCTTTAGACTTTGATTGATACGCATATGGTCTTCCCACAGGTCAGAATCCCTCGATGCCTCTAGTGTTGCCGACTGTACATGCAGCATGGGCCCAGGTGTTGTTGGCTTGTTTGAGCAGCGCTAGACCCAAATTGGGTTGCCGAGGCTACAGACGCCGAATCCCGATGTTTGTCAACACCATGCTCTTGTTAACTTGCCCCTTCATCCCTCAGCATTCTCACCTACGCACCTTTTTGGTATCCTTTTGTTACAGATAATTGTCGCATTGGTACCTTATATGATTTGAAAGCATATTTACCCGCCAATGGCCGCCACCGACGACCTAGCCTGGACGACGACGCGCTGCAACCGTTTACTTCGACCGCTTTCTACCAAACTCGCAAAGCTTCGAAAAGAGCTCGAAAGGCCACGGAGTGCAGACGGAGAGCCGCGAAAAGCCTCCAATGGCTTCGTGCTCAAAGCGTCGCCGCGCAGGTCCGCTAACTTCTCGCAGACAGTGCGTCAGCCTCGAGGCGCTGATAAGGCGAGCGATCGAGACTGGGTGCCGGCTGTAAAATGCGGAGGCGCAAACAAGAAGACTTATGGCGGACGTGGAGGGAAGAAGACCGCGGGCATACAACGGGTCGCTTCGGAGAGCAGCAATGTTGGGCGACCCGGGGAAATCGCAATCACGCCCCTCATCGCGCGGACGGGAGGTCGCTTCCAGGAAAGCCCTCAGTTTAAAGCTTCGCCGCTGAGAAAGTATGCGAAGAATCGGGGTCCTTTGATCAAGGCGGAACAAATACACCAGATCAAGAAGCAGGTGCCAGCTGACATCGCAAACTTAATTAAGGGCTTATCGGAGGCCTACGCGAACCTGCTGCAGGCGACAACAACAGGCGAGGAGAAAAGATGGAAGGGAACAAGGTCGCTATTTGGTGCTTGTTTAAGGAAGGTCCCGGAATATATTGAACTGGAAGAGCACTTCGCAGCGCTCGATAAGGAGGAGGAGGAGGATGAAGACGAGGATCGAGACATCTCCCAGGAGATCTACACACATCTCGAGGCACAGTTCGAGACACTGGCAGGCCAAGGCTGGCGACCGTTCAAGCAGATTGTGCGGGCGCATGCAACGTCGCTACTGTGCGATGCTGTTGCGGATCAAATCCTCGGACTAGAAACCCTACAACTCTTGGTTTCGCATTGCTTGAATATCTCCGCCTGGGACGAAGCTGAGAGATTTCTCTGGTCCCTTCTTCCCAGACTCAAGCCACTTTACATGCCGAACAGTCTCCTAGCCAATCTTTTTGATGAACAGAGGTCGCCCTATATGTCGATGGTCAAAGCCTTTGTGGAAGTTACCGGACGACACCGCTTCCTCTACGACCTCCTGGAATACATGATATCGCAGGAGCTACTCCCTCTAGAGTGGCTTGCGACCGAGAGCATGCGGTCCGTATGGGATCGCTTGGTTCGCAGCTTGTCCGACGGAGACCAGCGAACAACCCGGAACGCCTTCCGCTTCCTGGAGACTGCCATTTGCGCCGGGATGGGTCTGCCCGATGAAAGCCTCTTCAAGGATGGCGAAGTCGACATTATTTCGAAACAGCTCAAGCCGTCGTCGAGACAGGAATTCCGCAATGCTTTAGACACAACCTACTCCAGCCTCTTGACAGTCTTTTGCAGCATAGCTCTGGTCAACCGCAACCGCGACGAGGCTGCAGGTGAAGGCACGGTGCAGCGGATCACCTGGGTCTTGGACTCAATCCTTGTAGGTCTCATGAAGCGAAACGACATCCGGGAAGATCTGGAGCTTCTTGATCCTATCGCGGAAAACATGCAAACGTTCGCCCAACGAGCCGTGTGGGCATCGTTTGCCCCCTTCCTAGTCCATCTTGCGGGTTGTCGTGCGGACGCAAGCATGCTATCGCTCGACGTGCCTACGTTAGCGGTTGCGATCAATTGGATCGCATCACAATTCCCCTCGAAGGGTATTGAGTTTTCGTCGATTCTCGCCACACTTCCAGAATTCATCTCATCTGCAGCACGCGGCACTGGTAGGATCTGGAAAGATGACGGCTTCGATCAGCTTCAACGTCTTGTTCAAGGGCTACTTTCCCTCTCTGGCCTACGATTACCGCACAAGCTCTGGACTATCAAACGACTGGCACTTGAGTCAGCCATGGACTTCGCTCACAGCACGAGGAATGCTGAGCACATGGCCTACGCGAGAGAAGTCGAGAAAACGATGCGAATGAAAGGCCACGTTGTCATCCAGCATTCGCCGCTGAAAAATGGCTCGCCATCTACCGCAGGTGGCTTCAAGTGGGAAGAAGGCATCGGCGAATGGGTAGCTTGCACGCCATTCGCGAAGCAGGACGTCAAACGCACACCGCGGAAGCCGGTGCGAGCTCTTGGGCTGTTGTTAGCTACAGAAGCATCGCGAGACGAGTGCGATGTGGGTGCCACGAAAGCGCCGGATGGAGGGGACCTGCCCACGGTACCCGAGTCGTACCATTGGGAAATTAACGTCCTAACTGACGATGACGAGGATGGTGACTTGCCACAGTCCTCTCCTGTCAAGAAAGCCCCGTATATGCCTGTTTCACCACCCGGGAAACGTACACGCACATCTTCGCCTACGGTCGTGATTCCCGTGAAACGAAACCGCTTGACGCCGCCCGTCTCGCCCGTCATCTTCTATCCCGAGCTGCCCAGAGAGCCAGACGGGCCACGGAGGTCTCGTCGATCGCGAAAGGAGATCAGTGCCCTCGTTCCCGCCCTCCATTCTCGGCGTTCGAAATGGGCACTAGAGAGGGGTTTACGGAATCTGGAGCGAAAGACATACGAAGAGGTTAAGGACATCAATGTCAACCTAGCCGTCACCGAAATCGATGAATTCGACCAGAATACTTCCTTCTCGTCATCGTCCTCAATCGGCAATCAAGATGCGGAACGGCGAAGCACGCGGTCAAGGTTTTCCTTGGGGAAGAGGTCAAGGCGAGGGGCTGAAGAGGACGAAGAAGACGATAGAGACGAACTGAGCAAGACGCCGGGGCTGAAGAAGAGGAAGAGTATTAGAAACATGGTGAAGCGTCGACGGGAGTGGTGGCGAGTAGACAGTGGAACCGCCGAAGGAGCAGAGAGCGACGAGTTGAGCTTTCAGTAATGGGTCGGCTACACTCGATACGAGCATACTGCAGCGTTCGGGGCGCGACAGTACCACTGCGGTCTGGGCGGTTTCTTGGTGGTTAACGTGGATGATACCCTTATTGTTGGTTAGCATTTGTTTTTGCATAGGAATTAAGCACATCCGATCATGATGACTTCCGCAGCATAGTCTTCCACTCCTCACTATTTTTGTCACGTCCGCCTCCATTGAAGTTGCCGCAGGGCTTGCCCTATGGCCCGGCTCGCTGTATCTTCTATAGTGGAACTCGAACCTGCAAGGCGTGTGAGCCGGTCAGGAGTTGTCTCATGATTCCGAACCCTGGTTCCGAATTTCCGAGTATTGAGGCTGAGGCGGCCCGTGCTAAATTAAGGTCCGCGGCTTAGCTCCGAGCTTGATGCCACCTTGACGTTTTGTACATCACCGAACGTGATATAAGTTGCGATCACCCGCGCCTTGTTCCTTCAGTTTCAGTCATTATCTATGGAGACTTGAAGCATAATCTCCAACCCTTCTCACTTATTCTGCGCGAGTCGCTCGCTCTACCATTTACGCGCAAGCCATTACCAACTGCACCTTTCCGCGTCCCCACGCCAACTCTCCAGCTTCCCGTTTTCCCCGCGTCTTTCCTCCAGAGCTACGGTTGCGAATAGTAGCAATTCACAATGGCGCGCACCAAGCCTGCAACGCCCATCCGGCGCACACCCTCCGAGACCCACGCGCAAAACGGCTCCGCGCATAAGCAAGCCAACGGTTTCCCGCGCCACCGGCGCAACAGCGTGACGGAAGTAATCGAGAGGGGATTAGAACAGGTGGCCGAGGCCGCGGCGCGAGACCCGCAGGAGCAGAAGCAGGCGGGGCTGCTGGCGCTAGCTGTGTGTGTGGGTGGCATCTACGCTAGCTTGTAAGTCGCAATCCGCTTACTGCACGAAGGAGATATGGTCTTGGATATTCAAGGGGGAAAGAGAGACCGCGGGATATAGGGATTACAGCAAGGATGTGCTGATGTCGAGAACAGTCTGAGCTGGGCATACCTCCAAGAACGTATCACCACGACAGCATACGGTCCCGAGCACTCTCGCTTCACATACTCGATCTTCCTCAACACCATCCAATCCGCCTTTGCTGCCTGCACCGGCGCCATCTACCTCTTCTCCTCCTCCCCACGAGATCCCAAAACTGGCGCCAAAAAGGTCCCCCCGATCTTCCCCTCCAAGCAGATCCTCTTCCCGCTCCTCCTAATCGCCATAACCTCCTCTCTGGCCTCACCTTTCGGCTACGCGAGCTTGAAACACATTGACTATGTTACTTTCATCCTGGCGAAGAGCTGTAAATTGCTCCCCGTTATGTTCCTCCACATCTCGCTCTTCCAGAAACGGTACCCGATATACAAATACCTCGTCATCCTCTGCGTAACGCTCGGCGTCGCCATCTTCACCCTACACAACCCATCGACTGCGAAGAAGGCCGCTAAGAAAGGCGTAAACGCCGACGCCAGCATGACTTTAGGTCTCTTCCTGCTGGGCGTTAATCTGCTCTTTGATGGGCTGACGAATACTGTCCAAGATCAGATCTTCACATCTTTCAAGGGATTCACTGGCCCGCAAATGATGTGCGCGCAGAACATAATGTCCACCGCGCTTACAGTCTTCTACCTTCTACTTTCCCCGTACATCGCCGCCACCCCTCTTGGCTCCTGGCTCGGCCTATCCAACGGCTCCAATCCCGGCGAACTCCGGGAAGCCATCGCCTTTTGCACCACGCACCCTGCCGTCGGGTGGGATGTGCTCTCATTCGCAGCCTGCGGCGCCATCGGCCAAGTTTTTATTTTCCACACGCTGGCGCACTTTTCAAGTCTGCTGCTGGTTACCGTAACAGTGACGAGGAAGATGCTGACTATGCTGATGAGTGTGGTGCTCTTTGGTCACCGCGTTACGCAGATGCAGTGGCTCGGTGTGGGGCTGGTGTTTGGAGGTATTGGGGCGGAGGCTTGGTATCAAAGGGTGGAGAAGAAGGCAAAAATGGAGGCTAAGAAGAGGGAGGCGATGGGGAAACGTCAGTAAAGAAGGAAAGGAGAAGGGGATGAGGGATGAGAGATGGGGGGTGGGATGCATTTAGAGGCATACCACGTGGGAAATTTACTGCATAGAAAAGGAATGAAGGATACCCTGGCGTTAATTGCTGAAACGGAAAGCGAAGTCGCTAAATGGTTCTCTTATAATTCCCACACCTATTTCTTCCTTTCTTTATCCCTTCCTTCCTTCCCTAGCGCGCAGCACCAACGACATACTAATACCCGAGTCTTACTCCCCATCTTCGCCCTCTCGTGTCAATTCCCAGCCCCCTCTGGTCTTCGTGCTACACTAGCCCAATATCCTCGTAGCAACTGCACACTTCCTTCATCCATCATACGATCGCGATTTAGCAGGTATCAAAGCGACAACACGCCGCGCCTGCTCGCACGAAATTTGGTTTCGCGAACCCAGTCCGCTCGCTCCCATTACCTCACTGTCCGCGCGTCGCATTCTTGAGCTGCTCCTCCCAGCTCTCCACAAACCGCCTCGTCAACTCAAACATCTCCATCGTCCCCGCACTCCCCGCATCCTCCATAACCTTCCTTTCAAACCCCTTGTTCGCCCACATCGTCGCCCGCTCCCAGTCCTCCACCCGCGCATGGCTAATCGCCACAATCCGATACGCCTTGGCGTAGTAGTCCGCGAGCCCTTCTTGCTCCACCAGCTCGGCGAGCTGCAGACTCGATGCCGCGTTCTTGCGCGCCTTGCGTAGCGAGGAGGCCGTTTTGCGGGGTAGCGAGAGCGAGAGGTGCGGCTGAAAGGCTTGGAAGGCGTGGTGGATGTCGGTGCGGCGCGTGTCAGAGAGAGCGACAGAGCGGGGTTGTTGGTCGCAGGCGGAGCAGGAGCAGGTGAAGCCGTAGCGGTGGAGTCTTTGCTGGCGCTCTGCGCGAGGCAGAAGGAGCGGGATGTAGGATACGGAGATTTCTTCGCCACGGAGGATTGGCCGGCTGGCGTAGATGATGCGGCGGTTCAACTTCTCGCTCCAGTAGTACGCCGCGTTGGGCCGGCAGGAGTGGTTGATGCGCGCGATTTTGGGGAAGAGGCCGATGGAAGACCCGGTGTTGTAGGCGTTGGTTCTGAAGATGAGGCCGAGTACTTCATCTTTGTCTTCTTTCTCCTTTTCGCCTGGTTGCGTGTGGTATGTTAGTCCGAGGACTTCGCTCTGCTCGGCTGGCGAGAGGCGTTCGAATTCCTGCCGCACGAGCTTCGTCACTTCGGATAGCGGGTACCCTGATCCTTGGGTGGAGTCCGGAGGACTGATTCTTAGGATGGGGGCTTCGCGCATGATTATCGAGCCGGTTTCGAGGCTGTGCGAGGCGAACACGCCGAGGCCTTTGCCGGGACTGGGCTTGACTATGTAGGGTTCTGGCGGGGAAGGGCAGGCGTAGTCTAGGATGGAGGAGAGTGGGAGGGGACATGTTGATGGGTGGGCGAGAGCTGTCGAGTAGGGGAAGGCGGAGAGGAAGAGGGAGAGAAGGGTTTTAGAGAACATTTTGAAGGGAAGAGACGTGTAGTGAACTCGAAGTGCTACATGGTGAGGTTGAGGTTCCTTTTGAGTTGATGTTCATGGTGGTATCGAACTGAATGAAACGTGTTTCACGCCAATGTCGTCGCAGCATCAATCCCCTTGCGCAGGGATTATTGCTCTAGGTGCAGCCGAAACATAAGCCATCATGAGCTTGTTTACTCCTTGTGTTCGATGTTCGTGAGGGCTGATCCACATGATGGTAGTGGTGCACATGTTGTGGGGGACAGGTTAGAAGTGTACATAACACCTACCACAGACCTTAGAAATACTGGTCTGGAACTCTGCGAACAGCACATAACGAAGCGGCAGGTCGGGATAGGCTTTCTATCAGCGTTGCATCGCTAGCGCCCTACGGCTGCGCCTAAGGGCTACGTTCAAGAGTATTACACCCCCAAGAGTTGAGTCCGTTCCTGCTTTCGACCATGGGTAGCAGCGAAATCGGCGAAATAGCTCCTCTACTCATCGCCAATGCTGCTATGCTTCGCAGGGGTCAAAACAGGCCGAATCGCCATAGTCCAGGTGCAGAGTTCCGGACGCCGACCGATATTATGAATGTCCAGCGAGGTTGGATTTGCTTCACATGGTCGCAAACGCAGCCTTCCAAGCAAAGTCCAGCGCGAACCTCCATACAATATATGAGCAAGAGGCATAAAGGTGAAAATTATATTTTGCTAGAACGATAGTCCTTTGGAGCGTCTGATACAATTTACTTACCACTACATGAGTATTACAGCCTTCCTTTTTTAGCCCTGCTTAGTAAGAAAGAAGGTTCAATATAAAGATCAAGATGGAATATGGTAATACCCTGAGGAGAGACAGCTACCGCTTTCGGGTGCGCGACATAGATATTCGGAGTAAGAAAATTTCCTCTGGGGCTTTGAGGGATTAGGGGGGGAAACTACTGCACAGGCATACCCCCTCTGTCTGTCCTTTGTTAGCGCTCTCTATTCACAACCATCACTGCAAGCCCCGTCAAAACCCACCGGCTGTTCGTGCCAAGTAATCGACAATCTTGTCGAGGTTAGGCCCAATCCACTTTCTTCCGTTGCTGTCTCCCTTGAAGGATCCAGCGTCCTGCATACCCTGATTCGTGATCTTGAACTCAGGCCCGAGTGCGGCGATGGCGATGCCGGAGACACCCCTCCCTTTCAGGCAGTCGGTAGCTTGCTTCAGCGCCGCCGCGAGGGCAACGCCGCCTCCACCTCTTTCCTTGCCCTCATATGCGACCACGACCTGCTGATTGTCCTCAACGCTGTCTAAGTCCACAACAACTAAGTCTGCACGGCGCCCTTCTTGGGTCCGGGTTTCGAAGCGGTATTCTGGCGAGATGAGGTAGCGTGGTGGGAGGAAAATATCGTGCAGGATACGGTTCCAGACTGCATTGGTCATGTCCTCCGTCGTCATGATTTCTTCGAGCTGGTCCCGCAGAGGAGCGACTGTCGTTGCTCGAGGAGCTGGCATGGTTGGTCTATCGGAGATACTCGAAGCTAAGATCGAGATCGATTTGAAGGCGGAGATGGGATCCCGACAGTATAAACCTTAGTTGGAGAAGAAGGAACGATGCCGAGACATCGATCTATAGACTTTATCAGTACTTTATGTATTGGGATTTTGAGGTGGTCCCACCTAAAGGCTCACCAGACCATATACCCTACCTCAGCCGCAGCCACGATGGCCCGTATTAATCTACACTCGCTCATATCCTGTGATCTCGTACTGGTAAGCTGATTGATTGGACGTACTACTCACTAACCTCGCATATCCTTCTGTTTCCTGAAGTCTAAACTCATCTATTTCCTACCCACTACATCTTTCCGCTTCAGTTTGGGTTAACCTTACGCTACCTTAGTTGACTGGGCTCTTATTGGCTTTACAAGGAGAAGCTGTGATGTCGAAGCAACGCAGAGTTATACTGCCATGCGGCAGATACAGTTGACGTGATATGAAGCGCAAGGAAAACAGCATGAGCTGAAGTACCACCACTCTCGCATTACTACTCTACATGAGGGGTTTATCGAAAACCAGTCTAGTCTGCCAAATGCAGTGATAGTCCCATCACCCCGTAGGGCGGCATTGGAGGTAGAGGAGTATGAGGGAAATAGGTTGTTTTGGTTGAGATAAGTAGGTGTCGGTCTCAGCAGTAGAGTAGGAAGAGAAGGATCGGCGGGCAAGAGTGTAGATTAGGGAGTGGTAGGTGTTAGAGAAAGTGCGGATAGTAGAGTAGGAAGGCGTGAGGGAGAGTATGATAGGAAAGGTGTCGATCTGGAGAGTAGTCGGAGAGAGTGGTAAGGGGGGATGTGAAATGTAGGCACTGAGCCCTTCGTCTTCCAACCTCCCCGTCTTAGAGAAACAAAAGCCAGATCTGCCACGACACATGTCGTCGCAGGCAAATCTGTGGATATCCAGGATATCGTCCATAAGTCATGAAATCGTGACCCGCTCAATTTGCACTCAAGCCTCGAAGAAGACAAATAAAAGTAGTCCTAGAGAAAAGAGAAAATAGTGCCCCATCCATGGTATCCATCAGGTAGGTATAAAGGGGGCAAACAGAAAATAATTAAGCAAAGCCTTGCTTTTGGGGTCCGTTTCGTGGGAAAGCGGTGTTCAGAAAATGCCAGCCAGACCGTGACGGGAATACAGAGGTTCCAATGCTTCCGGAAGCGATCGATGCGCGCGCCTTCAGCCTTCGTCCTGTCAATCAACGACATTATAGCCGACTATCAGAAGTCTACTCTTGAGCCTGGCTGCGTCGCATTTTCTCCGCCTCCAAGTTCTCGTACAAGAGGTACAGCGCCTTCTCGTTGGCGGATGCGCTTCCGGTAATGGTAAACATGCGCTCGCCGGTCTCGTCATGCGGTGCCTTCGCAATGGAGATGCGCGCGCCGGAGCTCTTGCGAATCTCACTGATCTTGCTGCCGCCGCGACCAATGATACAACCAACCATATCTGAGGGAATGCTGATATTCTGCGTCTGCATTTCTTCTCCATCTTCGGTGTGCGTCGGAGGCGGCGGCCGACTAGCGGCATCGGATCCGGACCGTCGACCGTAGGAGGCAGGAAGTGCGTCGCTGAAATCGGCGCCGTGGCCGGTGCGGTTGTACGAACGTCCGCCTCCCATGCCGTTTGCGAGGGGTCCAACGCCGGGCTGCACCCTGACGGCGGGATTATAGAGCACGGTGCCGTAGCCGCGCTCGTGATCGTCTATCAGGCACTTGCCGATTTCCCAGACGGCCTTCTCGATACCCTGCGGGGATCCCTGGACCTCGACGATGCGCTCGGTAGACTGGGGAAGCATCTCCTTCTGCGCAACCATGCGAACGCCGGACGTGTCTTGGATCTGCTTGATCTTCAGACCTTGGCGGCCGATGATGGTGCCCATCTGGTTGTGAGAGATGAGGAGGCGAATGGCTGCGCGCGTTAGCCTGAGTTGGACTCTTCGCCATCACAGCGGGGAGGGCGCATGAAGGCGGATTTGGGCTACGTACGATGGGTGCCGTCGTTGCGGATGAGACCGCCCATGCCCATCTGCGGGGCGCCTTCGAGCAGTCCTTTGGCGACCAGGCCGTATGCCTTGGAGATTCCGGACAGAGGGCCAGTGACGGAGAGCACACGGTCATGGACGCCCTGGACCACCTTGCTGACGCCGGCGCGCACGCCAGTCTCGTCGCGCAGGTCGGCCACGTTCTTGCCCGCCTTGCCTATGATGACTCCGGCCTCCTTGGACGAGACAATGGCTCGGAGCGTGAGCTGCGACTCGGCGTACTCTTGCTCGGTTCGAGGGATCACGTCGCCGTTGTCGTCGACGTTGAGGCGCTCCACGGCCTCGGAAATGCGGGAGGCATCCTGGGTGGCCTGCTGGGACTCTTCTGCAGACATGCTGTAGGAATGGCCTAGGGTGGTGCTGCGACGGGCGTGAGTGACGTATGCAGACGCGACGAGGAGCAGCGCAAGACTTACCGGAGAGTCAGTCGGAGATGGAGAGGAGAGGGGGAGAAGGGCGTGGAAAGGCGCTCTGGAGCTATATCGCGTGCGGTGTTAGCGGGATTGTTGACGAGTGGTGGAGGAACGCCGGGGGCGCAGAGGCAGCTACTCACAGGTGATTGCGGAAGTGGCGGGGGGGGAGGGTGGTCCTTGCGGATCGGCTGGCAGGGTGAGAGAGGAGCGGGAGGAGGGCGGGGAGGCGGAGGGAGAGGGAGAAGGAGAGGAAGAGGGAGAGGAAAGGGGACGCGTGGGAGGAGAAGGGTGAGGGCGGCGGGCGGAGGACGGAGGACGCGTGGGTTGGTTGAGAGGTGAGGTGAGAGACGAGGGCTAGCACAGAAACAAAGGAATATTTGGGCGGTCGACGTTAGCTTTTAGCGAGCGCGGCCGGCGGACCATGCCGTCTCGACAGAGGGATGCAGTGCAGCAGCGCGCGCGCACGCAGGAAGCCGGGGCGCTGGGGCAGCGGGCGCGAGGGCCATGGCGGCAGGAAAGGGTGTGACTCTCGCGGCCGGCGTCGCAGTCACGACGCAGCGTCATCTTGCGTGAAGAGCGGGCGCTCCGCGACCTTCACGCGTGCGCCCGGCCTGCACCCGCGCCCGCCGCGGCCGACCGCCAGCCAACCCCGCAGCGCACAGGCCCGCCCAACGGCGTTTGCGAAGTCTGCGCAGCTGCAGCATGCACAGTGCACAGCGCAGCCGTGAATTGGCCAACTACAACGCACAGTGCTGCGGTTTGCGTGCCGCCGTGTCTGATTGGAGCGCCGCCCCCAGCCTCCTGAATTACATGTGGAATGCACGGTCACTTCTGAGCCTCAAACACCACCTTCTGCGCCTGCATCTTGTCGAACAGCTCGTAGCCCTCGACCGCCTGACTCAGCGGCATCACCTTGTCCGCCATGAACCTGCGCAATTAGTCACTCGCTGCGTCCCCCTCTGTGCGGAACACTCACCCAAGCTTGTCCTGGTGCTTCTTCAGCGCCTCTAGCGACTGCGGGAACACGCTCCGGACCGGGCATCTGCCCATCTGGATCCGCAGGTTCTTGCCGTAAGCCTGGTTGCCCGTCCACGGAATCTCTCCGTTGTGAACGCCAACGCTTGATATGACTCCCCAAGGCCGGAGCAACTCGAAGCCCATCTTCAGCGCCGGGGACAGTCCCACCACCTCTACCACGACATCCGCGCCCCGTCCATCCGTCAACTCCTTGACCCTCTTGTCCAGCCCCTCTCGATCAGCCTGGAAATTCCACGGCTCGGCACCGAGGCTCTTCGCAAGCTCGAGCCTGGAAGGTATAGAGTCGACGGCCAGGATATGCTTGGGGGCAAAGTCCACGAGGTTGACAAGCGCGCAAAGCGCTACCGGTCCACAGCCCACCAGCACAACCGTGCTCTCCTTTACCTCCTCGTTGCTCATCTCCTTAAAAGCATTTTGCGCTGCGAACCAACCAGTAGGGAAGATATCGGCCATGAGCACCAGTACTTCGTCCTTCACGCCCTCGGGCGCTTTCACGACCGAGCTATCGGCGAGAGGGATGCGAACGTACTCGGCCTGTCCGCCATCGAGGACAGTCGTGCCGAAGAGTTGGCATTTCGAGCAGCGGGATGAGAAGCCACGCTTACAGTAGAAGCAGTCGCCGCACGAGACCGTAAACGGAGAGACAATGCGGTCACCCTTCTTCACCGTCTTGACCTCCGATCCGAGCTCTTCCACAGAACCCGTAAACTCATGGCCCATTATGAAGTCGGTGCCAGAGGGTTGGTGGCCGCGGAAGACGTGCAATTCACTGAGGACCATCAGGTTTCCAATTCGCATTTGGCAATGTCCTAGTCGTGTCATACCTGCCGCATAGTGCTGTCTGCATGTCTGTCAGAACTAGATCAATTTCCCAAGTGAGGACGCCTACCTTCTCTACTTTGACAATGATGTCCGTCGGATCTTGTATCTTGGGTATCGGACGGTCTTCAATGACGACCTTATGCGGCCCTTTGAAGATCACAGCTTTCATGGTATCCTTTGTCATGTTGACAAGCCAAGCAAGAACTCAAGACTAGGCAGAATGAGTGAAAACGGGAGGCAAGAAAGTGGCAGCAGAAGCGTGAAAGGATGCGGTGGGTCGTCCCAAATAAATACGCGAAAGGAATTAGAGTCGCCGCTCGCTACATGTCGGCGGGATTACTCTCCTCATCAGCTGAGGTCGTCATCGTGGAGCTGCTTCACCCCGCCGAGGTGAAAACTGCGGGGTAGATCGTACGCACCACGGCAGCAAGGATCCTGCAGGTTGGATGCGGCTTTCATCATATTTCTGCTGCTATGTAAGCTGCTCTAAAAGGCAAACGCCTGGAGAGACTGTAGCAGTCATTCGAGCAGAATGCGATGGTGGGAAACAGAGGACTCGTCCACGTACCATAGCAGCCTCTCTGCCCTGCCATACTGCGCCAGAATCCCATGATATAATATAGAAACACCCATCCAAATACTCCAATACCATATCTTTGTTCCGTGCCCATAAACTCCGTCTAATGCATGCCGGAAAAGTATCTGTCGCACCGGCGTCTTGAAAGCCCCAATGCCGCTGCCGTTGGGCTCAGGACACTGTACACAACAGTTCGGCCTCCAGTATGAACTTCCCCTCCTTGTACTTCTCACTGGCCTCATACGCCTTGTCGTACTTCCAACCCACGGTTTCCTTGCATTGTCGGCAGTGTATGTCGCGCACGATGTGGCGGCCCGTCGTCATGTTACGCTCGTTGGGCTCAGACTCGGTGACGTTGACCACGCTGTCGAAGAGATACGCCTTGCCATGCTGGCCGCGAAAATTCTGCCATGTGTCATCAGCCCGGGCCTGCGCGAGGGAGAGTATCAAGGCGGACTTACCCTGCTGAGGATGTCATCGTGGTTGGAGAGGTGCGTCTTGCACGTCTTGCAGCCGTAGATGCGGCCGCCGTTGAGGTAGATGTTGTATGTTAGTCCCATGGCTCGCGGCTACTGCGTAAAGGGGAGATCGGAACAGAAGAGTACGGCGTATGGCTGCCTTATGTGAGCCGCAAAGAGGCTGTGGTCTCGGATGGATGGCCCGTTGCCGGGCCTGGGTCACGGAACGTGGGCCGATGGGACGACAGCCGCACAGAGTCGAATATGGCGGAAGAATTTGGAGGGAATGAGGAGCTTGTATATGCGAGAGCGCAGCTGAGTGAGAGCGACTCGCAAGCCTGAAAGCGCCGGTGACCTCGCAGCGCAGCGGATGTCCTTGTGACCTGTTTGGAAGATAAGAAGCTTAGTTGGTGACCGCTATCTTGCTTCTGTTGTGCAAATACAGCTGGCCATGCACGCCTCCGTGTGCTAAGTACCGAGCGGTAGAGCTGAGAGGCAATATGTTGGTGGGGAGCTTCGCGGCGGAGGTGGGACCGTGGAGCCCTGAGCTAGGACCGAGCACGTGGCGATAAGATAAAGAGGAACGACGGTATCGGCGAGGGCAGGGACGCCTCAATGTCGAAAGCTGGAGATGCGAGCATCACAGAGGAAACGGCGGAATGTTGGTAGCTTGTTTGTGCCATGGCCGCAGGGTCTGACGCAAACGAAGGCTCCCCTCAGCGGCGAGAGGGGGACTGGCTTGGCACCAGGGACGACGACGCCCACAGGCAGAGATTAATTCCGCAGGAAATGGTATTTGTTGACTCGAGCGAAAGAACAGTACGTGCAGCGGGCAAGAATAGACGTTTAAAGCACTCCGGGTCAGTCTTGTCAATACCAGCTGATTCAAAATGAGTACCAAGTTGGCTGGCCGAGGATTGGCTGGAAGAGTATCAGATTACCGAATGCGGAAGCGCACGAAGTGTGTATTTGCTCGGCGAGAACCATAATGTGGAGCTATATCTTTGAGCAGGAGATGACTATAGCAGTGGCCAAGAGCACTTCGCCAACTTCTGTCCGATGGCCAATGTAGTGGAGGCATCGTGCTGAATGGGAGGAAGACTATCAAGACATGCCCCTACTCTACGCAGTTTCTACGCAGTTTCCACGAGTCTGGACATACGGCGAGCCATGCTCTGCATGAATGCGGGCTCTCAAATCGGCCGAGAGAGTTGAAGTGACTCGGCCTGGCTGAGATTCGGCGCGTCTTTCAATTCGCACACAAGTCGGCAGGCTGGTTGCTAAGAGACAGCTCATCGTCTGCAGCTGTGGGGACAGTAAACAGAGAGCGAGATTGGAGAGATATCACCGTTGTTTATGCACGTGTTGTTGGCGCTCTGCTGCTGCATGCATCAACCACCGGCGAAGGGATTGGGGGGAGAACGAGACGATGCCCTCCGCGGTCTGCAAACACACAAAGAGGCACCAGCAAAGGCCGTCATTGGCCCAGCAGAGGGAACAATAGGAGAAAGGCCGTGGCCGCTTCGAAGGCTCCGCAGCGAATGATGACGACGGGTTGCAGCCAATTTCTCTCAGCCCCAGCCTCCCAACGCACGCGCCTAGCGGCTGCAAAAGTGGCAGCGCAGCGACTATCTCCGCGTAGAAGGTGCTAGAAGCCCTTTCAGAGACCGCATCCCAGCGAGCCGCTTTTTTATCGCATCGGTCCGTCTGCTACCAGAGTTGACTACAGCGGGCTAAAATTCCCAGTTACACCAGGACGTCCCTATCATTCCCCGACCTTTTGCCTCTCATGGTTCTTCCCTCCCTCTTTCACAAATCCTCCAAGAAGAAGCCCCAGCACCCCGACGTCCCTCATCTCACCCCGGGTGCCCCAGCACGCAAAAGCACTCCAGGCACCCCTCCCGCGTCGCCGGACAAAAAGTCCCACCACCGCGTCAAGGAGCGGGAACGCGAGCGCCGTTCCAACTCCTACTCATCGAAGCGCTCGTCCAAGTACGACCGCGATTCGCACCCCCTCAACCTGCCGCCCGACGAGCTGCGACGCCTGTCAACGTCAGCCATGTCTGCCATGAGCGACCAGCCCACGCCGCAGCCCATGGACGTGGACAGGGAATTCACGTCCTCGCCCGCGCCGTCAAGCCCTGCAGCCGCCCAGGCCCCGGCCGCCTTCCCGAAGACTAACGGCGTCAACGGCGAGGAGACGCGGCCCGCTCCCCCTCCGCACCGATACACAACGAGCCCGCCGCCGCAGTCAGCGAACTACGCTGCGACACCAGAGGCCGCGTCGCCGCCTGCACAGGCCCCGGCGATAGATGCGGAGGAGTACAAGGCAGCAGGGAACAAGTTCTTCAAGATCAAGGACTACCCCGCTGCCATCAAGGAATACTCGAAAGGTAGGTTGCCATCCCGTCACGTTCTGCTCGAGTCCTGTGCGGCCCAGTTGCGTGGCATTGCAACGCTGCACGCACCCCAAAACATCCGAGCTAATCAGTTGCAGCCATCGAGGCGGATCCTCAAAATGCGACGTACTACTCGAACCGCGCTGCGGCTCTCATGTCAGCAAACCGCTTCATCGAAGCCCTGGAAGACTGCAAGGCCGCAGACGAACTCGACCCAGGCAACATGAAAATTATGCTCCGGTTAGGGAGGCTGTACACTAGCCTTGGGCGGCCAGACGAGGCTATTGCAGCCTACCATTCCATCAATGCCACGGTGAAGGACATGCAGCCTGCGCTCATGATGCAGCGGCACTTGAGGCAGGCCGAGGAGACTCTGCGGAGCGGCGGATCCGGCTCCATGATCATATACGCTCTGAACGAGGCAGAAAAGGGTCTGGGGGCCAAGGTCGACAGGCCGAGGAAGTGGACACTGATGCGGGGAGAAGCACATTTGCGGATGGGTAATGTCAATGCACTTGGCGAAGCTCAGAATGTCGCAATGAACCTACTGCGGGCTAACAGCCAGGATCCGGACGCTCTGGTACTGCGTGGCCGCGTGCTCTACGCACAAGGCGAGAACGAAAAGGCGATTCAGCACTTTAGGCAGGCGCTGAACTGCGATCCCGACTTCAAGGACGCGGTGAAGTACCTCCGGATGGTGCAGAGGCTCGAGCGGACAAAAGAGGAGGGCAATCGAGCCTTCAAGGCCGGCCGGTTCCAGGAAGCGATTGATACCTATACGAGGGCGTTGGAGGTTGACCCGTCCAACAAAAACACGAATTCGAAGATCCTTCAAAACCGCGCGCTCTGCCACTCGAGGCTAAAGAACTGGTCGCAGGCCATTGACGACTGCGACAAAGCGCTCGAGCTCGACCCAGGCTACACAAAGGCGAGAAAGACGAGGGCCAAGGCATTGGGAGAGTCCGGAAACTGGGAAGAGGCAGCGCGCGAATACAAGGCGATACATGAAGCCAACCCATCAGAGCCAGGCATCGCCAACGACATCAGGAATGCTGAACTAGAGCTGAAGAAGAGCAAGCGGAAGGATTACTATAAGATTCTCGGTATCGAGAAAACAGCCACGGAGACAGAAATCAAAAAGGCGTACCGCAAGCTTGCCATCGTTCACCATCCCGACAAGAACCCAGACGACGAAAGCGCTGCCGAGAGATTCAAAGAGATCCAGGAGGCCCATGAGACGTTGAGCGATCCTTCGAAACGTGAACGCTACGATTCTGGAGCGGATCTCCAGGACCCAGCCGACATGTTTGGAGGTGGCCCCGGCGGTGCACCGTTTGGGGGGCAAATCGACCCGGAGATACGTGAGTCAGACTTCTCCCCTCCTTACCAGCTATATTAATGTTCTTGCAGTTTTCCAGATGTTCGGCGGCGGCATGGGTGGTGGCATGGGCGGTGGTCGGGGAGGCGGCTTCAGCTTCTCCACCGGCGGCGGAAGCCCGTTCGGCGGTATGCCCGGTGGTGGCCGAAGAGGCCAGCAATTCCAGGGCGGATTCCCCTTCTGAACAACGTCGTCCTCCTGATGGCCCTAAAACTTTTCTCTCACAGGTACGTAAGTGCGGATCTGCGGATCATTGCTCTGGATTTTCTCATCGCTTCCTGTCTATGCCACAAGCATTGAGGTTTCCGGGTCTTTCTCATATACGGCGTTGGAATAATACAGGGCAGCGCGAGCTTAGGAGGAGGCTCGATATAGGCTGCCTGGTTTGGTTGCGGAGCGATACTGCATTATGGCCACGACTCTCGGTTGATCTTGATCATCAGCATTGCTCCGGCGTCAGTCTTTCCCCTAGCGGTGATGATATCTAGACGGAGTCTGTGTAATGATAGGCACAAGGGGCAAAGGAGTAATATATCATCTTGACTGGCGCGCTTTGGTATTGCCACCATCATTCCCTTGTGGCTCCAGCATGAATTTGCCCCCTCAGAGTGAACCGTTAGCCAATGCTGACATAAGCAACGCTATTTTCATCTCGGCTTGCACGTCACTAGTCCCTCTTTGAGACTCATACTTCTCAATCCACAACCAGGCTTTTCGATCCAACAACCCTCTGCTATGCTGCCTTTGGAACTTATGGCAAGAGTTTTATTCGCACACTCGTAGAACTACTCCCGGGAAAGATCGATAGTCCGAGACGACAACTTGGAACTACGAGAATCCATAAAGAAATCAGGATTGCACAAACTCGAAGCTCCGAGTTCGTAGTCAAAAAGCCCTTACGAAACTCTGGATATACCAAGTAGGACCGGCAGGAACCATGCAAAAGCACCGCCGCCCAAACCGCCAATCCCGCCGTGGAAACCATCAGCCTTCCAATACTCCTAACCACAAAACTTCTCCTGCGTCGACATCAACTTCTACACCATCCTCTTCAAACCCCTCGCAGATATTGACTCCCCGTCCTCCAAGACCCCGGCCAGACTACCACCCCGTGCCCGCCCACGCCGCCGTAACCCTCGGTGCCGCCGTCTCCATTGTCCTCAAGCAGGATCAGCCGACCGGCAAAGAAGTCCAGGGCATTGTAGCCGAAGTACTGACAAGAGGCGATCATCCACGGGGTGTCAAAGTACGATTAAGAGATGGGAGGGTGGGACGGGTGCAGAGGCTTGTGGGTGAGGAGGAGGGTGTCAAGGGGGAGGAGATGGTTGGTGGTGCGGAGTCGGGACTGGGCCGTAATGGAGAGTCATCCTTCGCTTACTCTAGAGGTGGAATGAGAGGTGGGCAAAGAGGTGGGTTTAGGCATGTAAGAGATATTAGGGAGGACGATGAGTATTTGTACGACGAGAGCAGTGGACCAAGAGATATGGCGGGATACTTCAAAGAGCTGGAAGAAGCGGATGCACGACTTGCTGAGAGTAGCGGATGGGGAGAGGATGCGGGAAAGAGAGTAGAGTTGAAGAGCGACATAGCGATATGTCCGGTTTGTGAGGGGTTTGAAGGGGACGAGAGGGCCGTGGCGCATCACGTTGAGTCGCATTTCGGGGAGGCATGATGTGTACACAGATAAGTGTAGGGACGAACTGTGTCCAGACTGGTCGACATTCATGGAAGTACAGTACGAGTCGTAAATGTACACCAGACGCTGTAGCTTCCACCCTAGTCCTGGATCTGACAACCATCGCTATGGCAAAGAAGCCTTACGATCTGTTCCTTTTGCCGCCGAAGCACGCCCGTCCAGAGTATCGCCCCGCCGAAGCTGCAACATAGAAAGTCACCACCAAGATAGAAACACCCCGAAATCTCCCTGCCATATTCCCTCGTAGATGTAAGCAGCCACTACTAGTGGTACGTGACATGGACGTCTCGGCGGTAATCGACCCGGCGAACTGTGCTTGTTAGTACTGCGGAACCTCACATCACTAGTGGAATACTCACGCTGATCCAAGAGTCGCGACGAGGAAGCGCCCTTGCCCTGGTTCACCCGCTCATGAGCACGATGATGTTTAAGGATCGTCAGCCGCGCATTCATATACTCATTCAAGAACTCGCCGTCTCGCTCCCAATCTCTGAAGAACTCATTGGCAACAAAGCCGGCCGTCTTCTCACGAGTGGTATTCTCCCCATCGGGAATGGCGGAGATTCGCTCGTGCCGACAGTTGAAGACACGAAGGCCGGCGTCAGCGAGATCCAGTTCGGTGATGTAGTATCCGATGCCCTTCTTTAGTGTGTTGATCTGGTAGGCCAAGCTCGTGTTTTCCTGCTTCAACTTGCCGATCTCGCCTCGAAGTCTGCCGGCTAGAGTACCGTCCTGGGCTCGCTCAGCGTTCCTGGCGTTCCGCTCGGCGAGCAGCTGGACATGATTAGACTTGTGCCAGTCACGATTTGTGATGGTCTCTTGGAGCTCCTTGCGGATCTCTGTCAGGTCCAGCTGCAGGTTCTCGTTCTTAGCCTTGAAAAAGGCGGCCTCGGTCTGGATGCCTGCTGAGCGCTTCACCTCTTCCTGGCTCCGGAAATTCTTAGCTTGGAGGTCGTCTATCTTGCTCACGAGGCTCTCAATCTTGTCGTTCAATTTGGTGTTCGTCGCCGTGAGCTGGGCAATCTGCTGTTGGTTATCTCTCTTCTCCTTGGTGAGGACTTCCACTTTCAGTTGCAGGCTGTCAACTTTGACGCCCAGCTTCGTATTATCGGCGATGAGGCCGCTGTTGGAGGCTTTAAGGTTGATATTGTGCGGCTGAAGCTGATCGTTCTCCTTCATCAGCGCAAGCATCTCACTGAGCCGCTTGGTGTTGGACGTCTTGACCTCGTCATATCGGATCTTGAGTGTATCGAGTTCGTCCGTGATTGCCTGCACTTGGTCTCGTAGGCTCACGTTCTCTGAACGCACACTCCTGAGTTCCTTGTCCCTGCTTGTCTGCATGCGCTCTGCCTCCTCCGCGTTCTTGAGAGACGTCTTGATCATGGCTAGCTCCAAGCTCTTCTCCCCAATGTCGCTGTACAACTGATCTAGCTCCTGCTGAAGCTCTTCAGTCTCAGCTTCGGTACGGATACTGTTCTGGGCCGCGTCTTCGAGCCCTTCAACCCTGGCTCTAAGGATTCGGTTCTCGTTCTCGATCCTCCCCACCTTGACCTCCAGGTCGACGTTCTCCCGCTCCGCCCACGCCAGCTTCAACTTGAACTTCAGGTGCTCGACTTCGGATTTGTCGTCGGTCACGAGGGACGCTGTGAGCGAGCTCATCTCTCCATTTTTGACCTCCCCGCCATGGCCGCCGCCACGCTTCGACAGGAGGGCCTGCCCCTCATTTGCCGCCGGAGGGCTCTCGCCGCTGGTGGCATGGTTGTTGTCACTATTCGTCAACGCCGGCATAGTGGACGTTGAATCGCGAATTGACACGGAAAGGTGATCGCCCGGGTACTGGACTGAGTGATTGTAGACGACCTTCCTGGACTTGACCGGTGCCACTTGTATCTGAATGGCTTCTTAGCTCTCTGTAAAGACACCAAAGTTGAACGAGGCGGCTTTGTCTTTCTATATCGGAAAGGTGGCTCTTGCGTTTTCGCGCTAATTTCATTTGTGCGTGTTGCGAGGAAGCGCGCAGCTGATAAGGAAGGCGCAAGATTGGTGAAGAGGATGGTGAAGCGCTTGGTGAGCAGTGAGCCGGAGGAAGGACGGAGGGTGTGCTCCCCCTTTCATTTTCACTCCAATGATGAAAGAGTTGAAACCCTTATTCCAATGCCGAGTGGCAAGAGGAGGTCCAGAGCTAGAGCTCCTCATCGACGTAGGGAGGTACGTAGCATCCCCTTGGAGAGCCGGTAGCGTTGCGTGGGCCCTCGAGCAGGCACAGAAGGAGCACTCCAGGCCATCTTGAGAGGCTAAGAATGTATTCTCCTGGTATCCGTGCCGTTATTAGTATATATAGTGATGTTCAAGATTGTGGAGGTGTAGGAAGCGCGCTGTCGGCGGCGATTGCTGAGTCATCAGCGCACGACCTCTTCGCATCTGTCTTCCTCACCTTTTCTCGTCCAGTCCATCTCACCATCGAATCGTCACTTCCTTACTTGCACAGTTATTTCCATCCAAAGATGATAGACTTGAATGCAGATTCACCGCCTTCACTCGCTGAGGCGATTTCACCCCACACAACCTTGGGAACGAGGCCCATAAACCGACCAATTCCTTCAGCCATTTTAACTCCTCAGCAAGCGGAATAGCAGTATCTGCACAGGTGAGAATCTAGACCTCGAGGGCACCGATTCTTCACAGCACGCATGGCCACAGCTTACCGATGAGTTCGATCGCAAACGAAACGGGGCTACTCTGGGCTAGATGAACAAGACTACGTTCTGTCACCTTGCCCGCGACGAACATTCTCTCGAGCCGCCACTATCTACTGAACAAATATCCGCACCGTGCATTCACAATTTGAGTTTCCATGTCCTCACGCCGCTCCCTTTCTCTCCATCTTCGTCGGGCCGATCAAACGCCAAGTTGTTCCGACCATGCCTGTGACCCTTCCGCAACGCCAAGGACTCCACCTTCCCCGAAAACACTGCTTCCATTCGCACTCAGTCGTTTGATCCACTTCTAGCTCCAGCCAAGCTAGCCAAGGTGTTCTGCATTCGTAGCGGAATGCGGACTGGGGTCCGCTCGATGGACTTTCAAAAGCTATACTGTAGACCATCCGGACATGAAATCAGTAACCTTATCTATCTCGTGCTGTCTTTCTTTAGGAGAGCTGAACGCTTCTGTTGTCTTTCTCCTTCGTACTATTTAATTCTTAGTCTGCAGGACAGCATATTTCAGTTCTAGAACTCCTTTTCTTCATTCCCTTTTAACGATGAGGTTCGCTTCTGAACTTGCGGTGGCCATTTTGGCTCTATCTAATGTCGCGGCTGGAGAAGCTCCGTCCCGTAGGTGGACTGTAAGTACCTCCCGCACAACGCCGAGTCTAGCCACGCGAGAAGATTAGCGACTACTTCGCACAGTGGACACCTTTGACTGTAGTATACTAACCGGCTTACCAGGGATCACTCTCCGCGCGCGCTAATCATGCGTCAATCGCCGGACGGCAGATCGAAATCGGCGGTCTCAAGCTTGGCGGAGGCAATGAGACTACCGGAGAAGGGCAGGGTGCGGCCGGCGAAGGTCAAGGTCAAGGTCAGCGCCAGGGTGGTAACGGAGGCGGCTTGACCATCGGAGGATTGACGCTTGGTGGACCAAATGGCGGTATAACGGGCAATGGAATCAACATTGGAGGGAACCAACAAGGCCAGGGTCAGCAGCAAGAGGGTCAGCAGCAAGAGGGCCAGCAGCAAGAGGGCCAGCAGCAAGAGGGCCAGCAGCAAGAAGGCCAGCAAGCACAACAAGGTCAAGCCCAAGAGGGCCAACAAGCTCAAGAGGGTCAGCAGCAGGGTGAAGCTGCGGCGGCCGAAGGTCAAAGAGCGGGCGAGGCGGCCACAGCCGAAGGCCAAAAGGAGGGACAAGCTGCGGCAGTGGAGATCGGGGCCGCTACAAACGGTACGCAGGCCGCCGAAGGGCAGAAGCAAGAGGGAGAACCGCAAGCTGCCGCTGAAGGTCAGAACCAAGGAGGCGAGGCTCAAGCCCCCGCTGAACAACAGCAAGGCCAAGAGGCTCAAGCGGGTGCTGGCACCGGAACCGAAAATCAACCCGGTCGCGCCGAAGGCGAGGCTGCGCAGCAAGAAGGCCAGCAAGCACAGGCTGAGGCTCAACAACAGCAAGGCGAGGCTGCCGCTCAGGGCGAGAAGTCGAACGGTGTCAAAGCCACCGAGGAGGCCGAGCAGTTCTCCGAAAACGCCGGTATCACGCTTGATCAGAGTGGCAACGCTCAGAACCTTGGTGGCAACCTGGGTATCACACAAGGCTCCGATGGAAGCAAGTCCATCGGTGGAGAGAGCGGGATCAATATCGCGGCGAATGGGGAAGCGACGATTGCAGGGAATGAGACGGAGTAAAACATCGTTACCAAAGACAGAGCTCCCCAGGCTATCCCTTGCGCCAGTGCCAGTCCGGAATCTCCCAACAATAAATGCCTCAATGGGTGTTACTTCGCAAACGGTCTTGTTGTATATTCCTTCCACACTCACTAGACTCAAATAGAAGAATACCCTTAAAACTCGATCTCATGGCTCGTTTGACTTCATCGAACCCGAGTTCATTGAAAGTGGCATGTGCATGCGGGGCGGAGTGAGAAACGAAGCTTGTCTCAAACCGTTTCGTGGATGCCTCTCGCGGGACTTGGCATCTGCCCAGTTTCCTTGGACGAAAGAATGTTGAGCTTGGTTGAGGCTGAGACCTGAGGTGATCTGTGACATAGCGGGTATATACCTACTTCATGTGACATGAGGCGGATGACTAAGCGGGCGACGGGACACGATGCCGCCTGCTTTCCAAGCACAACCACAGCGCATCCCATCCATCAACAGTCAACACTTTCCATCGACCACTCCCCGCATAGTGGAGCCCCGGACACACAGCATCGAGACCTGTTTACTTCCCATAGCTGGTTCCCAGACTTGGCTCGGCACAACATCGCCTGTCCGATTGGCCCCGTCAGTTATCGCGATCGCGCGCACCAAGTCCTGCTCGATAAAAGCAACCACACTGTTAGCCTACCAAATTGTTTCTGCCTACAGACTGGTATTGGCAAATACAAGGTGCCGTTCCCGACTCGACGCTAAATGGGCGGAAGCGAAGGTGCAGACTGTGCCGGAGGCTGAGGTCTATTGAGCGCTCGCAAGAGATGAGATAAGGATGTTTTGCCCAAGAAGACTCGGAGGGTGACTTTTAATTTCTAGGAACTCCTGTCTTGAAGTTGCAGCTGCTTCCCATTCCGGGTACACTTTGCAGCCCAGAAAAGTCGCCGCCCCATCTTCGCCATCTACCCGAGTCCTTACACCGCCAGGTCCATCAACTCTTCACTCCCTTCACCCTCTTCACCCCCTTCCATTTTCATCCCCACAGGCGTGGTCTCCGAACGCAGCCGGAAAATGACCCCAATCTTCCTCTGCATCCGCCGCCCGCTAGCAACACTTCCACACCCTATCCGTACAATTGGGAAACGAATTCCCATCGACATCAAGATAATCGCACATTGGAATCTCGACATTGCAAGATCCGTAATACGACAACTTCAAACTTTGCGTCAGCGTGCCGCCCAGACCCAAGCCCGACGCGGATGGATGAAACGTGGTATGCACGTTAATCCCGGCTGACCTATCATCAAAATAGCCACAACCTACACCCATCGCTGGTGTGGAATTGGTCGCAATGCTATTCTCCTCGGAATATGATACTGCTACTGACGTGAAATGCGTCTGAGAACAGTTAGCTCTAGAGAAAGAGTAAGGGAAGTCCGGGGAGAGGGATACCGGTCCCATAGAACCACTTCCAGGCGTCGTGAGATTTTCGTCCCAAGCAAGCTTTGTCTGCAAATCCCCACCCCGCTCCCCATTCCTGAAGTCTCCCTTATATTCAATTTCCCGTATGGTCACTGTATCCGTCGGCTGAAACCTGAAAGCCACGCGCACGTAGCATGCGACCTTATCCTGAGCGAAAACGACCTCCTGCGACTGCGAGGTCGAGTATTTGATGCCGATTGAAGAAAGGTCGGAAGCCAGCGATACTCCCACATCGAAGGGGCAGTAGAAGACTCTAGGCTTCTCGATCGTTCCGTTCGAAGGACCAGCAAAGACGGGTTCCGCCATACGTAAGAGCAGAGCAAAAGCCCCGGGGAGACTGCAAGAGGAGCGTTTCATCTTGACTGAAGCCAGCGAGGCTGCGATCCACTTGCGTGCAAACCGGATCAAAACTTTTCAAAAGCCTCGCTCCAAGCTTCGCAACACGACACTACCCGTAAGTCTGCCTTACCATCGAAATAATATCTAAAGGTAATGCTGCAGCAATTTCTTCCGCTCCATGTCTCTATTCAAACAGAACGAACGTGGACCAAGACCCGAGTATCCCCCGCTCTTCATCAAGATATAAATACTGACTTGCATATACGAACCCGGGACAGCGGCACGCAAGTCACACGCAATCAGGTCCGTCTCCGAAAACAGTAACCTGCTCCACTACTCTGATGGACATACAGTAGCATTGATTGCGCAACTATGCAACATGTAGCTATCCAATCCGCGAACCCCACACCCTCCACTGGCACCGATGCGGCCCTTCCTGCAGACTCAAGCACTCCATACTGCGGGTCCTGGTGCGACATAGCCGGTTAGATTCCAGGGCTTCAGTTCCGCGACATGGTATGGTGCCCAGATCGCTGTCAAGGAATTAACATCTTGCTTAGCTTTAGGAAATGGCGGACTTACCGTTATCCCAAACGTCATATGCGCCGGGAAACTTCGCCATCGGGCCCGGATTACCTGTGCAAGCAATGAGGAACGTTAGGCTAAGACACCAGGCATACAACTTACCTCCTCCTGGACCTTTGACGTCGATATGCGCACAGTTGACATAGAACTGCGTGTTATTGAAACGGTAGGAGTACTGAAAGATGTGTTCTATGCGCATCAAATACTTTCCAGGAGGCGTACTCTTCGGGATGCTGAAGTTCATCGACGTGAAAGTCAGTCTCAAATCGAACACTCTACTATCAACAAAATCACTTACGGACGCAGCGCTCAATAAGGCCCACCTCGTTTCGTTTTTCGCGATAATACTTCCGATCTTAAACCAGTCACCGTCGCCCTCATACGCCTCCAACTCGCCCTCCGCATCTCCCGCCTTGCTCAAATATGCCTGCCCGGGGCCTTCGTGCGAGATATCAGTGTCTTTCTCTTCATTACTGTACTGGTCTCTTATCGTAGGGAAGAAGGCGAGCTCGTCGCCGGCATTGACGGTAAGTGTTTGCGTCCCCGGACCGCTTCTTGCAGCACCGCGTCCGCATCGGATGTTAGCGTCGTACATATCGTAGTAAGGAACGAAGTCCCCAGTGTAGCCATTCGTGGGCGAATACGCCCATCCGTCTGTTACATTGCGGATATACTGCCATGGGGCGCTGAGAGGACCGCCGTTGTGGGAGAGCTTGGAGAAGACATCTATGGAAAGCATTAGTACGCCTAGTATTCTTTAAAGCTAACTGTTAGGAGACGGAAACAGCAAGGGCTTACAGTGTGCATCAGCATATTGGCAGCTGAGCAATGATAACGCGATGGTGAGTATCCTCATCTTGGACAAGCCTCAAATACTCAAGTCCATGAAGGCTCCTGCTGAGCGAGTAGATTTCTTATGGTGTGGAGGCCCATAGCGTATGGCCTCGCAGCCATCCTTCGCCAGCCCAAGAGGTTACATTGCTGGCTCTATTTACCCGCCATAGACAAGAAGGATTCGTACCGCTGAGACATTGGTAAGTGCAATTACCACATGCGGCGTGCATATATTAACCTTACTGCTTTCGTCACGACAACCCATACCAACCCTAATGTAGGCCGGGAGGGCTTTAGGGGACCAAGAGTAGAGGTGAGGACACGTGAGGACACGTCCGTGTCGGAAGTCGAAAAGGAAGACCTATGATAGTCGCGCCTACAAGTAGTTCTCGACATGCTCATCCAGTATTTTCAGCAGCAGCATACCAGCGTGTCGCTGCGAGAGGTATCCTCAGCCAAGTACATCCTTGATGACGTCCGTTCCGGCCGCAACCTGACGACGTCTATTATCGATACTGTTCGTCACGCTCGATCAGCCGATATGACCATAGCCAACATGTTTGGCTTTGACGGTATTAATCCTGCTCTTTAATCGCATCCATGTCTCGTCTCCACTGGTCCTTAATCTCGTCAATCAACCCAGGCTTCTTAAGCACGTCTACCGCAGTGGCCGCCAGGACCTTTCCCACCCTCAATGCTCTCGCAAAAGCGCCCTTGGTCGCCGATGCCTTCTCAAAGTCCGGACTGTGCGGCTGTCCCGCCTGCGTGCCTGGGGGGATGGCGAAGCTCGCGTTCACGCTCGGCATGGCATAGCTGATGTTTCCCTGATCCGTGCTCGCCTTGATCCAAGTGAACTGGCCCCCGGACGGTATCGGCGGGTCCGGCAAGTCAGGCAACAAGTTCCAGTACTTCGTGTACGACGCTGCGAGGATGCGATTCGGCACATGGTCGGCATATCCCTGAATGATTTTGACCTCCGCCCTGGCCCCGGTGGCCTCCGCCCCAGCGCGAAAGCAGGCGCTGACCTTTTGCTGGAGCTCTTTGAGTCGGGAAGCACTGCTTGCGCGGATCACACAGACGCCGGCAGCGTAAGCGTGGATGATGTTCGGCGCTCCTCCCCCGTCGGTGATGCCCATGCCGATCACATCGCTAGGCATCGTCTGCTGGCGCAGAACCGACACTGCATTGTATGCGATAACAAGGGCGTCGAGCGCGTTGACACCAAGCCAAGGGCTGTTTGCCGCGTGCGCTGCACGTCCAAAATACTCAACCTCGAGGCGGGCGAAAGCGGTAGTCCGAACTAGGGGGCTATTGTTCAAGATGCCCGGGTGCGAGATGAGGGAGATGTCGACACCCTCGTAGGCGCCTGCGTCGAGGAGACGGATTTTACCGCCTCCGATTCCTTCTTCTCCCGGTGTGCCAAAGATGAGGACCTTGCCAGACAGGTTGTGTCGCTTGATCATCTCGGCTGTTGCAAGACCAGCAGCGAGCGAGGCAGTGGCGATAAGATTGTGACCACAGGCATGGCCCAGATTAGGAAGCGCGTCTAGAGGATATCAGCCACGTCTCTTTCTTTGCACAACTTCAGGGATTGGCGTACCCATCTCAGCGTTGAAGGAGACAACAGGCCCCGCCTTTCCGCTGTCGTAGACCGCTACCCATGCCGTCTCCATTCCGTAGGCCGATGTTGTGACGTGCCAGTCTTTTTGTGACCGCATAAATTTCGTCAGGGCATCATGTGCCTTATGCTCTTCGAAGGCGAGTTCGGGGTTTTCGTGTATGAACTTGTTCAACGGCCACAGAGAAGCCCGAAGACTCTCAATGGAGTTGTCAATTTCGGACAGACGCTCGTGAGAACCGTCTTGAGGGACATTCTCCGCGCATTCGTTATCCATAGGAACGATGATGAAGTCGTCTTCTTCTTCTTTTTCTCCCATCTCTTTCTCTTTCAGATCTGTAAAGCATCGATGCGTCTTGAGTTGCCGCAACTTACCTACCCACCTAGCCCCAGCAGAACAATGGGGTACTCACCTTCGATCATCGACGACGCAATATGAAACGTTCGGCTCAGCAGGACAACTAAACCGGGCGCGTCCAGGATCGGTTGATGTTGCCTGCAGCCAGCCAGGGGTAAATGCCGGCCGGAGTAGGAGGCTCCGTAACGTTCCGGGATAGTTGATCCCGGCAGTTGGAGGAAGTCAATTTGCTCCCAAACACTGGGCCCTTAATACTCGGTTTTCACTCACAAGAATAGAAGTCTCCTCGCAATCAATACTGCCAACGCATATCCAAGATGCACGAGACGCCGCCGGTGGTCAACGGGGACCAAACCAACAAACACCATGTGGCAACGACACTAAATTACTGGGACGATCCAGGGAACGGCGCCCGCCCGACCCCGATATTTATCGGAAAAGGTAGAATCACGAACGAGCGGCCGCACCGTGCCCACAACTTCGTGGTGACCGACGTAAGCGGCGACGAAGACAAGTACTCGCTCGACAGCCATGGATTCCAATACTGCCGCCATGAGAGCCGCGAAAAAGATTTCATCGACGAGCAATCAATTCAATCAGCCTACTACGAGGAATGCAAGCAGCTTCTGAAGGACGTCACTGGGGCCAGCCGCGTCCGCATCTTCAACCACAAGGTCCGCCGTGGACCAACGCAGTGGCATCACCTGGGCTTCAACAACCTCAAGAACCGCGGGCCAGTCACAAGAACACACGTAGACCAATCCTACGCTGGAGCAGAGCTGAGGCTGAGATGGGAGTTCCCAAATGAGGCAGACGAGCTGGTGAAGAGGAGGTATCAGATCATCAACATCTGGCGACCCATCGAGACGATTTTGAAGGATCCCATCGCCGTTGCCGATGCAGATTCAGTTCCGGACGTCGACCTCGTCGGGGCCGAGATGACCGAAGACGACTTCAAGGGAGAGTCCTGGGTTGTTCGATACAGCCCGAATCATCGGTGGTATTACAAGCACCGGATGACACCTCAAGAAGTGCTCCTAATCAAGTGTTTTGATTCGGACACCTCGGTGGCGCGGAGGTCGCTGCATTCGGCCTTTGAGGATCCTGCTCACCGTGACGGGGAGTCCCGGCAGAGCATCGAGGTTAGGTGTTTAGTTTGCTACGATGCTTAAACAACTCTTTGGCTGAGCAGATTCTGTGTCTTCCCTTGATGTCACAGAAATGATATTGCCAGGCCGAAGGAAGAGGCTAATCTTGCCGATTTTGCCATGTTGTATAGTACCAAGGTGGGCTACATAGCAAGCCCAGATGCGGGGAGTGGTTTGGCATGCACTGCATGTGACTCGAAACGTGGCCTTGGCTGCTTCAGATGTGCGAATGATATTGCCAAGCTGAGGGGCAGAGGCTCTTGCCGACTTTGTTATCTTGTATGGTAGTGCATCTTGCTCCCTCAACGCACGGCCAGCGATCTGCCGACAGCAAGGTGGATCCAACACTTTGGTAGAATGCGGCACCGCTCTAGACGAGACATGGAGAGCGGGGAAGCGAGACAAAGCAGCCAACTATACTGTTATGATCAGTAGGAGAAGGTCAATCCTAGCTCAACTATTGTTAAGCCCTTATCTCTCTTTTAAATGATTTAATCAATAATGACTGTCCGATGATCAGTGATTTGTAGAAGGGAGGTCGAATAGCCGCGCTGGCCCTCAGTCATGCACCCAAGGCTGTAGGTATATAAGCTCTGCCAGTTAGTGAGCTGGAGTCACTTTGAGAATAAGTTCGTGCAGTTCAGAAGGAACCTTTCTTATCACTGCTCAGATATCCTTAAGAGTCCCCCGACATCATGGCTCCCGCAATTGACCCCCCGCAAACCGTCGAATGGCAGGGCAAGAGAGTCCCCGTCTGGTCGATGCAGACAATCGACTATGGAATGCTGCTCTCACAGGATCCCGCTGAAGTGGACAAGGTGCTCAAGGCGTGTCTTGAGGAGGGGTACTTCTACCTCGACCTTCAGAGCATCGACGGCCGCCGAATGCTCGCTGACCAGCAGGAGACTCTGAAGCTCATGCACCGCTTCTTCGAGGCGCCGATTGAGGAAAAGAATGAATTCGGGCTGATTTCCTCGCATCTTGGCTATGAGCCGGTGGGCAGCCGCACGGGTGCCTTTGGCGCCGGCACTAAAGACGGATATGAGATGCTGAAGGTGTCGAGAGATGAAATTCAGAGGGGTAGTCCCAAGGTGCCGGCCCCGATCAAGAACAGCGGCGATTTGCAGGTGTTGGAGAATGCCATCGGCAGCTGCAACACTATTACCAAGGTCATTCTCTCGGCTCTCTCCACCGGTATGAACCTGACTGGAGCCTCGCGCTTTGAGAACTCTCACCGCAATGACCGCCCGTCGACCACCACAGTAAGCTTCTTCACCTTCTTGACCCTCACCATGTAAGAGACCTAGTAACTTATCTAATCCTATCCAGCTATCCATGATGCACTACCTCCCTTCGGATGTGACTGGCAACAAGAAAATCGGCCACCAGAAACACACCGACATCAGCTCTCTGACACTGCTCTTCAGCGAGCAGTGGGGCCTCCAGATCCGCCCCCCAGGCACGTGCGGTGCCCGCGAGATGGGCTTCGTTGCCCCGAAGCCGGGCTGCGCTTTCGTCCACGTTGGCGACTCCCTGCGTTTCGCGAGTGGAATGAAGATGCAATCGTGCATTCACCGCGTCGTGCCATTTAACCCGTCCGAGCACCGCTACTCGATCGCCTACTTCCTCAGGGCCGAGGACGACACCATGTTCATGGACAGCGAGGGCCGGTACGTGACAGCCGGGCAGTGGCACGACGAGAAGTTCAAGGCGTTCACCGACCCGTGGCAGTGGCAGGCTATGGCGCCCAAGTCGATGATTCTGGGAGGCATGAAGGAGGCCGGAGAGGATGACCCTACGGGTGAGCCTGCTTTTGTGTCGGCCCCTGCCGTGTCGAAGGAGGAAGTCAAGGAGATCGCCGTCCAGGCGTAAAGTAGCCAATATCGAACGGGTCAGCTTCAAGTAGCAAAACCTGAGGCCCTTCTGCTCAAATAAACCCACTTTTTTTGTGAATGCAAGGTTGTTTCGAATTTGCGCTTCCGAAGGAATTCGCTTAGCGAGCCAACGCGTTGAATATATCGTTCTTGGTTCGGTCCACACCATTTGTTTTAACAACTCTTCTTTCTCAACCAAGCGAAAGGGGAACAGGCCTATCCTTTGCAAACATCTGAAACTCTTTCCTCTTTCCACCATCTCACATGTGGGTGGGTAGACAAGCCACGCATATCTGACGGAACGCCACTTCCGGCAAAGCGACGCATGGTCTTTAGCCAGACCCATTTGGGAAACGGAAAGGCACCAGTCCATTGGCTAGTAGTCGGGGTCTTTTAGCGGAGACGGACAGAGAGCGTGGGGGTCACCGAAGGCTTCCTGGAAGCTCCATGTCCCATGACAGCCGACCGAAATCTGCTTCGTCCTGTGAAGTCATCCATGGAAGAGCGCCATGAGCTGGTTGCCGGGATTTTTGAGTACGGACAGAGGAGCATAACTGCCTTGGCGTAGAGGTTCTGGAGGCGGAAAAGAACCCTTATACGGAACTGCTCTGTGGATAAGGCGTAAGACGCATGAGTGACTGAACCCATGATTCTAATAGGACACGAATTGCTGTGAGGCATAACGAACTGAAGCAGGCAGATGGAACGGAGAGTCATATAGAGAAAGAGGGACTGATAGGGGGATAGGACGAAGGTGGCAGGTGCGGTTTAATGCCAAATTCGAATTTTGAGCTTCTAACTCGGATGTCTAGCAGCGCAATAAGCCACGCGCCCGCAACCTTTTTGAACTTACATACTCCCTCTCCATCTATTTCACATCCCAATGCCCCTTCGCCCACTCGCGCAGTACATTCTTCTTGATCTTGCCCGTACTCGTTTTCGGCAGCTCCTTCACAAGCTCCACCTCTCTCGGCACCATAAACTTGCTAATATCGCTCTTATGCTTTGCCCAATCGATCACATCTTTCCCTTTCATGCTCTCGCCTTCTTTGACGGTGACGAAGGCCTTAGGTCGCTCGCCCCAGTGGGAATCTGGGACTGCGACCACGCCAACTTCTAGGATGGAAGGGTGCGTGGAGAGCATGGATTCAAGGGCTACGGAGGAGATGTTTTCGCCGCCTGCGGTGAAAAAAAATTAGTTTTATGTTTAACGTGTAGAGGGAAAAGGAGTAGGGAGTTCTCACCAGAAATAATAATATCCTTCGCCCGATCTAGGATCTGAATCGCTCCATCGGGATGCCACACTGCAAGATCACCGGAGTGACTGACGCCACCCGCCCAAAGCTTCCTCGTCGCTTCAGCGTCTTTGAAGTACCCCTTCGCGCAAATATTTCCTTCGAACACGATTTCTCCGATTTCTTTTCCGTTCCTTTCCACGTCTACGAGGACGCCCTCCGGCTGATCCGGCTTGATGACCCGCGCGGGCAAAGAGGCAATGAACCCATGGCCCTGCCGCGCCATCTTCGCGTACTTCTCTTTCAGTGGGATCTCTTCCCATTCTGGCATGTGATAGCCTTTTGTGATGGGTCCGTAGGTTTCCGTAAGGCCGTAGACGTGCACGGGGTGCAGGTTGAGGTTCATCATCTGCTCGAACAGCCAGGCGCTCGGCGGGCTTGCAGCAACGGTGACGCGGACAGGGTGTTCGAGCCGTTCTGCTTCCTTCGCAGCGCACAGCAACGTGTTCACCGTCGGCGCGGCGTTGAAATGCGTAATCCCCTCCTCTTTCAACAGCCTCCAAATCTCCGGATAGTCGATTTTGCGTAAGCAGTAATGCGTCCCTCGTACCATTGTAATCGCCCATGGAAAAGTCCACCCTGTCGCGTGGAACATTGGGAGCGTCCATAGATACTTGCACCGTCCCGTATGATAGTTCAGCCCAGACTCGATGACATTGCCCATAGCGGCCAGATAGCACCCGCGATGCGTATACTCCACACCCTTCGGCCTCGCCGTCGTGCCCGATGTATACGCTAGCGCAATGAGACTCTCCTCGTCTTCCGCCTGCGCCTGTAGCCCACTCCAACCCTTCCCACCCGTCTCTCTATCCCACGTCAAACCCTCCAACACTGCGTCATCAAACGGCCCACTCAGCTCCCCTTCCGTCGCATCTAAATCCGTATCCACGATCAACTTCACGCCGGGCCTCTCCTTCTGAAACTTCTCCAACAACCCCTCAAACTCAAAGTCTACGATGATAACATCGACTTCAGAATGCTGGAAGATGTAGCTGATATCGTCGGTCTTGAGGCGGTAGTTGACAGCGACCTGAACAGCGCCGGCGGCTGCGATACCGAAGAGCGATTCGAGGAAGGCGGGCGTGTTGGTTGCGAGGATGCCGACGCGCTTGTGGTTGTGTTTGTGGAGGTAGTAGGCGAGGCCACGCGCGCGGTCGGCGAGTTCTTCATAGGAACGGCGGAGGATCTTTTCGTTGGCAGTTTTGTGGTAGACGGCTATGGCCTGGTATTGTCAGAAGTCTGCACGGGCTCATTGAAGCACGGCTGCGTGAAAGCATCGACGGTCTGGACCGCGCTTTGAGAGTGTCGCGAGATAGTGAGAAATGGACATACATGAGGCTCTATAGATGCCGCTCTCCACAGAAACGCTGTTGGCGACAGCGTATGGAAGTTATGCCTGTGATGGTATTCATGGCTGTCTCCCGGATGTATCTTCGTCTCAGACCCAGGCACAGGAGTTGCAGACGTGAAATGCGAAGCAAGCTTCTGCAGTCGGTCCAAAGGCGACATTATTTCTCCACCCTAACTTTTTCCTACTATCTTTCAGCCTGAAAGCCTCGAGCAACGCGTGCGTGGGAGGAGTAGAAGGCGCTGCGGACTTCCGAAGCGGGTCGACGGAAAGCGGGCGAGACGGTCAATTGATAAGAGACGATCTGTAGGGTAGCTATCGTTTAAGCTATCGTAAGCTTATACCATCGAGTTGTCTTTTCGAGGGCGCAGATGCGGATCTTTTAATCTGGGGAAAGCTGACTGCGGAGGTGGGAGGAGACGACAAAGCCGAGGTCAGCCGTAACAGCCAGTGATTGGCAGCGGAGGTCTTGGTCAAACATCCTCCTATCCGACGGCATCGATTCGTATTCGGAGCAAAGTGCGAGTTTGATGCCAAAGAGAGAGGAACACCACAGTGGATGATGCGAAGGTTGAAGAGACGTCACAGGGAGCGTATCAATGCCGGCGCCGCGGCACACAATGCGCTCGGGGCATGTAAGACCGAATATATCGTCGGCAGGACCGGCTCCATCACGACAACACAGCACCGTGCAGGCCCGAGGTTTTTATTTGTTGTTTCTTCTAGCGGGAAGAGAGTATCTGACCGTGAAGACACCCATGATCTCGCGAGCATTGTTAAGCTCTTTTTGCCTGGACACCGCCCCCAATGGTCGAAATATGTCAGAGGTTGAAAAGATCCCATGAGACCAATGCATTCCACGCCGCCCCACGTCACTAGCCTGTAAAGACACCATCATGCACCCTCCCCTAGTACCCGTACGAGGCAAGCTGCTCCTTGACCTTTCCGTCCACCTTCGCTGTCTTCTTGGCCTCCGCCAGCTGCCTCCGCGCCTGCTTCTTGCGCTCATAGTATGCCGCGCCGTTGACTTTCCTACGCTCCTCGAGACTGCGATAGCGAGATTAGCATGCGCGCAAGCGATGCAAGGACAGACTGGGACATACCGAGCGACGACGTCCTGGTACTTCCAGCCGAACTCGTGGCCGAGACGGCCAACAGTGCAGTACTTGCGGCCAGGCTTCAATCGGAGAACCCTGAGCGCCTGCGGGACGACCATGCGCTTCTTCTTGTCGTATGGTGGGGGCACACCCTCGAAGCACTTGAGGCGCTCCATGGCGGCGGCGCCGCGGGGGGTCTTGTGCGGGATCATGCCACGGACAGTTCGCCAGAACATCTTTGACGGGGCGCGGAAGTGGAAGGGTCCTGTTTAGGGGATTAGCCCAAACTCAAGCTCCCATTGTGCCGTTGCCCCAGTCTGATAGAAAGCGTGCGGCCGTAGCAAAGGGAATCTTACCTCCTCGCGTCGGGTTGTAACGGGTCTGCTTGCGGAGGAAGGCCTGGTACTTCACTACAAATCCAAGCAAGTCAGCAAATCAGTTCTTGTTCACATGGAAACGGACGTGGAAGCTCTTCGTTCGGAACCAGAGACACGCCGGTTTCCATCACCAAACTAATGCCGTCCCCATCCTTAATTCACACGGTATGTCTCTGGCTCCGTCTGTGCATCGGCTCGGAATCATGGGTGTAGACGTACGCTTCGCGCGGAAGAACTCTCCGGAGATGTTGAGGGCTTCGCAGCGCACCACAACGATCTTCTGACCATTGAGGAGCTGCTTCGCGATCGTGCTGGCCAGGCGACCGAGCAGGTGGCCCTTGCCGTCGATGACCTTCGCACACGTTAGCCAGATGCTCTGATAGCAAAGTGTCGGTTGTGTTGTTCAAATGGGGCCATGGCTTGCCGTCTGCCAGCGACTGCCGGCAGTGCAGCCAATCCATCGTCATGAAAGGGGGTGTACGTACGATGACCGGCTCAAAGGACGACATGGTGCTCGAATCCGGGAGGTGGTGCTGTTGTTAGTATAGGCGTGGGTTTGGAGTTGTCGATGCGAAATGTCGGCCTGTGTGGGCTCGGGTCTTGGCGGCTAGCCGAGCGCGCGAAGTCCCAAAGCGGACTAGCGGAAATGGCATCGCCCGCAGGACGCTCAGCACTTCATAACTCCTTCCGCCCCCAAGGCTCTAGGAGTCGGCAAGTTGATCCATACCTAGGTAAGCATCTACCATGACTACAGGGCTTTGTAACTTTCCTGTCTTCTCTTCCATTCTATGAGAGTCTGCCCAGGTGAACTCTCAGGTTGATTCCTCCGGCGCATCATCCGTCCTTTGATTATGTCGTCAGCGGAAGACGCGTACATTCGACCGCGCTTCAAGCGGTCGCAGGCGCACACTCAGGTCGCTAGAACGATCAAACAGCATCACACGATAGGAGCACTGCTATAGCGAACCCATGCAAACTTCACCCAGCGTGACCTGATTTCCATTTGCTCCATTCTCCGCCAGCCTTGAATTGTCCATTGTCACGGTCCCTCCACTCGCTCGTTTAGCTCGCCCGTTCGGATCCTCGTCCTCGGCAGCTTGCTTGAGAGTTTTCCTTCGCTCTCGTTCCGACACCAGAGGTCTTCTTCATGTGCTATATCAACTGCCTTCGCTGCGATGAACTGCGGAGATGGGCTACGGACCTGACTAATGTCTTGAAATTAAGAGGAGGGATGGGACCCTGCATTAATTGTCCTTTTCCGTTGAAGACCTTCGGATACGGCTTCCCGGGGTCGGATTTAAGCACACCGATATATGTGCCCAACTCCATATCTGTCTTTGGCCGATTGTCGCCGCTTTCATGGCACAAGATAGATTACCTAAAGGTGGGTGCAATCTAGCGGTTGAACGAGTCGGCTTCCGTTCCAGATTGGCGACGGCAAGACAAGCAATCTCCACGTGGGCCACTTCCAGAACCGGGACTAAAAGGGAAAGGGCATCCAATACCACTCTTACTTTTGTCGAAGCGAGAGAAATCAGAGCCATCAGGTTCAGCCGTGACTGCCTGCTCCTCTTCAATACCGAAGACGACTATTCTAGAACTCATGATATTTGTCTGCGGCCGGACATATCATCCTGATTGCGTGTCGGTATCCGTTTGATAGACGCGTGGAGAATCTATGAGCGGACTACGGCTGTTTATTAGCGTTACCGACATGACGGTAAGCGTGGCCTTAGGAAATCGCGCCTTCGCTCTGTCCCCACCCCGAATCTCCCACTCGAACTACTGTCTTGTATTTGTGCCTGAAGCACTCCTCATCGGCTTCGTCATAGATGGGGACTCCAGCACTGGCCAAGAGAACAGCTTCTAAAGCATACTTGTGGATACAACCGGAGGATCATGTCCCCACAACACAGAATTTCTACGCACTCTCGAGGACATTTTTCTGGACTCCATGCAGGATCGGTTGACCAGATCGTCTTTGCTGTTGCGCATATCCACCGCAAGCGACAGATTGAGCGTGTGGGGTACCTCATGCGGGGTCAGTCAAAGATAATACGCGGTATGTTCAGGGGCAGCTTCGGAGATGCAATGACTGTGATTGAGTTCACGCCGCGGCTCTCGACGAGACGCACTCTTCGCAGGCTCATGTGCCCAGCCCGAAGCCACCTACAGTAGTGCACATTGTGTTTCCTGGGCGTCTTGATTGCATTGGCGTATGCAGTTGTCAGGCGATTGCCTCGCTCAATATCTGCAATCCGGATTTGGAGTGGCTTTTCGGAACTCGGCACGCAAGAGAAGCACGAGTCGCATTTTAACCAAGGGAGGACTCATTGTCTGCGCTGCGGTTGTTTGTCATTCCGCATTATTCAGAGACTCAGCCCCCTGTTGCTGATGCATTCCCGACTCGCTCATCACAGCGTACGGAGTGTATCGTCTGCTTGGCCTATACTGATGCTACGTTCAAGCCCCCCTTGGCGTGGCTGAGCCGTAGCCGTACCGGCGTGAAGGCGCACTACGTAATTCTGCGTGGGCAGTCGAGCAGCGCTAAGCGAGCGAGTGCCGCAACGCTAGAACGCAACGCCGGCTTCCACGATGATCAGTTAATACCGTCTTGCACCAACAGTTAGCAGCACAAGGCGACCCCGCCACGAGGCAGCCCTCCGCTGGGCTTGACATGCACGGTCAGACACAGTTGGAGCCAGTGGGCCCTAACCACTCGCGTCCCGGATGCGGCCACCAGGATCCAAATCTATGGGCATGGAACCGCTACGCCATACAGGAAGACTAGCCAAACCCCAAGGCGTTTGGTGTCGCCGCGACCGGCCGACACCGTCCGGTCCAATGCCCGACCTCGCATATGGGTTCTTTGTCCCTAGGTATGCGGGGCCCTCCCGTCCATAGGTAGCGACTGCTTTGCGTCGGCTAGTGTCCTGTCCTGTAAGTATGACCTCCAGTTCGGTATTGGATTGTCTAATAACAGGGCGATAGGCGAGGTTGCGAGCCTTTTGCGGTCGAGCATATGAGAGACAGCAACCGCATTACGGAGTGCCAGTATCGGGAGATGATCGCCGCCCCCTGCCCTTGAGATACGGGCTTCTTCCCCATATTGACGCTATTCTTAGGCTCCACGTTGGAGCACCTCGCACTGGAAAACAATATGGGGCCTGCAAGCGGTAGCGTGCACTCCGTCCGAATCCACATGCCCGGCTAATTCGCAGCGCGTCTTTCGGGCTCCTCACGGGGAAAGGTGGCGTATGCGCGCCCGGAAGACCTTCCTCTTCATTGCGCGCCGCAGAGTGGCTTGGTCGCACTGGTGGGGTCGGGCATGCCACAAACGACACAAGGAGGCTCATCGCCAATACTCCACACGAGACCGGCGCCGTCTCCCGTTGCTGATCGCTGCTCCAAAGGGCACGCTCGGGGTGCGAGGATGCACGAGAGCGACGAAAGCACAGCCAGGACGACAGGCTGCAATGGAACAGAAGATCAGTAATAATCGCTTAGTGGCAGGGCACGGAGGCGCCAGCCCTTTAAGCCCGAGATGTGTGCTGCTATCTCCGTCATGCTGCGGCGCCGACGGGCACTGCCAGACTGCCGTGAAGTGTTGAGGCGGAATCTCCTCCTCGCCGAGTTGTCTTGCCTACAGTACAGCGCGTTATCGCTGGTGATCGCTGGGCGACGAGCCGCGCCTGTGGCAGTGCCGGCATTTGTGATTTTCCGCATATGACGCCACAGTGAGCGCCGGGCCCGATACGCGAGGGTAAGAGCCAAGAGAAGACGAGGAATGCACCGCCGCTTGTGAAGAGGCGCCAATCTCCCGGCACGCAGGCGCACGCGTTTCCCGGAGCCCTACTGGCGTCACTCTCGCTGCTGCAGTTCGCAAGCGGAGACGTCCGACTCCCGCCAACCCTCGAAGCCTCGGCGCTACTCCAGTTCTGCCCTTGCCCTCAGAGCCGTTGGGTCCACTCAGTCCCAATCACACTGGCCATTCACCCTCGAAGCTTTCACGCTCCCGCCGCGCCCCTCCCCGCCGCTTAGTCACGTCGGCGGAGTGCTCTTGTGGATTTCGTTCTTAGCTCGCGCAGGCCCCCCGTCGTCTGCGATGCTTCCCTCGTGTGCTACACCATGGCCGCTGCTACCTCCCCGGACGTCGACATCCAGCACACTGAGACTCCGCCGTTTGATGACGCAGCCGACGCTGCTGAGCAGTCGCCAGCTGAAGATGATGCAGACGAGATTCCCGCGAAGCCCGCCTCGGCGCCTATGCAGAAGCGGCGCAGAGTAACTCGCGCATGGTACGCCCTCCCGCAATTCCGCCCCCCCGCAAGCAAAATCCGACCCGTCTCTAATACTTCGCAGCGACGAGTGCAGGCGCAAGAAGATCAAGTGCGACGGGAAGCAGCCCTGCACGCACTGCACCGTGTATAGCTATGGTGCGTCTCCCGTGGCGAATCACAGCGAGCCGCGCGCCGCTTCGCACACTGACATAGCGCGCAGACTGCACCTACGATCAGCCTTCAAATAGAAGGCGCACCGCAGCTCCTCAGTATATCGAGGCGCTCGAGACGCAGCTCAAGCGCGCCAAAGCTGTGCTAAGTCTCGTGTTGCCCACTTTGGATCTCAACGACTCCAGCATAGACGCCCAGCTCCAGAATGGGGTGCTCCCGCAGTTTCCCATGGGTCCGCCGCGGCCCCAACCAGCCCCAAGCCAGCCGTACGCTGCGCCGCATGGCGGGAGTCTGCCTAGAGAAGACATGCCGGACTCGCATCTTGAGTCAATGGTGAGGGCGACGGGCCAGCTAGACCTCGATGAGGATGGGTTCTGGGACTATCACGGCCACTCCTCTGGCCTGATCTTCATGCAGAGGCTTCAGCAGCAGTATGGGGACATCATCACTGGGCCGCCGCCCAGCAGCGCGCCGTTTGTTGTCAGATATCGCCCCATGTCTCAAGCTTTAGATTCTCCGAATTCTCCTGCAGACTCTGCGAGCGTGCACCCCGCTGGTACTGACTTGCCGCCTAAGAAGAAGGCAAGAATGCTATGCGACAATGCTGTGCTCGAGGCCGGAGCAGTTCTGAGAGTTGTGCATCTGCCGTCGTTCTACAAGTCCTTGGATCGTCTATACGAGGTTGCGCCCGACGACTACGGCAACGCCGAGAACACCTTCTTGCCATTGCTCTATGCTGTGCTAGCCCTAGGGACGCTCTTCTCCAAGGGCAGCGGGGAGCTTGATAGAGCTGGCTACGAACCCAATGTTGATGAGGGGTAAGGGGTCTGCCCACGTAGTATCCAGATTTCGACTGACACCCTACAGCTATAAATACTTCCGCGCTTCTCGTTCGCTTCTAGACATCACCGATTGTAGAGATCTAACTTCTCTCCAAGCCATCGTGTTCATGATCCAGTTCCTTCAGAGCTCGGCCAAGCTCTCGACTTGTTACGCCTACATTGGAGTTGCCCTTCGATCGGCTATACGCATGGGACTGCACCGCTCGTTCAACGTCAACTTCACACCAATTGAGGCCGAGACTCGAAAGCGCCTTTTTTGGGTCATCCGACGCATGGACATCCATGTTTCGGCTATGCTTGGGCTACCCCACTTCCTGGAAGACGAGGATGTCGATCAGGACTATCCCACTGAAGTTGACGATGAGTATATCACGGAAACGGAAATTCGGCCCATGCCAGAGGGGAGAATCTCTATCACCGCGGCCTCCAATGCACACGCCAAAATCGTGCAGGTGCTCCTCAAGATCTGCAGATATGTCTACCCCACAAAAGGGACTCGATCAGGCGGCAAGAACGCAGTATCGTATACAGTAAGCTATTCCAAAGTTCGAGAGATCGAACAGGACATGCAGCGGTGGTTAGACAACCTGCCAATGGCGCTCAAGCCTGGTGGAGAAGCTCCGCATATAATCATCAAGTGAGCTGCAGCATATGCCGCGTATCCATGTATCCCACTCACAAGCTTACAGGTTGCAACAGCTTCTGCGCATGTCATACGGCCACGCCCAGCTGCTTCTTTACAGGCCATTCTTGCATTACGTCTCACCAACCTACCGCAACAATCCTTCGGTCGATCAACGGGCTTTTGCTTGCGCATCCGCTTGCATCAGTGTCTCCCGCAATATCATCCACATCACCGCCGAGATGAAGAAGCGCGGTCTCCTCATCGGGTCGTACTGGTTCTCCATGTACACGACATTCTTCGCCATTGTTTCCATCCTTTACTTCGTCCTCGAGAACCCCAACAATGCGACCAGCCATGAGCTATTGCGCGATGCTATGGAAGGCAAGGAGCTATTGTCATACTTCGCAAAGAGAAGCCAGGCAGCGGACAAGTGCGCAGAGACCATCGGAGTAAGTAAATCCACGATTATATGAAAGTACCAAGCATCCTGACCCTGGATAGACAATCATTGAAAAACTGCCAGAAGCCGTCAAACGCGGCGCGGATGTCGGAGAGAGCAAGAAGCGTCGACAAGGTAGTACCCAGTCCATGCAAACCCGCCCCAACATGCTCAGAAATGACGCTCTTGTTGCCATGGGACCCCGCCGCGCTTCAACTTTTCCGGAAAGCATGCCTACTGCCCAGCGGACCTCACTACCACTATCCCAGGCCCACCTGGCGAATCTCGGAATTGATCCTGCATACAACTCACCTTCGCAGTCTGGCTCTGACTTCTTTGATGCGGTGCCCGGCCTTACGCCTACGTCGACCACGGCAAGCAGTTTTGGTAGCTATGGGCTAGGATCGGGATCCACACCTCAGCAGCGTCCTCCCCAGACCTTCCCTCCCACACCCGTGGGTTTTCCTGATCCTGCAGGCCTCAACGTCCCCCTCACCGACATCTCCACCATGATGTTCCCGTCAGCAGATCCGATGGCGTATCCCAACCAGCCTATGACTACCTTTGAGGATAGCCATCCTCAGACCTTCGGCGTAAAGCACGATCCGACGAGTGGGCCGCGCCCACCATTCCAAGTCTCGGACATTGACATGCAGCCAACCCCACCAGCTTTTAGTCCGGGCAGGATGCCAAACCTACCAATGGGACCCAGGCGCTCCGATACCGAGGTCCAGCTGTTCGGCCCTATGCCTATGTATCTCCTGCAAGAGGCACAGCAAAGAGGTCTCCAGCCACAACACAACCCCCAAAACGTTCCCGTTCCTAGCCAAGAGACAAGTAATGTGAACTTTGATGACCTGTTCGGTGGTGAGGAATGGGCTCAGACATTCATGGACCCTGGCCTGGGACTGAGCGGTAGCAGTGCAGGCTTTGGCAACAACCCTCCTTATCCTACCGCAGGTCCAGGAATGGGTAACTGGCGATGACAATTGTTAAGAAGGGGGAGAGGTGGGAATGACGGCTGCGGGCACAAAGGCAAGACAAATTCAAAGGGCATCGCGCGCTCGCGAACATTGACGATCTCTCCGACAGCCACACGGCAGCCCACATGTACAACAGCGCGCATCAGCGCATCTACAAATGATATACTCTCATACCGTATACGTCGAACATGCGGGACATTGCAGACGATTCTACGCAATGCAGTCTCTCGCTAAACATCGCTCGTTCTGGAAACGGCACTTCCTTATGGATTACGGATTCAAATTCACAAAATGATACCCATACCTTGTTTCAGGTCGTATCAGCCAGGCTGGTTCCAAGGCGGGGAGAAGAGCAGGGGCTCTTAGGCGAAAAGTTCAATAGTCGGTCGTTTCAGCTTTCGATTAAAACGACACATTCCATCTTGTTGATATACCCCCGGGGTTTTTGTGGAATACCCGTTGGACGAAAGAGGTTGATGATTTTGCGTATTTCATATTGGGGTGCTGCATTCTCTTGATCTTGGCCGCTCAATTGGAGCCACGAATAGTTTAGATGGGATTTGGCGTTCTTGGCTTGAGTGTCCGTGGCGGTTTATTTCCGCTTCATCGACCATCGCTATTACATGCGTTACTTATGGAGAGAGGACGAGGCACATGAAAAGAGGCGGCTGTCGAACACCAGGCGGAGGAGTGTTTTGACAAAAGTTCATGGTGTGACTACATAGGACTTGTACATACAGGGTAGATAGACGAAAATGAAGTGAATTACTGCAACTTTGCGGTGACGCTCATCCCAAGCAGAACCTGTGAGAACATCGAGATCGGAAGATTTGAGCTTCGGAGCCCGCGAAACGATTGAATAATACAGTGGAGAAAGGACTTTTTAGAGCTTGGCTGACGATCTGAACCTAGCTAGGAGGATAGGTTTCATGTGGGGCGTTCCTGCGCGGGAGTGAATATTGCTGATTGGCCGCCACGAGCACGGACGGGGAAGTGGCGCCACACACAACCTTCTTCCATGACTGCACTTTGATTTCAGCCTCGCCAGCCGACCAACCACACCATCCATCCGTCCCTGACTCACTTCGACTTCGCTGACTCACCTCCGCCACATCCGCTTCTCAAATACACATTCAGCTGAGATTCTATAGGCAAACTAGCAAAATTGCGAGAAAAGAGTTATTCACACGGGCGGTCCTGACGATGGCACGAGGCGGAAGAGGTGGACGCAACCCAAGGGATTTGCCCAGAGAACAGCAGGTTTCGAGGAAGGTCAGCTGGCTTTTGAGGCATGGGGCGGGACAGGAGGGGTTGACGTTGGGGAAGGGCGGGTATGTGAGTGTTGCGGATGCTGTGAGTATTCCTCTTTCTCTCTACCATGGTCCTTTTTCATGCTTCGCGTATTGGAAGCACTTTGGAAGAATTCGGAAAGGCGCACTTGTAGTAACAATATGAGGCTGAGGGCTGATATGAACTAGCTGAACACTCGCGCTCTCCGATCCCTCAAGGTCACATTCCCGGAGTTAAAAGAAGTGGTCGCTACAAACGACAAGCAACGTTTCTCCATGATCCCGGCCTCGACTCTTTCCGAGACACCCGATATCGTATCACCACCGCTGGAGAAACTAGAATCCGATGCCCTCGCTTCAATCCCGGAATCCGACGACCCCGCTGACTATCTCATCCGGGCCAACCAGGGCCACTCTATCAAGGTCGACGCTGAGGGTCTACTAACCCCGATCACCGAGGAAGCGGGCAATGTGCCGGAAGTCGTGGTGCATGGCACAGATGAGCCAGCATGGAAGCTGATTCTGAAGAGTGGCGGGTTGAGGAAGATGGGGCGGAATCATATTCATTTCGCCGCTGGACTGCCCAAAGGGTTCAAGATCCAAGACTCTACAGCGTCGGCGGAGGAGAAAGAAGCACAGCCGGTGATCTCTGGGATGCGGAAATCTTCCACTATTCTCGTCTACATTGACATCAAGAAGGCTATGGAAGCGGGGATCAAGTTCTTCGTCAGTGAGAATGGGGTTATTCTCACCGAGGGGAATGAGAAGGGGTCCTTGCCGTATGAGTTCTTCGAGAGAGTTGAGTCTAGGAGGAAGGATGGGGGTGTGTTGATGGAGGGGGGAATGCTCCCGGAGGGGGTGGTAGTAGACGTGGAAGAGTGGCAGAGGGAGGTTGGGGATGTTGGTGGGAGAGGCAAGAGAGGCGGTAAAGGGGGTAGAGGTGGAAGGGGCGGTGGAAGAGGAGGTGGAGGGAAGGCACGAGTGATTGATGATTCGGGGGACTTGTTGGCGGGTGTTTGAGAGGTGTGGAGTGGGCGCGAAGAGCTTCAGCATCAGAACGGCCTCATGAAGACCACGAAATGAGAAGGCGAGCGCGTGCATAGACGATAAGAGCAAAGCCCCAGCGGCTTTCGCAGAAGGCTGCTGGAAGACCAGCAGATTTTAAGTGGACATGCATCGAGCGTTGCAGTGCGACTCCGACCGCGACATAGAGTGAGGTGACGGTGATGCCCTTGCTCAGCCGTCATAGTGGTGATGGCCACTTTCTCGGTTCGGTTGTCTGCAGCCGCGGGCGGACATGATTGGCTGTCGACAACGGGTGCGCTCCTCCCGCCGTTAACCTCCACGACGTCTCTCTAATTGGACACGGCGAGCCTCATTGTCTCACTACCTTCCTCTACTGACTAAACCATCAACTTCACAACCTTGGATGTCCGTCATGCGTTCAGCACAGCATCGGGAGCCATGTCTGCGAATTCCGGGTCTCCTCTCCGGCCGCTCCTACCTGCCATTGTATCGGCCCGCAGAAAACCCCCAGACGATGGGGACGGGGACCAGCAAGCATCCAAGAGACAGCGCGTCTCAGCAGCATGCGAGCCCTGCCGCGCCCGAAAAACAAAGGTAAACCCGCTCGCTGCACTTCTAGAGCCCCACGGTGATCTTTCGAAAGGTTAACTCGTACCGTAGTGCGACGGCGAGCGCCCCGCCTGCGGCGAATGCGACGCAAAGCAGACAGCGTGCCGCTACGCGGAGACGGAGGCGCGCAAGGTGAGGCACAAGTACGAGCAGCTACGCAGCCGCCAGTCGGTGCTCGAGCAGTTGTTTGAGTTTCTCAGGACTGCGCCTGAGCAGGACTCGTTTGAGATTCTGCGCCGCATCCGCACGGGGAGCGATGCGGAGACTTTGCTCAATCAGATCCAGGAGGGGAATCTCCTCATGCGCCTCTCTCGCGCTGGGGACTCGCCGTCGATATGAGTTGCCGTATCTTCTGGAGTGCCTGCTCGTTTAATGTTGGATGGAATTCTGAATCCGGATTCCTTGGTCTACGCGGCCACATTCACGCCTACTTCCTGTATCCGAATCCGACTAAGCCATTTGCCCAGAAGGAGCTGTTCCTGGAGAATATGGCCTTTAGGAGAATGCGGCTCGCTTAGCCATAGTCCTAAAGCAATCATCCGCCATTTTCAAGCCATGTTCGAAACCCCGCAACGCCTTTTCTACTTCCAGCATAGGTACTAAGCCCTCGACCGTTGGAACACACTCTAGTATCTTCCTTGGCAACAGCACCATCTCCTCGCTCTACTCCGCCTGCCAAACCCTAAACTTCAACCCTTTACGAAGCGTCGTCGCCTCCGTCTGCTCCATGCTCATCCTCTTAACCAAAGGCCTCGAGGGGCGGGGTACTAACTACCACATCGCAAAGCTGGCACGTATCATCTTGTAGAGCTACATGTCTCTCGGGGAGCTGCAGTGGATAACATTGTTCCATATAACGAGTGGTGTTGGGGAGGGATATAGAGTAGAGGAGGAATTCGTAGAGTCAGCATTCGATTCTTGTTGCTAAGTTAAACGAAGATCCGAGAACAGTACGGTTGGACTTTAGTAAGCTATTCCGAGGGCGTGGAGTTGGACGGTTAGAGTGAGTTTGGGGAGAGCGATGCGAGTGAGGGATTGGCTCTAGTCGCGGCTGTGTCCGCGGCTCGAGATCGTAGCACTTTAGCAAGCTAAGAGCAGACGGTACTTACATAGCATTGGCACATTGTTCGACTCCGTAGACATGCGAGTGGTCCAGAGCAAATCGCTCGTCGGCCTTCCCGAACGTCTCAGCCTCATCGCCGCTAGGACTGGCTTAGCGAGAGGCTGAGGCTGGACCACCGCGTGACAGCTCAGCCTCGACCTTCTACTGTCAATCTACACAACACCTCCCCCGCAATCGAGGAGCAAAACAGCACATAAGGCCGAAGTAATTGACCTCAGGAACCCAGGCAGAGTCCTCAAAAACACAGACCCCAAGGTACGGAGGACCCCCACCCACAAGGCCGAGTAGTCCCGCTATCCGCCTGCACGCACCCTCCGGCTCCCTAGGCGTCACTGCCTCCTGCTCTGGGCACCTGACGCTGCCATGATCGAATCCAAGGCTCGGATATCTTCCAAGAATTTGCAGTGCCTAGGAAGAGGCCCTTCTTTTCCGGAGCGTGAGCTCGCAGGCGGTCTGAATGGACTGCGGCTTGGCGAGCGCAAAGCCGACAATGCTCTGGATCTCCAGCGCGGCAAGAAGGATGCCCCGGATTTGAAGTTCGCTTTGGAGAAGCCGCGGTTTCGCATCGGACTCCCTTCCATGAATGGAGCCATCGTTAGTACTGGTTCGAATCACTCGTCCGCGGCTGAGGTTGACGGTGCAAAGCTTCCTGCCGCTTCTTTCGGCAGTGCAAATACTTCGGAGGCTGCGGTGCTAGGAACAAGGCAGACCCCGACACTCCCTGACGTTGGCACTTTGGAGAGTTCGCTCCGATCGATGCTCAACCTCTCCCAGCCGGGCGCAAGCACACCACTCGACCACCAAAGAAGACCGACTCCAAACTCGCCCTTAGGGTCTAGTCAGCTGCTTTGGCCCGGTAGAGCACCCACACTCAACTCTCTCCCAATACCCAGCTTTCTCTCCAAGGCTAATCCACCCTGGGTGGCCGGGGAAGGTTCATCGGACCCGCCGGTTTCGTTGCCGAAAGGAGGCTTCAATTCTTCGGTGCCTTCATCGGCCAAGCCTTACTCGCCTATTTCGACCTCTCTGGTGCCTGGTGTTATTTGCCCTCTTTGCTACAACAAAGAGTACTGGTACTTTCCCTCAGAAAGCGAATTCAGGCGGCACGTTGCCCAGCTCCATCCTTCCGAAGACGTCCAAGACCTTCTCCGACGGTACGATTAGCTCCGTTTTATGCGTTATAGCTACTAAACTCTTCGTCTTAGATTGCCACCGCCATCGCAACTACTACCGCGCCTCTACGGCATCGGAGCTGGCCACGGTACGCCCATATTTCCCGGGCAAGGGCCGGACAACGATAGGCCTTTCAAGTGCGACCAGTGTCCGCAGAGCTTCAATCGTAATCACGACCTGAAGCGCCATAAGAGGATTCATCTTGCGGTTAAACCTTTCCCTTGCATTTACTGTGACAAGAGCTTCTCGCGCAAGGATGCCCTTAAGGTAGGTTGGATATCATTCTATGCCTGCTAAAGCTAGATGCTGATCTCTCCTCAGCGGCATAGGCTCGTTAAAGGTTGTGGCAAGGTTGCAAATAATGCGGAATCCAAACCGGAGAAGACCGGCTACCTTCCGAAGGTGGGTAGAGGTGAGAAAGATCAGCTAGAGAACGAACGAGGGTATCCAGTTAGTCCCTCGAGCCCAGTGTCAAGGCGAAGCACAGCGAGGTCGAAGCGGTCTGGAAATGGAAGGCGTTCCTGCATGCACATGCATTACACTATCTCACAAGACAACACTATCGAGGGAGCGACTCGGAACAGGGAAAAATTCATTGCGGTCAAGGACCGTCAGAGAGTGCTCCCGGCAAAGGGTCAGAGTACGCAAAATGTGCCTGTGCATTTGCGTACATCTTTGGAACGCGATCCGAGTCGGGCCCTGCCAGACTCGTCACAGAGTTCGCGAGTTTCCAAGGCGACGCTCCTGAGCTACGAAACGGAACTCATGCTTCTTGAGCAGCAGAACAAGAAGCGCCTCCTCGCGGCTCGGAAAGAGGTAGCTTGAGTAGGAAAGGGGTCAACAACGCGAGCATAGCGGCGGAAGCTACCCTCAATCTGGGAAAGGCATGAACCGGATCGCCTTTGACATGGAAGGCCGAAATGACCAGCTAAGCTGCTTGATTTTGCTGATTCATAACGTCAGACTGTTCTGTTTTGGATGTACAGTAAAGACGAAGGGCAGAAGATTGTATAGAATCTTACTACGACCTGACTAGCTCTACGCATAGCAAAGCAGCAAAACTTCCATACCAATACGCCCCAAGAAAGACAAGAAAACAGTCTCATCTGATTCCCTCCGCCTTTGCGTATTCCTCGTCGGTATGGCCCCGCGTACCAGTAATATACTCCTCAAACTCATTCGCAACCTCCAGCGCTTGGTCAATATGCGTATAAGCAAGTATCTCCTTCCTATACCGCGCTAGCTGCCTGGCAGTGTTAATGACATTCCTAATCTGCCTCCCGTTCAACTTATGCTGCGCCAGCATATTCAACTTATCACTTAGCTCTTCTTCCTTCACCTTCTCCTCCGCCTCCAGCATATCCCGAAAGAACATGTCCCACACTTCAAGCCGATCCTTCCTATCCAGCGGCGGATAATGCATCGCGAGCTGAACCCGGGACTTGAACGCTTCGTCAAACGTGCCCACGCGGTTGGATGTCAGGATCAGGATTCCTTCAAAGTACTCAAGCGTGCGAAGGAATACGGATACGAGCGCGTTGCGTTGGAGATCGGTGGGCGTGCGTTCCTCGAGGAAGACGTCCCCCTCGTCGAGGAGCACGACGCAGCGCCAGATGGTGCCGATGTAGAGGACGGATTCGAGGTATTTTTCCACGCTTTCGGGGTCGGTACCGATGTCGCCGCAGGTGACCCTGTAGAGCGGTCGCTTTGCGTACTCAGCGATGCTTTCGGCCGTCAGTGTCTTTCCGGTCCCTGGGCCTCCGTGGAGAAGTAGGATGAGGCCTTTTCCTTTTCCCTCGATGATGTCGGCTTTTTGGGGCTTGTTCTTGGAAGTGTGGATGGTGACGAGGGCTTTGATGAGCTCTTTCTTGCGCGGCTTGAGGACGAGCCGTCGGTCGAAGGTGTCGCTGCTCCAATCTACGTCGCGGATTTGCTCGACTGGGAGCTTGCTCCACTTCTTGTCGTGGAAGCCATAGCCGCGTATGGTTGCGGGGAGAAGAAGCAGAAAGCCGTCCTCGGGAGGGGACTCTTCGTTTTCTACCCCGTTTCCATCGTTGGCGTGGTCTTCGATTGCCTCTGGGTGCATCTGTCTGTAGGTATTCAGGTCGATCATGAACCGGTTGCACGTCTGATTTCGATTAATACGTGTTGCGATAAGGGCGCGTCCTCGTATACTCACTGCTCGAAACTCAAAGCTCAGTGTCAAAGAGTCGCACTCCACGAGCCGCTGTTTCCTGCACTTCCAGAACTGCTGGCCGCGACTATACAGTCTCTCCTTCACACCGCCCTGGTCGAACTTCAGAGGATATATCGACAGCGACGACATGTGGATCGTGTGCTCAGAGGAGGGCCATTCTACAGTCCAATTGCTCCGCTTCCTGAAGAACCGCCCGTCGAATTCCCAGTTCCAGCAGCTCAGACCGACGCGAAGGTCGCTGTTCTGCGGGAACCCAGAGACCATGTAACCAAGCGGCCCTTCGTCCGTCGTCCGAACGATGATGTCGTCGGGCGCGAATAACTTCGCAAAATGGCGCTTGGTAACCACGCCCGCGGCAAACTGGTGATCGGCTTCTGCGTACTCCTGGGCACGGGACGTCTGGATGAAGTTCATCAGGCACGCCGTATGCGCGCGTTGCATGTCGGGCAGCCAGCTCGTCGGCTGCAGGATCTCGTTCGCCATGAGCGTCCGCGCATGGTACATGCCCAGGTACGGCGCGTCCTGGGAATCGGGCAATTCCGTCTCGATGAAGTACTGCGGATACCGGGCCCGGCAGTCCTTCATCGCGTCCTTGAGCTCCTTGGCGATGAAGTAGATCTTCTCGCTCACGACGTCCGCCTCGGGCCCGTCGTCGTCCAGGAAGGTGAGCTGCGACTTGAAGCGGCCGAGTGCCTTGGCGATGCCGTCGGGCATGGGGAGCGTGCGGAAGGCATCCCGGGCCAGCTGGAGGTCGTGGTACTGGCCACAGTCGTAGCTTTTGACCACGTTGAAGCTGATGTTGGGGTTGTCCTCGGCGAATTCTTCGCTGAAGATGTCTTGGTTGATGCGCGTGCGCCCGTGCAGAGCTACCGTCCTGCTGTCGCCGGCGAAGAGCCGGGGCGTGTCCGCGTACAGCGCATCGCGGTGGTCGGGATGCCGGGTGCAGGTCACTTGGTGCACGATGAGAAATCGTGGCTCAATGACTCCGTTGGCGTTACTGGCGACATCGTTCCTCGCGCGTTTGGCGCCATCGTGCAGTCGGCGATCGCTGTGCCGGCGCTTGATTCCTTGGGTTGGGGGAGCTTCCATGACGGTAGTAGTGCCTGGAGTACTGCTAGAGCGGATGAGCTAGCGGAGCCGCTTCAAGACACTAGAGCATCTCAGGCCGCGTAAAACGGACTCGAAGAAAGACGATGTTTCTGAAGGTGCAAAGGCTGGATTTTGAGGTTCAGCCTTGTGAGGGGCCACGCGCTGCTGCGGCTACATGGGCGCGTTCTAGCTCGGGCAATCAGCGTTCGACCTGCACGTCACACCAGGCGTCGACCTGCTTTTTCTTCAGCCTCGCTCAGCCCCCAACACAGCCCCGTTCAGCGAGCCTGCCTCGACAATGGCATTGACTTCGGTGGCTGCTCTACAACGGACTGTCCATCCCTTCGTATTTCGTTATAAGAAGACCATCGACAAGGACCGGTGAGCGGCGGACTAAGGAGCTTATAGCGCGTCTGCTGCCTTGGATGCTCGCCTGGCCGAGAACCGCCTAGTGCAGCCTGAAGCACACCTCACAGCTATCCGAGCCAACTCGGGCAGTAAGAAAAGATGCAGTCCGATTCCGCTTCCGAAGATGACGCTCTGACCGCGTATCGTGCGATGATACGGTCTCACTACGCACCAGGCGACGACGCAAGAGACATCGCGCAAGAAGCCTACGACACCGCCTGTGCCTTCATCGAGACGGAGCTCAAGGGCAGTCCCGAAGCAAAAGCAATCCGGAAGTCCGGGCACACAATGCAAGACATTCAAGCGCTCGTCGACCAAGCGAAGGCGCACTACGACCGGGCCCAGGACGGCAAGAAGATCTGGAAATGGCTGGACAAGGTCTCCGCTCGCATCATCTTCTACGGCCGCGTCCTGGATGCTCTTGCACAGCACCATCCCGAGTATGTGGCGCTTGCCTGGGGCACCTTGAAGTTCGTCTTGATGGGCATACTCAACCACGGCCGCCTTGTCCAGGAGTTCAGCCAGGCGCTCATCCAGATCGGCGATGCGCTCCGCCTTACAAAAGAAACCGCGGAGCTTTACCAGACGGATGATGTGCGGGACGCGATATCGCGACTGTACGCTCCTATCCTCGTCTTCTTCCAGCAAGCGCTGCGCTGGTATAATCGGAGCCGAGTTGGGCGCGCTCTTTCCGCTGTATTCAGCCCGTATGAGTTGAAATACAAGGATACGGTGGAGCAAATCCAGAGGTGTGCTAAGGCGGTGAATGACATGGCGGCCGCCAAAAGTCGGGCCGAGATTCGAGATATACATATCTCTCTTGAAATGATGAGGCGCGAAACGGCCCAGCTGAAGGAGACGGTTGATGGCACGCTCAAGGTCGCTACGTGTGCGTTACTATCACATCCTATGTGCCCTGTCCGCTCGGTGCTGATAGAGAAGCAGGCAACAAAACCATCAGTGAGCGCATCCACATCGATGTCCAAGATATGTTGCCCCGGACGCGCGACATCCAGCTTTCGCATATTCTCGACGCACTGAAACCGCAAATCTGCCCGCACGACACTTTCCACACGCTCCAGTCGATTGTGAAGCGCTCCCGATCAACTAAACTTCCGGAAGCGGAACCAAAGAATGTGCTGCAAACCCTCAACAGGTGGCTCACCAAGGAAGGCTCTTCACTATTCCTGCTTCGCATTGGGCCCCGGGCGGAAGCCAAAGCACGAGAGCTCACGACCGACATCATCAGCTTGCTGCAAGCTAAGAAGTTGAAGGTGATCTGGAGACTATCTCCCCCACACGGCGGCTCAGTGCCCAGCTTGACCGAGGTGCTCAAGGTTCTGATACACCAAGCCCTGCTCGTCGAGCCCTTTCTCCTGGAGCGTGGCGACCTCAATGTCGCGAAATTCCGATCTACCCACACTGACGCCGAGTGGGCATCGCTTTGCCGCACCATCTTCGCTCGCCTACCGAAGTGCTACGTCATCATCGAAACGCACGATTTGTTCCAAGCGAATGCTGATAACGACCAATTCCTACCGAACTTCTTGAAGTTGTTCCAGGAGCTTGCATGCCAGGCGGCAAGTAATGGGCACTCGCTGAAGTTCCTTGTACTCTGTTACGGAAGTGGGGGTTCGGACGTTGCTGGTACGTATATTTCGTGTATTCTTCCTATGCGTTGAGGGCCTTCGGGAGCGGCTTTCATATCTCCTCCTCTTGTCTCTGGTGGAACCTTATTTGATAATAACATGCACTAACGAGTCGCTCGCTCACAGGAGTTGGCGATTTCGGAGCCTTGTTGAGGAGACCACAGCCGGTTCCGATGCGCTGCAAGAGGATGGTGGCGCACAAGAGGGGCCCGAAAGGGTGGGGCACGGTGCAGCCGAAGCTTTGAGTCGGACAAGCCTAGACTATCTGCCAAAACGTACAGTTGGAGGCCTGGCGGTAGCTTCAAACGTCGGGCCCTGAGTCAAGAAATTTCAATGGCCTGACCGCGCCCTGCTGCGGAAAGTGGGTTACAGCTGGGTCGTTCAAGCACAAGTGGTCGTGGAAGGCTGGTTATCTAAACCATGAGCAGTTGCATATCTTCCAAGGGGCTGCGCAGACCATGCAGAATTGCGCAGTACAGCGACTGGAATTGATTAGCCGAAGATTATGTATATCGCGAGGTGGGCTTACCATGTGATGTGGTCGCAGTCTTCTTTCAGCTCAACCAGAGTCCTGTAATTGTAGCATCTCTGCCAGCCCTGAGGCTTGTTCAAGGACCGGGAATAATGTTCTTCCCTGTGTAGAATGATTCGTCAATGAGGAATGGGTACATAATCTGCTCCTGTGTGGGTGGCTCGGGATGGCCTGTCCGCATAAAGGGCCTTAGATCAAGCTCTGCTTCCCCTTCTTCCTCGGCCGAGTCTAATTCCTCGTCTGAGTGATTATGGCCAAGGGAAGGACCATTTGGCCCGACAGGAGTGTCGAAGGTCAGCGGGCTAGGCAGCCTATCGGAGTGCTGACCAACCCTCCATTCGGGATAGAAGCTTGAAGGCGAAGGAAGGAGTCCATTCTCGTCGAAGCGGCTGGGTAGAGCGGAAATTGGGGTTTCGATCTCTTCAGGCTTCGCCAACGGCTTGTTCTTCGTCTTAGAGTTCCCGCTCGCGGTACCTACACTAGCTGAGAGGGTGGCTGGGATAGATAAAGCCAGCTTGGGACGCAATACCCGCTCACGGTCTTTGATGGCAATTAGCAGAGCCCCCTGCCTGGCCTCCGGAGTAGTCATGTCCTGAGATATGGTATACTTCATGTACATACGGGGCCTCTGAGGTTCGCGTCCACACAGCACGCTTTCATTCGTACCAGATTTTGACTTCACTTGATCTGGAACCAAACCCATGTCCGGCGCAGGTGGAAGCCGTTGTCCGGAGAGAGATGGCTGCGATTGGGGGGTTCCCTTTCTTCGCCTGCGTCGAAGAGGCCCAGGAGAGACCGGCTTAGACGCGTCCAGGATTTCAGCAGGAATCGGGACATGGTGCCCTGGCTGCATATTGGCCATCGTGGCCTGAATGCTGCTTTGACCAGCGGGCACCATTGGGAAATTGTGGATGCGCTCCGCCTTCGTATCCATGCGTGCGGCTTCACGTCCTCCAGTAGCGTCCTCCAACTTGCGCTTGCGTGCTTCTCGCATCTCTGCCAGTCTCAGCTCCTCCTGACGGCGCCTGCGGACTGAATCGGGCGTGGAGACTTTCTCTGGAGTGAAGGGGTTGTAGTTGGCTTCCTGTTTGCGCTGAATCATGAGTCGATGTTCCTCAGCGTCCTGTACATAGCCTCGACCTTCCCCACCCACTGTCCATAAAACTTCCGACGCCCTACCCCCTGTATTCCGCGCGGCAAAGTTTTGAGCATCGGCTTCGGGCATGCCACGCATCCCGCTCTTTTCAATTCCGAACCCGGATACAGAGATGCTCTGGTCGTAGCTTCCGTGATATTGGGAAGAAGTCTTGCCCAAGCTCCGATCAAGTGAATGGGTTACCCTGGAACTTCCCACTGGGGGCAACTTCTTGCGTACTGAAAAGTTTGGCGCAGTCCTAATTAGGCTTCAGCGTGGGGTCTCTCGAGGTGGCCGCAGCGAAATACCTTCTAGGGCGAATGCCATCCGAGCCTGGGGACGACACTATTGATAAATCGACAGATACTTTGGCTGAATTCAACCCACGGTGCTGAGGATGATAGAGAAAATTTGGTTGTCTCTTTGAAATAGTGCTCAAAGGAGGCGAAGAGGCACGTCGCTTGCCCAGCACAACGGCTGGATTGAAATGGCGCTCAGTGGACCCCTCTGCATTGGTTTCCGCTGCTCTTGCCCGCTTTGTTGCTACCATGTCGCCGCCGGTGATAGGCGGAAATCTCTCCATCAGGCCGGCCTCGGGGTAATTACTCATGTCGGACCAGTTTTCGAGTATAGATCTAGCGCCTGGGTGTCTGCTACGGACCTAAGCGGCATACAAGCAAGCCACTTCGAAGGGTAGGAGAGAGCCAAAACCTGACACTGGGGGAGAATGCTCCTAGCACCACCGGTGGCATAAATCACCGTGGGTAGAAAGATGCAAATGAGATGCAAACGTGAGGCTGAGTGACGCGGAGGCTAACCGTGCCAAGCGCACTAGTTTTGAAGGGGGCTTAGATTGAAGCACAGACCACTACACCGAAGATCCTCACCTGCCTGGCAAGCTTTCACAGCGCATTGCCTATACAGCTTGTACATGCTGGCCAATATCTTGCTGGCCGATGTCTTGCCCGAGAAGGAATTCAACGACGGAACTTCGGTAACCCAATTGGATATGACCCAACGCTGTGCCTTCCGAACTAGTTTCGCGGTTGTCGCCGAAGAACAGCCCGCAATGGCCGACGCATTTACCGTCCTTAACCTCACAAAGGCAGTTCGTACGACCTGGAGCGAAGGTCCCCATGCGTGGTCCATGGCAGCCCCTCTCGTGCCGTTTCATGTTGCTGCGAACGCTGAACGCCTTTCCGCAGCCTTTTGGACACTTGTATGGCTTCTCCATCGTGTGGCTGTGGCTGTGGATGCGGAGACTGCTGGGTCGAGAGAAGGCTTTGTTACAGGTTGGGCAGATGTAGCGGTCCGTTGATTGTGCTGATCGGTTTAATGGGTTGATGTGATAATGGTTTTTCCATGGGTCTGAGCCGTTGGTAGTGGTGGTCTCCCTATGTGGGACAGATAATTCCGCAGTGCTGGGGCGATCCAAACGGGTATTTCGGATGGACAACGGCGCCTTGGCAGGCAGTATTAGTTCCTTATCCTTGATCGCAACCAGCCGTGCCTTCATTCTGCTCTCTATCGCCGTCGTGTTATCTTGAGATATCGTATACTTCATGTACATACATGGCTTCCGAGATTTGCACCCACGGGACAAGTCGTGGTGTCTATTGGGCTCAGCCTTTACTTGATCTTGACGGGGTTCTGCGCGTAACGGAGGCAACTCAAAAGCCCTAAGCGTTCGCCCAGTGCCCCAAAGTCCATGGCTACGGTGGGCTTCGGAGGAAGGCGATATGTTGCTATTTCGCTGACCATTTACAGTGGTGTAGGAGGAGGCGACCGAAGGCGGGTGGGAGACTGGTGGATAGCTGGCTGGAGGGGACGTGGACCTTGGTGGAGGCGCAGGATCGTAGTGAGCGAAGCGAAAGTTAATGGGACCGCTGGGCGGCGGACCTTGCGGCTTCGGTGGCAAAGGTCGACCGAATGGAGGTAGCTGCGGACTCCCGGGTGAGGTTGGGCTCTGATGCGTAGGCAGCGAGGCATTAGTAAGCGAGCCTGATCGCAGATCGGCCGTAGTTCTAGATGCAGTTGAGCAAGGGTTCTGTAGTGAGATAGGAGCGACATACCGTTCAAGGTGATGCTGTGTTTGCTGGTGGTTGCGGCCAAAGCTTGTGTCATTCGGGAAGTTCCTATTACCCCATTGCCAGCCAGGGTCCCGGCCTTCGCTGAGCTCCTCACCAATGTAACGTGGTGGAGGTAAGGGAGGTGGCGGTTCTTCACGCGCCCGCGGAATCGCCATGATAGCTCCAGACGGTCTTGGGTTCCGTGCAGTCAAATTGGGTGAGGTTAGGGGACTAACGTGTTTTTTTGGCACCATGGATAAGAAGGAATACTTGTGCATTGGTGGAGGCGGGAGCTCGAAACTACCCAACGGAGCGGCGTGAGGCCTCCTAGTCGCGAAGCTTGGAGGTTCACCCATTGGATCAGGTCCAGGATGCATCGAAGTCGGGTGAGCCACTGCAGCAACCACGTTGATCTCTTGCGCCTGGAAACGCGCTTCGGGAGGCGTAAAATCCGGAGAGGCGAGCGGCATGAAGGCCATATTATCCCTCCTTTCAGAGGCATTGCCTCGTAGCTCGACCGACGGCAGCGTTGGTAGATGATAAGTTGGCTTTGGCGAAGGCGGAAGATGAAGTTCGGATGATATCGGGGGTTGACGTGAGAAGGTTTTAGGCTGCTTTAACGCCATGAATGGAGGAGACGAAGCACGCCTCTTGCCCAAGAGTGGCACGGGTTTCATGCCGCCTTCCGAAATTCGCTTCAAATCGATGTTTCTAGCTATTGTCTGACTCCTATCTACCTTTGCATGAGAGAGAAGCTGAAGGGAAGCCATCGGCCGAGAATGGTTGTCCATGACGAGGGAATTATAGAGCCAGTACGGCTACAAGGCCGTTCTCGTGTGGGTATCAGGCCTCAAAGGCTCAGCCTTCTAATCGCAATCACGTAGACCGTTGGGCGCGGAGGAATGCTGTGCTAGGCGTTTCTGATGAACATTCGGGCTGTGACAAGCGAACCGCTTCGGAGGGGTGAAGAGATATATCCCATGTTAGTGTGAAAGATGGTTGGGCTGAGGGGCGCTTTTCGTGCCAAGCGCACTACTTCTAAAGCAGACTAGTCTAAGCATTGCCCGTTGTTTGCTATCTGGAAGCCGCCGGACACCTTCTCTCACCACACCAACCTCATCTGACGATTATCCCTAGGCTCGCAGACGTGTCGCGGGAATGAACAGACATCTATCGTTCAAACACGGGCCGGTCGGGAAATCCCCCTTCATTTTCTAATCGCCCATAGGCATTAGTGTCTAGCATTTATGACTATTCGCTCAAGCCTGCTCAGCCGCTGGTTCTTCTCTTCGATTTCCTGCCGCAACTTCCTATTCTCTAGCCTCTCTAGCCGTACGTTTGCGGCTTCGGACATGGAAAGCTCTGTGGCAAGGTTAACCCTCGAGGTGAGAATAGAGACTTGCTTGCGAAGTTCCGCAGTCTCCAGGGTGTGGGCTCGAATGAGCTCCTCCTTGTCGAACTGCATCTGGCGGACCCATTCTTGCATCTCTGCCAGCTCGGTATTCGAATTGACTGCCCGGACCCTGCGCATAACATCCGCCTCCCGCTGCTGCACCTCGAGCCGCGCTTCCTCTTCTTTCTTTTTGTTCTCCAGTCTTGCCGCTCGCCTTTCGAATCTCCCCCGCTGCATCTCCGGATCAGGAACGACTAACTCGGCCCCCGAATCCTTGGCTGTGTCGCTTCCTTCTCTACTACCGTCGCCCGTTCCTACCACACCAAGGCCCTTCTTCGCCTTCGATTGGATGGACCAGGGCATCTTAGCGGGAAGTATCCGCTTCCTATCTTTAATGGCGATCAACTTGGCCTTTTTCCTAGCATGCTCCGTTGACATGTCTTGAGATATTGTGTACTTCATGTACATGTGGGATTTATGGTCATGAGGCTGGATGATGTCGTTTTCGGTGTCGGTGTTTGGCTGGTTTGAGTGGAGATCAGGGCCTGGATAGTATGCTTGCTGCCCATGCTCTGGGGGCATTTGGAGGCCTCTTGCGGCGGAGGAGGGAATCCGATTGAAGGGGTTACGACACCCTTCCAAGTCGTCACTGCGCATAAGTTTGATGGTGTCAACGACTTCCCAGTCAGAGGCTCGCGTCGGAGGTGGGCTTGGGTATGATGGGATTTCTATCACACCACCTGCGTGGGTAGGGATCTGGAATCTACGCCATGGGCAGATAAGCAGTCCGCTCAACATTCAAAAGGGCGGAATACCTTCTAGGCGGAAGGTCAGGCTTCGCTGATTTTGCCGCTGATAAATCGACAGCTATCTTTGCTGACTTAAGCAAAGGCCGCGCAGGCTGGGTATCGGGAACCGATGATACTGGTTCATGGAAACTTGTCCGCCGTTTCAACGTGCTCAAAGAAGGCGAAGAGGCTTTGCGCTTGCCTAGCAGAGGGGCTAGATCGGGAGGGCCTTCCATAGCCTCATGTAAACTCGTGATTCCTGCTCTTGTGTGATCATTAATTGCTTGCTGTGCGCCGTCGACTGCCTGTTGAGGAATGCGGCGATCCAGAACAGCATATAGTGGTTGCTGAAACGGACGCTGAGCGTGACGTGGTTGACACCGAGGCTGAGATGGAATGGCTTTGGTGCCACCCCCGCGCTAAAAATGCAGTGCACCTTACGGCCTAGCAGCCTTGCTACTCGTGCAATCAAACTGGACTGCGGGAATCTCATCTACACCCCTGTATTCCTCAAATATGCGGCGTGTCTTCTCTTCATTTTGGCGTCTTTTGAGTATTTTTGTGCGTAGGCAGAAGCTCTGCTTTGCTGTTCGTTAGCATAACCTCTATAGGTTGATGACTCAAAACGAGAGTCAATCAACCAATCACTCTATACGGCGATACAAGCAACATAATACAGTTTTCTTCAGCTATGACATGCGCACGTTCTTCCAGTCAAAGACATACCCCATATATTACAAATTCCTTCAGGTAGCCCTCATTCGATCCCCTGGCCCCTCTTCTCCAATGCAGCCAATGCTTCACCATCACGACGCCTCGTGCAAGCATGTTTGATAGAATGATAGGTAGGTTAGGCATATAAACACGCACAGCAAGTCAAGAAAACGTAATAGTTACACGTGTCACAGCGTCTGAGCGAAACTCTCCTGTACCATGTAGTGCATATATACCCAGTCCACAGCACTTCAAATATATACAATAGAAGTCTTCCGCCCTCCATGCACTCTCTCTATGCCCACCACCAACGAAGCGCGCCTCTTATCTGCATCTAAGCAACGAACTCAACCTCCCTCGTCTTGAGCTTCTCCGCCTTCGCGGCAGTTAGAGCCGTAATGAGCGCCGGATACCATTTATCAGCCATCTTCTTATCTCCGCTGGCATTCGGGTGCACGCCGTCCCTCAAGTCCGACGAGCCAGAGAAACCGGTGTACTGGTCGACGATCCAGATAGGCGAGTCCGTCGAGTTCATGCCCGCTGCCCAGGTCGGAATGGCTTTGTTGAGGTCCTGGATCTTGGTGTTGTAGCTGCCCATGCCCATGGGGATGATTTGGGCGACCTACGCAAGCGCTGTTAATTTTTGATAAGGGATATATGAGGGAAGTGGAGCGAGGGGCGAGGAATGAAAGGGCAAACCTGGATAGACGGAATGGGGTAATTGGAATACTTACCACAATCTTCATCTTGGGGTTATGCGTCCTCATAGTATTCACCAGCTTTGTGAACGCCGCGATGATATCGGTTACCGCCTTGTTCTGCTGCACGATGTCGTTGGTTCCGAGATGCATGGTGATTACATCGGCGGGGTTGGTCTTGAGCCAGCCATCGAGCTGGTTCTGGTTCGCGATGTTGATGGCCAGGAAGCCCGAGTGGCCTTCGTTGTCGCGGTCATACTTGTTGTCGCCGCAGTTGTTCTCGGTCTTGCCGGAGCCGACCCAGTTGACGCTCGCCCACTCGGTGGTTTGGAGCCTCTCCCAAAGTAGAGCGCGCCAGCAGATGATCTCCGTGATGGAGTCGCCAAAGGGCATGTAGCGCAGGGTTGCGTTCTGTGCCGAAACGGCGGCGGCGAAAGTCGCGAGGGAGAGGAGCTTGAAGGAGACCATTGTGCCCTACCGAAAGGTAAATGTAGAATTGAGCTGAAAAGTTGGTTGCGAGGGAGAAGTGGACTGATAGACAACTTTATATCCGCGTTTGTGAATATGAGGCTCGGAGAGACCTCGGTGGTAGCCACTGTCTTCAATTACAGGCGCGGGCCGCGTCCTTTGAAAGCACAGACAATTTAATATCGTAGCGCACGTGTAGGCAGTTCCATAAAGGCCGTTGCTTGAATCTGATCTGGAGACAGTAATATCGAGTACGGCTGACCCGCTGAGGGTTGACTATGCTACTAGATCTCTGGGCCGAGCCGGGATGGTGAACCTGGCTAAATGCAGCGGTTGCGTCCCAGTTGGATATATTTCATCTATTCAACATTAACCAATTCGCCTAGCCAAGTGTTTGGGGCGGGGTAGAGTTACCTTCTGATTGGTGGCAGGATGATTCAAGGTTCCGAGTAAACTGGCCGATATAAACGATAGAAGGTCGGACTCCAGGAAAAGGATTCAATCCTAAGAAAGGCAAGTTGCACGTCTGTAGTGATATCTTATTACCTAGAGAATATCGCCATCTTATGGAAAGGAGAATAGCCCAAAAAATAACAAGAGAGAGGAAAGGGGGAGAGAGGAAAGGGGGAGAGAGGAAAGGGGTGGGTAGTGACCAGTACACGAACCCCAATTGTAACTAAACGATCACTGGTGTCGAATGCGCCGAACATCAGTAAAGTGTCATCGCCGGTGCAACTAGTGACCAAATCAGCAGAGTGCTCAATAGGCCGCTAGATGACGCGACTGGCCTCGTAATTCTCCCCAATCTACAAGACGAATATGAATACGTCCTCTAGCTGGCCGCTGACGTAGGATGGTTCGGGGCTTGCTCGGAGCAACTGTGTTGCATAGCTTGACGGATACCCTGGTTACGGGGATCCGGAGAGGTACTTTGATTAGCGAAAGCGGTATAGTTTGATTCGCCGAGATCGATGGTCGATGAAAGGTGTCGGAGGAAGGGGAAGGTTCTCCTCGCTTTGGCTACCCCTCGATCGGGCGTGCCGCTCGCGCCGGCTGTGGCTGAAAGGTTGTTCAACGCTGAAACGTTGGATCTGCATATATGGAATGACTGAAGTTTGCATATCTTAGTCTGTTACTCCATTTGGGTTGGATACAATGTGGAAGATAGCCGAGCGATCTCCGAATGAAGAGCGCGATCTCCGTCAAACTCTATTCATTTCGTGCTTGGAATATCGAAGGTCCAATTTTAGACGGGGAGAACCATAACGGCCTCATGAAGAATGGGGCTCGGACGTTGTGCCGGTGGTTGATGAAGAGGGGCGATATCTAGCAAGGAAGATCCGCAAAAAGGGCATATGGAAGTGCCTGTAACATGGAAGACCGAGAGGACGACGCGTACTAGAGGACGGTAGTTGAGGAAGCCATATCGGCGGTATGTGGGCAGCTCCCTTCTCCCCGCGGAGTGTTTTTGATTGGAACGGTTGGAGGGATCGATCGTTGAACGGCAACCATGCGGCAGCGTCGTGACCGCGCCGTCTTGATGGGTGCTTACGCAAGGGTCGGTTGATTGAAGGCTTCATCGTTTCCCTAGTCCTCCAAAAACCTTACTCGCGGCTGAGCTGACCTTCAAGACATCTCTGTATGTCAGACTGATCCTCGTGTCTCGTTCATTGCGTCTACCAGATTCCTCAAAAACATACGGTTCCGCCAACAGATCCCAATTAGCAACCGTGGCAGAGCCAAGATCCTCGTCGACCTCAAGCGGTGCAATTCCATGGAGTAACTCTGTGTACGCGGATCCTGTGGTGATCAATAGCGAGCGGGGTTCCTGGAGTATTCGCGTTGGAATGTTGTAGGACGGGGTCGATAGCGGCAGTGACGGGGGTGTGTCTCTCTCCACTGCAGTTGGCTCCTGGTCCTTCTCTTGTTCGGCGCCGTGAGTGTCTCCCAATGCCACGCCTTGTACACCAGCTGGCTCTTGAAGGGTTGCTCCATTCTCATCTTCTCTAGAGGCAGGCTTCCGACTGATCTCCAAACATATCGGTGCACCCAAACTCACGGTCGCGACGACAGGAGCATAAGCGCCTCCATCCTCGTGGGGCATGATACCTTGGCCACGCCGATACTCGTTGATGAGAACATGGTTGGGTTCCTTGTGTGGCGTGTTCGCAAATATATCGATCGCTTTGAACCTTTCCACAACAGGATTTACAAGGTAGGGTGGGAGAGGGGCGGTGAGGAGCGTGTTGTTCTTGGTTAATGTTGACGGATGGGCTTGCAGTCGTCGATGTGAGAGACTAATCCAGCGCTGGGCGGGTATCTATACTGTCCATCAACAATCGTACGATACGAGTATTTGGAATTCGGGGTAATTGAGTGCGATGTGTGGGGAAATGTGGGGCACGAGCCCGAGCAACTCAAGAAGGACGCGACGGAACTCCCACGGGGACATTGAACGTTGGAGTGCAAGAATAATGGTCAAACCTTTTGAAGTATCGATGCCTCTTCCTCCTCGGAGATGAAGTTGGGAATGTAATAGAAGTCAGGCGGAAGGGAAGCAACGCGGAACAATTGCAACGCATCGCGTACACTCAGATGATGGGCCATGGTATGAGAGAGTTGTGAGTAGGGGCCGCGGTTCATCCCAAGGCTAGGAGGAAGAGTCGGCTGATTTAGAGTTGTTGGTGATGGGGAAGAAAGGTCGGCACGAGAGCTAACCTTCTACGCCTGCCCAGATGAGTAAGCGAATCGCGCCATCACGTGAGATATCACCAGCCCCAGAGAATACCTATGCATCCTAGTCGTCGCAACATGGGTACGTCTTTCAAGAGGCATAATGGTTCACGTATGGAATTCAAGCTCTAGTGAATGGCATATACATTCCGTGCATCATCATCTACATATGTCCCAGAAGAGGAGGGGAAGTGTGTGAACAAACACTCGGCCACTCTAAGCTCTCATCCATAGCCCAAACCAGTAGCAAACAATGCATCCACGATAAACCCCTATATGAGTCTGGAGTAGACCAAACTGAAAAAAGAATAAGTGGGTAGAGATGCTGGGCTAGCCACACAGAGTGGCAGCCATGTGTGCATGCGGAGCATAGACAACAAAGAAATGACCAGACAAAGATATCCATGACCTGTGCAGGTATTCTCTCTCGAACCCAAACTCCGGAATGCCCTGGTCTATCCAAAGAAAGGAAATGACTGGAGGCGACTAACTGGACGGCAAACAAACGAGATTCAGAAAAAGGGAATGCGAACCTGCCCAAGTAGAGTATGCCAGAAAAGTGGAACCTTATCCAAGGACCCACGAAGGGGGAGCGAATAGGTTTGCTCACATGACGACACAGCCCCCAGGGCCGCTCCGAGCTCGTCGTCGACGGCCGATGCCGATGCCACCAGCCCCAACGCCAGCGCCACCTTCTTCTTCATCGGCATGCATAAGCTGGGCTTCCCTAGCTCGTCTTCGCCGGCGACGAGCGCCAGCTCCACCCATACCAGCCTCTTCATTCAACATCATCCAATCAGCCCACTTGCGCTCTAGACGCGCTGCAGCCGCGAAGTCGCCTCTCAAGACCCGCTTAGTGTGCTCTTCGACGGTAGGCTGCCAGTTGTAGAAGCACTTCAGACCGATGATCTCTCTCGGGTAAGTGGGTGTAGTCGAAGGAGAATTGGGAGATGGCCGAGAAATCTCTGCATTTCGCGACAGAACTTCTCGAACACCAGTCCATGTAACATTAGCGCAATCGTAAGCTACGATACGGAGGCCGATATGAGGCCGTTCCGATCCTGTAAGTGCTCTTGCACAGCGATTGCGCGTGCGAATGCATGAGGCTGCCTCGGCAAGCACGAGGTCCGAGATGCGAGTGTTGTCCATTTCAAGCGAGGAGAGACTCGAGCAAGCTTTTAGAACAGGGAGCATTCCGGAATCGCCTAGGTTCTCGCAATAGGAAATGCAAAGATGTCGAAGGTGAGGAGCGCAGGGCGAGATAGACAGGGTCTTCAAGACGTCGTTGGTCAGGCCATCGAGCTCCTCGATATCCAAGTGAGTAAGAACGGGCACCGTGGGGAGCAAAGAGTTTAGTGTCACATCGGTCAAGCTGTGACATTTCGACAGCTGCAGGCCTTCCAAGAGAGGCACGTTTCCAGTCAGGGTCTTTACGCCGTCGTCAGTGATCCCGCGACACCGCGTGAGATCAAGGTGCTTTAGCCGCCGAGGTGGAACGATGGGGCGGCCGGTAAGGACGTCTATTTCGTTGTCGACACCTTCGATGAGTGCAGCAAGTGAGTCGTCATTGAGACTATCGCAGTTCATAAGGACGAGTCTCTCGAGTGTGTTGCGCTTGAACAGCTCGACCATTAAGTCTATGTCGTCCCAGCCTCGCACTTCGCCGGCGCGGAGATCCCGCAACCTCGGGCAGCCTTCGATGACTTTGCGAAGGCCACGCGTGTCGATGTTGTTGCACCACGAAATGTTGAGGTGCTCCACCCGGGGGCAGTGCGACGCGATAATCTTCATGGCGGCATTCGTTGCTCCGGCGAGACCAGAGAGATTGACGTGGACGAGTCGGCTGTTCTGAAGGAGGAAGCAATGGATTGATGTCCTGTCGATTCGGCAGCCTTCGAGCGAAAAGTGCTCCAGGTTCCGGCAAGCTTCGATCAAGCCCTTCTTGTTCCACTGCTCTCGCAATTGCACGCAGCCTCTTAGATTGAGATCGCGGACGAAAGGGCCAGCAGACGTAATGATGTTGACGAGAGCCCCAGCGGTGATGTCGCGATAGAATTCGCTGGTGTCGAGATCGCTCCAGAGCTGGCCGTCGAAGCACATGGCATACCAAGCCTTGGAAACGGCTGAGCAGCGCACGATTTCCTTAGGTTTCAAGTATCGAAGAATATGCATGCGGACCTCGGGGGGCATATCGGCCCAGAAATTGAAGTTGGGCCGGCGCTGGGCCTTCTTCCTGACGGGCCGCGAGAAATAGTCGTTCTCGGCCTCGGGTCCCTCCCTGGACAGTGGTCGCAGATCTGAAGGCAGCGGAACGGAAGTAGGGCCATCGGGGTTGATCATGCGGAACCTCGCCTTCTCGTCGAACAGTGGGCTGCCTGGAGGACTATTTGCGACAGAGGTAGGGGCGGTCGAGAAGCCCGCAGACATCTCTGAGGAGTAGGAGCTGCCGTACGAATAGCTGTACGGCGAGCCCGCCGATGCCAGCGAAACACAAGACATAGACGCCTTCCCGGTTGCCCTCAGGCTGTGTGAGCGCGATCTGCTCAAGCCCGCGAGGCTCGGCGAAGAGCCCATCCGTTGTAGTCCATGTAGCAGGCGCTGCCGGCCCTTTAGCTTCGGTCGGTCGATCGGTATGGCTTCGCTCGGAGGGGGCCTGGGTGTTCCGGGTGCAAGGTCAGTGGAAGCGTCAACTACCACCGAGTCAATCGATAACGGCTCCATGGTGATGGGTGAGAGGGTGTTGAGGCCTGGATGGTTGGGCGGGTCGAAAGCGGGGAACGGAGTGTCGTGATGTATTGAAGAACGGTGCGTCGGTCAGCACGTGGAATTGACAAACGCGCGAAGAGGGCACATTCGCCGTCGCCGTCTCCTGGAAACGAGTGTGAGGAGAGAGCTGCTTGCTGCGCGAGGTTGGGTGAGCGGCTCTTGATGCCCGCCGCGGTTCTATAAGCGGGGGTACAGTAGGCTAGGGTCCGCGCTGATGGAGTGATGAGCCGAACAAGGAGGCTTAGACTTCTCAGCCGGCAGGACAAAGCGACAGCATGAGGAATACCGTCTCTGCAAAGCGACGAGATGAGGGCAGAAGTGTACAAGATCAAGACGACTGGGGGTGCAGTTGTACAATTCACTTTGCATGGCGGAGCGCCTGTCGCGGGCTTAAAGCGCCCCAAGCCCGTTATCGCTATCGCTATCGGGTGCCCACGTGCGCCTTCCGGCCAGCAGCACCACATCACCAGAGCGACAAGAAGGTCAAGCGACCCAGCCCGACTGCCGTCTGAAACAGTCAGCCTCCCTCTCGTGAGAGCACTACTTCTGTTCACGATAAGAAACACGTCGGGGGAACGAAGGGCTGCCCTAGCACTGCTCATGTCGGGAGGGCGAATGCTCGGTGGCTTCTCCCCCTGAGTGCTCCGGCGGCGGCATATGCAGGGTAGAAGGTCATCATGGACTTTTCCCCAGCGTGTTCCAGCTGCCGGATGCAGCACACCCACCAATCTGGACCAACCGCAGGCGAGCGGGCGTAGAACTTCCTGCTGAGGCGCCTCGCGTAGCCCCCAGACTAGGTATCGCGGCACGAGGACCCTTCTTTTCGCAAAATTTCTGCTGTAGTATACCCCATCCGTCGGCTGGACAAGTCTTGGAACTACCTGCGCCGGCTCTCCATACCTGCCACTTCAGGCCGTGGGCGTACTCGTAGTGCCATGTTGCCACCACCAATATGCTGACAGGACGATCCTCACACTTTGAAACGCTCGTCCGATGGCTTTGCCTTTGGCAGGAGTTGGAGACGATACCTAGAAACGGAGCTTCGACAGGTCCCCAGTCCAAAAGGCGGTGGATACCTGAGGCATGGCAGCTGACCCCGTCGCCGAACGACCTCGTGCTCATTGACCCTTAAATGCGGTACCTCAACCTGGGAATCATGTCGTTATCTCTTCCCCTTATCTCGCAATCGATCATGCTCGAAGCTGAATGCCCTTAAGGATATCGAGAGGGTGTGGATCTGTCTCGAAGTTGTTGTAGTTGACCGACAGTAACTGTCCTAACACCACGTTCTCGCGGGAGTCCCCAAGGTTACGTTCATGTTGAAGCCATTCACGAGCACATCTGCTTCGGGAAGGTGGGGCTCCGTGCGGGCAGCTTATCGAGACGAGCCCTTAGGAAGAAAATTCCCCTATCTAACGTCTACCAAAATCTAACGCCCGAGTATGCGGAATACCACTGACATCAGCTACTCGCTTCAAGCTTGCACCTCGACACTCTTCAAGTGCCCCATGAACTTCCCATGAATCCCTCTCCAATTCTCCTCACACTTCCCCTTGACGGTGCCCACCAGCAAGCGCGACGCCGTGATCTCAACGTCTTCCACCAGACTCCACTCGCTCTTCTCGTTGTCCTCGTCCTCTCCCACCTTCTCCTTCCCCTTTCCTAGATCCTCACTTCTCGTAAGTCTCCACGTCGTCCGCTGCACGAGGCCTAACGGCGCTTTAATCACCCACTCAACCCCATCGGCCGTGTTTGTTATGTGTGACTCAAACGTGACCGTGGTATCCCACAGCCCCTTGGGGAGTGTATGCATATGGTCTGTTACTTTGTACCGCTTGGTGTTCGGAGCCGCATCGTCGGGGGGCAGAGTCTCGTAGTGCGCGAGCTCCGGATCGAGCTTTATGAGGAGGTCATGGTTTTGGAGGTTTGATAGGGCCGCTTCGAATGTGGTGCCGGACGGAAGAGGCGTGACGTGGTGCAGGTTCGCCGTCGTGTTGAAGGCTGGGGATAGTAAGCATTCGGGCTTCCAAACGAGCCCCCGCCATACTCGGACTTACAGAACATGTCGGCCAGTCTTCGGAATTCCTTCTACGCCAGTGTCAGTGACTCGGTCGCTCTCGAGCGGTCCTGAAGCACGTTGCTATGTTGGCGCGGGAGGTCGCGAGTGCTACGGACGAGGCGCTGTTGCTTACGAAAGGCTAACAGCCCGGCTTTGCGGAATTCTGGTGGGACCAAAAGCGGATTTGAATGTTCAGAGCTGAAAGGACGTGTTCAAGAAGCGAGCCGCCCTTTTGAAGCCTCCAGGGCCAGACATGTCGCTGCAATGCTTCCGTTTCAGCCTCTCGACGCGTTTTATGTCTCACATGCGCATACCTCCTCCCTGTCGAGATCAGTGCTCAGTATCAACATCGCCGTAACAACTGTTTGTAGCTTCGGTTGTGGGATTTCACGCTGCGCTTTGGCCCAGGCTTTGTCTAAGGTCTTGTCGCTCGTCATGTATGCGTGGTGCGATGTGTAATACTCTGTCGCTTATATAAGCTACACGGTCTTAAGAAGCGCGCTTATTAGTTAGTAGTTGGTATTAATTTACGTCTAACGTACTTTACAAACGAACGCCCCACACAAACGAACGCTCTAAGAATGCTAAGCTAGGAAAATTAAAAGGTTTTTCTTAAATAACTAAGCGAAACCTTAATATTTTTCTATAAAATTTTAAATATATATAGAACTATACTATATACACCTTCTATTAAATTTACACTATATATTTCTTATTACGTAAGCTAGAAGTAAGCCTTTTTCTAAAAGTAGCTTGTTATAAGCTATTCTCTTAGCTAAGACTAGAGCTTACTTTTATAGAGAGAGGCAAGAGGTATACTTTAGACTAGAGTCTTTAGTAATAAAGAGGTAAACGTAGTAGTACTATAGAAGCTTAAGTCGTAGTAGTAATTTAATAAATAAAGTAATAACTATAAGAGGCTATAAGAAGTAAGCTTCTCTTAGTTATATATAGATACCTCTTAGTAGAATCTAGAGCTAAGACCTAGCTCTCTTAGATTAGGTTCTAATCTATAGATCTAGTTCTAATCTACCTAATCTACTTTACGTAACTCTAATTATTTCTATAACCTTATACGTAATTCTTTATCTTATAACTTTAGGCTTAGCCTACTATTCTCTCTATTCTAGCTAGCTAACTCTATTACTAATTCTACGATTATAACATAGCTATTCTTTAAGTTTAAATCTTAATAGTACTAGTAAACCTTAATAATAAACTATAAAACTTTAAAGATATATTATATACTATAGTATAAAGTCTTTTATAAAGTTTTATAGTATTTAGCTTAGTAATACTAGAGATATTAGCTTAAAGAGTTTCTAATAAGTAGTTTAGAGATTTTATAAGGTAAGTAGTAAGGTAGGTAGATAATATACTAAGAAGTAGTAATATAATATATTAGGTAGTACTAGTATATAGTTAAATTCTTATAGAATAAGAATAGAAGAAGACTAAGCTATATACTAGACTACTATATAACTATAAATAGACTAAGTAGCTTCTAAGAGATATCTAGCTAGATAGGTATTATAATAGCTTTTCTCTTTTTATAATATTATTCTAATATTACTAAGAGATACTTCTATATATCTAGCTAGGTTCTATTAAGATACCTTTTCTTAAAAGAAAAAAAATAGAGTATCTAGTAACTAAACTTCTAAAAAACTTTCTTTTACGTAGAGTAAAAACGTTAGTTAGAGAAGTTATAGGTAACTCTACTAGCTAGAGTCTATAGGCTTTCTACTACTATTATAATTAGTCTTCTAGAGTCTACTAAGTTATAACTATTTATATAGTATCTTATAGCTCTAGTCTATAATATTTATATCTTCTAAGTAGAGTAATAGTATAGTAGTCTTATTTTAGCTATTATAGTAACTATTTATATAGTATCTTATAGCTCTAGTCTACTACTCTAGCTTTTATAAGTTTTAATTTATAGTTAAAATTTCTATACTTATACCTTATTTATTATAATATACTTTATAAGTAAGCTAGTTATATAAGTAAGCTAGTTACTTTTACTAAGCCTCTACTAAAAAGCTACTATCTTAGTTAGATTACTCTAACTCTAAGCTACTTAAGATAAATCTAGATAAGCTATCTAATTTATCTATATTATCTTTAACTATCTAGTACGTTTACGTATTATATTCTAGCTTACTATAGTATCTATAGCGTTACTAAGCTAGCTAGCTATTATATACTACTACCTTTTTATACTACTTCTTACTCTTATTCTAATCTATAGTCTCTCTTTAAGTAACTAGCTATAAGCTAGCTTTAATTATAAGAGTATTTTTTTTCTAAATTTACTTTCTTTTATATAAATTATACTTCTTTTTCTATACATTAGCTACTTAAAGCTAGATAACTTTAGACTCTATAAGTACTAGCTAATATACTATTAGCTTATTACCTTTCTTAAGCTAATTAAGTAACTTAATAATATAAGTTAGTAATAAATTAAAGTACTATATAATCTTTAATTAAATTAGAGTTAATTAGAACCTTATTTTAATAAAATTACTAGATATTTTATACTTCTAGATAGTAGTATTAGTAGTAGAGAGTATTAGTATATATAATTAAACTTTAAGCTTTAATACTACTAAATCTAGATTAAATAAAACTAAGCTAGTACTTCTAAAGTCTACTCTAATATTATTATCTATAATTAACGTATAAAAAGCTATATAAAACGTAAGTAGAAACTTAATTTTTATAATATAGTTAATATAGCTATATATTAAGTTTTTAACTTAGTAGCTATATACTATCTTTAATAGTAAGAAGTAGCTAATATTAAGTAGCTATAAAAGATATAATAAATATACTAGTATATAGAGAGCTATAATTTTATTCTTCTTATAGTACTACTAGAATTTAATAGAGCTATAGCTTTTATAGCTATCTAAAATTAGTAGATAATATATACTTATAATATAACTCTTAGTATATATATTAAAGTACTTTAACTATATAATACTAACTTTATTTATTATTTAGCTACTTTTAGAAATAGCTATAACCTAGTTATATAGTAGCTAGCTACCTTTATACTATACTAAAAGATAGTTCTTATTTATAATAATATAAAATAGTAGAATCTATATATTATCTACTACTCTTACTATTATAATTACTAAAATCTACTTATAATTATCTAGTTAAAGACTCTTTAGTTATAATTATCTCTTAGAGCTAGTAACTACTATCTAAGGTAATATTATTTCTATTATAAAGCTAGATTTATTAAATTTATACGTATCTTTATTAGTAATACTATACTTTACCTTTATATTATCTACTAGGTTAAACTATACCTAAATAATTATAGAATCTTCTTATTTTACTTTCTAATAGTTATACTTATAATTAAGCTATATTTTAAGCTTAGAATAGTATATAATAAAGTAGTTTAGCTAGATTTAACTAATAGCGTTCTTACTCTACTTAGTAAGTAGCTTATTAGCTATATCTTAAATAGTAGTAAGCTAGAGAGTAAATTCTTACGCGTCTAGGTTAAGTATATACTTAACTATTATCTACTCTTTATTCTTTATAAGCTTTATTAAATTAGATATCTTTTTAGGTTATAGAGTAATTCTATTACGTTAACTATAAACTTTCTTCTACTCTATATTATAGAGAGCTATAGCGCGCTATAAGCTTAGCTCTAGATTCTATTAAATAGTCTAGAGCGTAAGCTATATCTAGAATTTATCTAAAGTTAATTAGATGTTTATAGAGAGCGTTATAATAGAGATAGTAGTATTTAGTAAAGACTTAGTATTTTTAGAAAGTTTAGTAATAAAGTATATTAGTAATAGAATATTTAAGAGAAAACTACTTATAAGTAATAATTACTAGTATATAAGTAGTAGTTACTCTATATAATAAATAAGATACTACGTAAATAGTTACTATAATAGCTAAATAAGACTACTATACTATTACTCTACTTAGAAGATATAAACGTTATAGACTAGAGCTATAAGATACTATATAAATAGTTACAACTTAGTAGACTCTAGAAAACTAATTATAATAATAGTAGAGAGTCTATAGACTCTAGCTAGTAGAGTTATCTATAACTTCTCTAACTAACGTTTTTACTCTACGTAAAAGAGAGTTTTTTAGAAGTTTAGTTATTAGATACTCTAATTTTTTTAATTTTAAGAAAAAGTATTTTAATAGAACCTAGCTAGATATATAGAAGTATCTCTTAGTAATATTAGAATAATATTATAAAAAAAGAGAGCTATTATAACGTCTATCTAGCTAGATATCTCTTAGAGACTACTTAGTATTATAAGCTATTCTCTTAACTAAGACTAGAGCTTACGTTTATAAAGAAAGGTAAGAGGTATACTTTAGGCTAGAATCTTTAGTAATAAAGAGGTAGACGTAATAATACTATAAATTACAAGTCTCTATAGTAATTTAATAAATAAAGTAATAACTATAAAAAGCTATAAGAAGTAAGCTCTTTCTAGTTATATATATGTACTATTTTAGCTAGATTAGGTACTAAGGCTCTAGCTTCTATAGATCTTCTAGATTAGGTCTAATTACTTAGATTAGTTCTAATCTATCTAATTTATCTAATCTACGTTACGTAACTCTAATTATTTCTATAACTCTATACATAATCTCTTATCTTATAACTCTAGGCTTAGCTTACTATTTTCTCTATTCTAGCTAGCTAACTCTATTTTTAATTCTATAATTATAATACTCGCTTCTTCTTCTAAAGCGTTATCTTAAAGCTCTATTCTATTTCTAGGTATAGTGTTTTGTTATTCTACGCTATTTTTATATAAGAGTAGTACTATCTATAGTTCTATAGTATTATATTCTTTCTTCTCTTTCTATTTCTACTATGCCGCCTACGCGTACTAAGTCTTTAATAGTTTACTATTACTATTACGCTAATCTTATTCTACGTACTAGCGCTAATATATCTAATAACTCTTATAGCGCTTACTATTTCTATAATCTACGTTACGTTATAGAGGTATCTTCTAGCTATTACTTAGAGTATATTATAAAGAGTTAGTCTTATAATAAGGTGTTAGACTAGAAAGAGGTAGAGAAGCTAGATTAGTTAGTAGCTAATTTATGTTCTTAGTAGTCTAAGGCTAGTCTTAAGGCAGAGCGCCTTGCTAAGACTTAGTAGCTTAAGCTAAATCGCCTGCGTGCCTAAGAGGCTCGCCTAGACAAATTCTAGTAGTTCGCGAATACTCGTAGTAAGCGCTTATAAAAGTAGTTAGAGCTAGTATAGTATTATTACAACGTGCTGCTTTTAAAAGATCTAGCTAATATTAAGAAGTTAGAGTAGTTAAAGCGTAAGGTATAGTAACTCTTATAGCTATAACTTTCTATTCTCTTAGTTAATTCTCTTTAGTTATTT